GAGTGAGTGAGTGAGTGAGTGCCTCAAAAAATTCTCAATCCATGCCCTGGCCGAAGCATCATCTCCTTCCGTCTTTGCTCATTTGTTCTGAAAGTCTTGCTTTAAAAAGACAACAGCCACATGGATAGAGCCAGAGAAGTCATGCTCCCTGTGATGACACTCGTGTGCATCGATGAAGCCAAACTTTGACACATGTTGGGCAGAAGCGGAGTGCCTGGAGCTGCAGATAACACACACACACTCACACACTCACACTGAACTAGCAGGACTACCCACTGAGCTGATTCATCCAGAACTTCAACTGTCACCTGCAGCCAGCTAATCCAGACATGCACAAAACATGCATCAAAACTCTGCAGCATCACCGGTTAAGAGTTGAACTCGTGTGCTAGTATTAATCTGGCGCGACTGTTGATTAGCATGTATTTGTGACTCTTTCCTTCACTTTTTCCTGCCCTGGTTTTTTCATAAAGAATGTAGTTAGTGTTGATTTGAGAATGCATCAGTGTTTCAGGTAAAAATGTCTAAAAACAACTTTATTATTATTGTTGTTATTTTCATCAATAGAAACTGCTCTTTGAGCTACTATTATGTGAAACATAGCTGGGACTAAAAATGGCCCAGAAGCCCTGATAAACAGTCAAACATAATCTCATAATCAGGCACTACAATGGAAAGACTGGTTTACCGCATGCCATCAGCCATGACTTGAATATTAAGAGCTGCTTGCTGATTGGCTGGCTCACCCTCAAGGCTCTATGACTGCCTGATGCTAGAAACTCTTTGTACAGCCGTGTACAGTATCCAGACATCTCAATATGCAAGCTACAGATCTATCTGGCATTCATTCAAATTCTGGATATTCCCAGTAAATCTTGGGATGTTATATATGTGCTCCAACGTTCTTCTTTGGTGTTTTCCTCTTGTCTGACAAAAGATGTTAGCAGTAGCTCGGGCTAGCATTAGCAGTAACTTGGGCTAGCGTTAGCAGTGGCTCGGGCTAGTGTTAGCGGTAGCTTGGGCTAGCATTAGCAGTAGCTTGGGCTAGCATTAGCAGTAGTTTTTGCTAGAGTAAGCATTAGCTTCGTTTTGCATTAGCAGTAACTTGGGCTAGCATTAGCAGTAGCTTGAGCTAGAGTTAGCACTAGCTTGGTTTAGCGTTAGCAGCAGCTTGGGGGGCAGACTTTTCGCTACATTTGACACCCCAAGTTGCTTATATTCAGCGAGGTAAATTGGCTTTTGAATTCTATGACCCCTTATGACCAAATACTATGCCAAACCATTTAATTTGTATAGCACATCTCAAATACAGCATGAAAGATGTCCAAAGTAAATGTATGTTGCATAACTCGTATTAGGAAATATTATTCTAGAGATAATATCTTCTGCTCCTCTGCATTTTAGCTTCCCTGAAATCCAACTGATTGGTGTCATGAGCTGGCAAGAAAAAAAAATCCAAATACAACATAGCAGACTTTAATGGGGGCGTCCTGGTGAGGCACAACACATCCCTGCGGAACAATGCACTTTCAGATATGCTGGTTTCTTCTGGGTGTCCCCTAAAGCTTCCTGCTATTCTATTTACTGTGGAGCAACTGTACGTAAAGGAAAGGACTAGGCCTTTACTCTATAGACCAGTTAGGAAATGAGAATATAAATGTGGATATATGGTTATCTGGGGGAGGGGAGTAAAAACTATTGAGATATTTTTAATGTTGAAGCCTTCACAAAGAAAAACTTTTCTCAAGTCTCTGATCGAGGACTAGAGAAATCTTTCAGTTTTTTTTTTCTTTGGGCAAACAGCATATAAAAAATATACAATCTCCCAAATAGGGGCCTTTCTGAGCTTTGATCAGAGGAGCCGGAGCATCAGTGGTGTGTGACAGAGCCGAAAAAGAAGCCAGCTGAACTAATTCCTCTTGCAGACAGAACGCCTCTCAAATTCTTCAGAAGTGGCCATTTGATTCATCTGCTGTGGCCTCATGAATCCTGAATTTGCTTCACAGAGATCAGGATCAGCAACGACACCGCTGCATTCATCTCTGTCAGGTGGAATGGATGCATGCTCAGTGTGTGACCAGTGAGAGGTCACAGCTTAAGGCCTGGTGCATTTTAAATATTAAATGTGTCTGTCATTTGATATACGTGGGTTGAAACTTTTTTGGAATAAAAGCATAACACAGCTCAACTTGCTACAGACTCATAAAAAAAGACATGAAGAACCAGCAGCGACACAAGCCCCCCCTGCTGAGTCTCGTCACATCACAAACATCTGGAAAGAAGCAAAAACAGGCACCTCCAACCACCAGCTGTGAGGTTTATGAATCTGTTCATCTGCTGCTGGTGAGGTTCAGCTCTGACACTCCTCATTCTGTCCTCATTATTTTAACACAAACAGCAAAACATGCTGTCATGTTCAGGTGCAGGAAGTGAGCAGAAAACGAGAGGAAAAAAGCAGCCAATCAGCTGGGTTCATGAGTTTTTAGGGGTCAAAAACATGTGGCTCAGGCATCACATGTAGCTTTTCAGATATGCTAAAATGGTTCTTTAGCTTTGAAAAATGACTTAAACCCAAGTCACATTCATTTAGAAATTGAAAAAGAATAGTTAAGGTTTCCTTCCAAATGTTTGCAGCAACTACGTGGGAATGTCTAATGCAGGACACTAATAATAATAATAATAATAAAGTATGCAGGGCCGCCTGCGTGAACTCTTATTATAGACAAATAAGCACAATGTGCTAAGAGTCACCTCACTCCCTACCTCAAAGTGAAATATTTACACACTTCTGTACAGAAAAGTGTCATATCACAACATAAAGGATACAACACATTTACTTTACATACACAGCATGCTCCATCACTTATTAGCAGACAAAGTAAAGATTCATACAGTCACTGTGCACAAAATCAGAGAAAATAAAAGATGAAAAATGCTCCTAGTTTGCACAAATAAATGATGCACCTGCAGAGCTGCAATCCCAGATATGCATATTTTTAAAATAGCATCATAAAATTATTGCATATTTCCTTAAAAATATAATTGTGACATAATTTTGCTGCTCAAATTTTAAAAGTCAGAGCTAAACAAAGTGCAGACACCCTTTTATAAATATTTTAAGTAATAAAACTTGATAATTTATTTTATCTTAATTTTACGTCATGTTTATTTTGTGGCATTTGTAGCACAAAAAGACTCTTTAAATTGTGCAGGTTACAGTGCAGACCTGGTAAATATTTAACAAACCTAAAGTGTCACCAAGCATTGAAATTCAATCTGTTAGCAAATTCTTAAAATTTGCTTAATGACAGCAGGAACAAGTTTATCAACTGTTCCTGTCCTCTGAAGCAGAAGAAGGGTGGAACAGAGAACAACACTCTACCTGAGCAAACAGATAAACTGTGTAAAGACACCCACCAGGTGCGCCCCATCATCCATATTTATGCTACTGGCAATCCAACCTCGGAGAAAGTTGCTTATCACAGTGTGTTACTTTGACCCTGTAACCAACCTCTCACACACACACAAGCAGTGGAGCTATCAGCCTAATGGAAAAGTAAAAGGGCTGCTGTGGTTGACTGGAGAGAAGCAAACAAAGAGACAGATAGGAAAAGACAGCAGACAGGTGGGACGCACATGGGATGTTCTCACACTCACACACACACACACACACACACACACAAACAACCTCGTCTAAAGGGATGATGGAGGCAGCGGACTATGCACGGCACTTTAAACACAGGTGCCATGAATTGCTGCCCACATGAACAGCTGGAGGACATTGCGTGTCTCTTGTAACATCACACTACATGTATAGACCAGGGTTATTATGAAAGGAATCCATGCCTTCTTCAATGGGAATAACACAACCGTACTATTCAGAAATAGCACTCATGCAAAAAAATGCACCAATTCAGACTAATGTGAGTCATGAAGGTCAAAATAAAGTGGTCGTTTGAGAGGTGATGTCCATTTGTGTCTCATAATAACGCTGCTGATTCCAATTACCCTCAATATTGATTAGTCTGACAGCCTAAGTGAGAAGTCAATTAGTCTATGACTTGTCTGAAAAGGGGCGATACATTCCTCAATCTTCAATGTGATGTTTTTTTTTTGTCCAGAACTTAAAGAAAAGCAGCCAGTCTCCTGAGGTGGAAACAATTTGATTTTCTCAGAAACTGGTATGGTGTGATCTTCTTGATCAAATGTTGCATGCACATACCACCGTCAAGATATTTTAGAACATTTCACAAGAAAAAAAAATTACTAATTTTTGCCAACATTCATATGAAGATATATGGAACATTTTCCATAAAATAATCTTTGAAGCAGGAAAGTTGAGTGTGTGTGTGTGTGTGTGTGTGTGTGTGTGTGTGTGTGTGTGTGTGTGTGTGTGTGTGTGTGTGTGAGAAAATGATAAATTGTTTAAATCCACCTTTAGAAATAAGCAAATAATACTGACATGTGGAGCAAAAGTGAATTAAATCTGAATACTTCCTGATCTGTGGTTATTACCCAGCTCTCTGCTGACGTGCTCCATAGGCTGGGAGTCCCCTGGCCCTGAGAGCCAGACCAACAGTCCCTAATTACTCTATAAGCTTCAGGCAGCCTCTTGTTCTGTTCATAAGTTGAGAGGATGGGGTATTCTAATGTCTGTAACCGGCCTTGGACGTGCTCTGTGCCGGCCGGTTACGCCGGGAAAAGCGATCATCGGCACGAGGAGATGTGAGAACGCCGACCGGCCAGAGCAACCACCCCGCAGCCCCGTCCATACTTATCTCCACCAAATCAAAGCCTGCCCACTGATACTACTAGCAGGCCTTTTATCACGCTGCTCACAGCACCGCAAAACCTCTAACTGATTATAAAAGCAGAACCACAGAGAAAAAGGTGGACATAAAAGCGTCAAATCACATCTCTCTCTCTGCTTTGTGTCCTCCCGACTGGCACCGGGGCAGACGGTTTAACCAGAAAAAGCAGTCGAGAAACGGAACCCCTACCTTTCGACTCAGCGCTGTCCCCGAGTAGAAGTAATAGGCTATCCCCAGCACCCACAGCACCGCGAAACACAGCAAGATTCTCGATTTCCTCCGCATGGCTGATCGTCTTTTCCGTTTGTGTTTCGCGGCTCTCCTCTCCGCTCCGCTTTCCGCGAGTTGTAGGCAGCAGCTGTGTCCGTGCGGGGCGCTTCGCCGTGCGGCTTCGGAAGCTTTCGTCAGTCGGTGAGGGGGAGCTCAGGAAGCAGGAAGCAACGAGCCAACATCAGCGGGGTTAGAGGGCAAATATTAACCCACTCTAATCCAATCAAACACCGGCTCTGGCTGCCCTTAAGGTGGACCGGGGAGTCGAGCCGGGCCGTTCCGTGCTCGCGTCGATTGGACCGAGGGTGGAGACAGTTCTTATAAGAAGAGATTGTTGAAATGTCTGTCTGATGGAGCAGTGACACAATTATTATGCCACCGGATTTTTAATGTATGTTTGGCCGATAGGGGCACTAGAGACACCTTAAACCGGGTTAAAATGCAGCAAACAAACGGCTCATCTAAAAAGCTGGACAGGAACCTAGAAGTGAACAATAAAAACTTATGCCTTAGATTTTCTCAAATTGAATACAACTTATTTAAAAATACTTCTTCACGTTACATCAATTAAATCTTTATTTAACTTGTGTGATAATTTGCTATTTCATTCTGGTTTTATTTCATCCTTCTGTAAATGTTATTGAAAAATAGATTTCTGTAAGTTTTTCAAGATCTCCATTCGATTAAACGAAATGTACGCAAAACAAGCCGTATCTAAAATGTTAAGGCTTTAAAGAAATTTAAATTTAAATAAACCCAATTCAGAGACCCACCACTAAAGAGGTCGGAAGTCTTTCTGACAGTCAAACAGGTAAAACAAAATGATTAAAATGCTATTTGTTGAATTTAAGCCTAGCAGATAAATCAATTGTAGTTTGTTGTAACATTGCATTATAATATGCATTTGTTTTAGTTGCCATTTTAAAAATCTGGCTCTTATTTTCAGAAGCATCAAATACATATGTGAAAATTTGAAAGTTGTGTTTTAAATAATCATTCCAGTATAATCGTTATTTTAGTAAAAGCACAGACATTTTATTAGCTTAGTTATTAAAACACTACAGGTTACTCAAATCACAGTTTTGCAGATAATGTGACAAAGTTGAGGTTTTTGCAGTAAAATTAATTTTAAAAGTTAGTTTTCAAAATCATTGGCATGGGTTTGTAAACTGAGAAAGTGAGAGTGAATTATCAACCAAAAAACATCCGTCTGAAAATGATTTTGTGTGCTGGACTGGAAAAAAGTGAAAAACAGTCAACATCCAAAAGGAAGTTGGACAAACCTTTAGTGTCTGGAGGGAAGTTGCACAAAACAACTTCAAACTTTACAGGAAAGTCTTTGGAAGTTAAATATGAAGAAATAAGGGATGACTGCATGTTTACAGCCTTTGGTTTTTGGAGGTGGGGTCAGATCCTCAACTCACTCTTTTCCTGTTTTCTGCACAGCTTTCATCCCTTTAGATTGGCTTTAACAGTTGAATCATCTTTCAAACTTAAATTTAGACACTCATTTATTCTTAGAGCATGAAGTAAAACCTGAGACCTCACACACACACATCACTGAACAATTCTCTAGACTTTATTTTACAACTTCATACCAATTGGAAACCAGAAAACTGAAGCTAAAATATATTTTATTCTTACTTCTGAGGTGAAGAAAATGCTGCATGTATTCATCGGTAATGAGAAGTGCATTCATGTTACCCACAGTGCTGTTGGAGCCTGAATGGATGGGAGTCACTTAGTCTTGCAGGGGTGGGAAAATGTATATCTTAGTAACAGAAAGCTAAAAGTATCTATTTTATTTTTTTTTTGGTTTGAATGTCTCAAAACAGCGATCACACACAATCTACAGCAACTGAAGCAAAAATTCATATCAAAATGACATAAAAATCAATAAAACTTGAAAAAACAGGTTTGAATTGATATTTTGGGTCCTTATTTAGCAGTTTTTTCCAGCTGAGAGTCTGGAAGAGATGGAAGTTTGTGATGTGAAAGATCCAGAGAGGTTATAAAAAGATAAACAACTTAAGAGGAGTCTGACCACAACGAGCTCTGAAACATAAATATCATTAAAACCAACCTGAAAGCCAGAATAAACAGATTTTAATAAATCCTAGCAGCAGAGCTTGGGACCGAATCACGCTTAAAACAAGAAAAGGCTGTTAGCAACACCGCCATGAATTATACAGAAACTTCAGATAAAAAACAAGTCTGTATTCCACTCACTTATATGAAATTGCAGGTTCGCAACAGAAAAACATTAATCAGAAAAAAGCAGATGGTGGGTTTTATAAGGACGCTGGAGAAGTGATTCTAAAATGCTACTGCCATTATTTCTCTATAAATCTGTAATTTTTTTTCACAAGGAGCATCAGTACAAATATAACACAAAATGATTCAGATCACAAGTCTTCTTAATCTGAGTCGAAGTGGCAGAAAAACATAAATCTCACACTTTAAACTCACACCTTTCAACATCTGCTGAGGAGAAAGGGTTTCGTAAAACCTCCTGATGCTTGGAATAAAAGATAAAAAGTTTGTGTTTTGTGGTGTGATGATGAATCAAGAGGATGATTATTCCCCAGGAAGGACAAACTGTTGGTTTCAGAGAATCTGAATGGACTTTAACAGTTTACATTTTTTACGACTAGCTGAAGAAACAGACATTGGCACTGTTGTATCAGCTTTAATACATACATTATTGTCATTTATTTTTCTATTGTAATGGGATTAAATCATTTTTCTTTCTGTATCAGTTATTGTTGAACTATCACCCTCGTGCTGTATATGAAAAGTGATATTGAAACAACTGTAAAGAATGCTAACAAAAAGATTTCATTACATTTAATAGAAACCGTTAATAGGACTGCCATGTCTTAATAAAAGCCTAAATCTTTTGCAGTGCTGCCAAAACAGAAGGGGGGAAGCCAAACTTTAAAATGCATGTTTATTTAATAAAACGGATTAATTAAATGAGGAAAACATACACATGCTACAGTGATATGTTTCATAATGTTAAAAGTTGAGTAACCAACAGTCAACTCCTTTTATTAGAGCTGAAAACTAATTTTTCTTAGGTCTTGCTCAGATTACTCCTTTAGTTTTAACAGTCAGGCGACTCCCTCCTGACCAGTACTCTAGAGTACTTCATAGGTCCAGTCATAACTTGTGCAGCTTGTTTTGTGACCTCTGACACTCTTCTTCAGCATAAAAGATGCTGAAGCCTTTTATTTTTGTTTCAATTCAACTTCACTGCATGACAGATTAACCATACCAATTTTATTTATATGGCGCATTTAAAAAACAGCAGATTAAAGGACGAACTGATACTCATCAAGGCATTTTTCATTGTTTTACAAACATTAGATTTAGTTACTTTAAAACTTTTATAAACGCGGAATAGAAATCATCTGGGAAACAAATAACATCTTTATTTTACTATGAGCAGTTTACCAGAGATGCAGCCAGCAGACTCACCTGAGCAGCTAAATCACAGCAGATGGTCTGACCTGTGTGAATATGAGGATGAGTCAGCATTTACAACAGGAACGTGTTTTTGCAGGCGGTGGTTTGTCGCGCCTTCAGCGCCGTGTTTACGCTACGGGTTTGAGAAGTGTGGATGGATCCATTACCCGACACGATAAAGGGTTGTATCAGTTTTAAATTAGTTCTGTTGCATTTCCTGTGACTACATTTAGAAACTGCCAGATTTCACACACCAAGGTCAGAAAAATCCAGCCATCTGCTTTAGAGAAGAAAGCTTAAATTACCTGGTTCAAACCAGGGTTTTGAAGATCAAGCTGCGTCTTCATATGGAAAACCAAAGGAGAGTAAACACAAACAGAATTACGGCGGCTCCTTAACAGAGTTTAACGACCAACCTTTAAAAAGGCTCAAGTGTTTTCAGGAACACCAGGCTTGGTTTAAAGCATGCGGGCATCAACCTTTGAATGATAATAGACTGTTTATATGAAAAAAAATTTGCACAAAGTACAATTAAAACAGGAAACACAGAAAGTAATAGTATTTTAAAGGTTTGGTGCTAATTAAAAGTACAAACTGCATAATCCTATAAATGAACAAATTTACCAGCATATTCTATCTTTAGAGCAAAATGATTCATCAGCAAATTAAATGCTGTCCACAGCTGTTATGATGTCCTCATTCGCCATTCAAAATCAGAATATCTAATGAGGAGAGTGTAAAATATGTATGCTTTTGTCAGATCAGACAGTGTACTTGTCCTCTCCTTGTCTCTGTGGTTTGTGGTAGTGGACGTAGCTGCCGTGCAGCTCGTTGAACACCTCTCTGACCCCCATGTTCAGCCCCGCCTTCAGGAACTTGATATCCTGCTCCATGCACAGGTCCAGTATGCAGTAGACGCCCTCCGTCAGGTGCAGTTTGATGTCGGGTCGCAGAGTAACCTAGAGAGGCAGTAAGGAGGTGGATTACTAGACAGCAGGAGAGGAATGTTGTAACTTTGCTTCAGTTGAAACTCCATCAAAATGCTCAGATTTAATGGATTGAAATTATCCTTTTTTACAGACTCTTTCTAAGATCTTCACGTGTGTAAAACACACCCTTGTTCAAAAATCACTAAATGCTGAAAAGGGTAAATAAAAAAACATTCATATAAACGCCACCCGCTTATTACAGCCATTTTATTTTGGCATCTGCTCTGGCTTTAACTTTCTCTTTGACTGATCCCAGAGAAACATAGCTGATTATATTCACAATAATTAGATTAATACAGAAGATTTGGAATTTTATTTCCACAATGAAATCATGAAGATTGTGTAATCCAGGTCTGGTGGTGTGATACAACCCGGCCCGTGTGGCCTAAGGGCTCTGGTTCTGTTCTGTACCTGAGTGACAGAAGCAGAGCAGCGAGCTGAGCCGGGCAGAAATCCAACACTTCAAACACAATAGCATTCTTTATGCAACAAGAAGTACAAACAATAGTCCAACTACAACTGAACCCTGACAAACAAGTGGGAACAACACCAGACAGCTTCCTTATAAACATTTCTGTAACGTTATCTGGTTACCGTCATGCAGGTGACCCTCCATGACCCTATATATGAGAAACCTCTGTTCTCTGTAGTATAGAGACCAGACGTTTCACATCCATGGTGACAAAACCAGGAGGTTTCAGCTGCTTTGAGAGGCGACCGTCCCTTTTAGATGACAGGCTTTAAGGTTCTGACTACAGAGGTAGTGTTAAATACACCCTCCTGGTGCCTCCTCTTATTAACACACCTGCATCTGTAAACAAAGTGTACTGGAGGCCTGACAAAAAAATGCGGACTAATTGAAACTGCTGAGCTTTGTGAAAGTGCAATTGTATCCCTGTGTCCCACTGTGTCCTAAATGGTAAACGGCTCACACCTACATGCTTTTTGTATGTTCTACAAAGCTTTTTGCAGTGAGTTTCTCACACACACCCATTCACACACACTTACAATGATCTCTATTATACACACCATTCTCTATAGACACGCGGCTGTGTATTACCACACTGCCTATGACCTCTGATTTTTAGGGATGCACCGATGGATCGGCATTTGATCGTAATTGGCCGATAGTGCCCCTATCGGTTTTGATCGGAATTTTCAAAATAGATCAAAGCAGACCGATCAGGTACGGTTGTCACGGTAACCGGTGTAGCGGTAAACCCCGGTAAAAAAAAAAGTTGACAATAATAATAACCGTCTTGTTTTTTAAAAAACTATATTATCTTGGTGGGTTTACCGTGGCTGCGGTGTAGGCGCTGTGACCCTTACCAGCCACCGTATCATTGGCTGAAGTTGCCGGCGGCACATGCACGTTTTCTTGTTTACAATCAAAACTTTCTTGAAGCTAAAGCTGAAATAATGGTCAAAGGAGGAGACGGCAGCACTCAGGAGGACATTTATTATCCCTCAAAGAAGACAAAGTCGGAAGTACGGGCATATTTTAGATATTTGAAGAATGCCGAGGGAGTTGATAGAAGACGAATATCCTGTTTGCAGCACGTGCAGAAAAAGTGTCTGTGAAGGGCAGCAACGCTCCAAATCTCATGACACATCTGCATGACCATCACCCACAACTCTACAGTCAACGCAAGGCAAGCTAACGTTAGCGATTTAGCTAAAATGCGTGATCCGAGGATTTGGGTTGAGGGAGAATGCAACGAGTCGCTATATAAAGCAGCCGCAGCGCCGCTACCTGCATATAAACCGTGTCGCGGACAACCCCATGTTGAAATGACGCTATGCATTACGGGGCTCCCAGGGGCAGATAAGAGTTGGTCTCTCTCCGAGAATAATTATGAATTTAACAATGATTACTGCCTGATGACATTTTCCCACATCTGCAAAGCTCACTGGAAGGACACAAACCGAGGACAATATTTTCCTGATATAGGGTTTATTACTCAAGTAAGGGTAAAAAAGTATCTGATTAGAAGGCTACTTGAGTACTGAGTATCATCTGATCTAATATTTTTAAAATGATGACATCAAACAGACATGAAATAAGAAGTTATGGGCAAATATTGGTATTTTACAGACTAAAGGGAAAAAAAGTAAACAAATAAACAACATAATTACAAAATAACACATTTTAGGCAAAATTTAGACACAAACTGAGGACAATATTTCCTGACATACAGGGTTTATTTAATTGTGTGAAAATGTAGCACGTTTAAAAAAATACCGCGATAATACCGAAAACCGTCGTAATTTTGGTCACAACAACAGTGAGGTTAAATTTTCACACCGTGACAACCCTAATACAGACCATTTTAGATTAGGTTACATTTCCTTTATTCCCAGATTATGTAGTTTGTACCACTCATTATAATGTTGTAGAAAATTTCTGGCCAATCCACGTGATCGGTATTGGTGATCAGCATTCTTTGATATCGGTATCGGTGATCGGCAGCAAAAAACCTGATCGGTGCATCCCTACTGATTTTATTGAATTGTTTCTCTCTTTGTTTTTTCTTTGCGTTTTATTGCTGTTTTAATGGATTTTCTGAATGTATTTTCTGTCAAGTGACCTTGGGGGTTCTGAAAGGCGCGTTTAAATAAAATGTATTATTATTATTATTATTATTAAAGTTTGTTAAGAGCCACGTTAATGTAAAACATTTTAAAGGGCATACTCTCTAAGGTATCTTTACTTTGTACGAGAGGAACAGAATGTTCAGCTGTTTGTTTATGGGAGCTAAAACAACAGCAGGATGTTAACGTTTTCACTGCAGCTCCAGTTCTGGCCCACAATTCCATTCCGACACAAACTACCTCTGACTTGCATTAAAGCACAATCTTCATTTGTGGATTTTTGAATTACCAAATCACCCAAATACCTTCTTGGACATCTGTCTGGCTGCACTTTAAAGATGTGTTCTTAACGAGTGACTGCTGGAAACTGCTGAGTCAGGCCAGCATCTAGTTAAACATCGTCTGGCAGCGACCGGGAGCCACATTTTCCAGTCAGACGTGACTCAGGGGGGTAAACGAACATCCAGACCTAAGCTTTGCTTCGGCACACAGAGTTACAGTAATCCTGGATGTGTTCCCTGAGATTTGTGAACATCTACAATTTGGCTACAAGAAACATTTCCCATCACTGTCTCTGAGCGTCAGCAGTTCTGTCACTCAGCTCAGTGGCTTTCAGACAAACTGTAGTGGATCAAATGATCAGCTCTGTGTGTGTGTGTGTGTGTGTGTGTGGGTCACAGCTGTAGAGAGTTAAAGAACGACAGATATGTTTTATGAGCATGTGCGAGTTATTTTGACCTCGAACAGCACAGTTATTAGTTCACATTATCACTACAAAAGGAAACTTTGTAGACCAAAAGTTGCTGCAAGACACAGAGAAAAACGTTGTGTGTGTGTGTGTGTGTGTGTGTGTGTGTGTGTGTGTGTGTGTGTGTGTGTGTGTGTGTGTGTACCTTCTGCAGCTCTGTGACATATTGAGCCACCATGAAGGCTGGCAGTGCAGTGAAGCTCTCAGCTGCAGCAGCAATGTGAGAGTACATCCTCTCTACGAGTCTGGAGCACTGCAAATACACATCACTGTCCACGCCTAAAAAACACACACAATAATGGTGAAAATGCTTATTCTGCCTATTCAGCTTTCACACCTGAGTCTTTTAGGTGCAGACCTTTAAATCATAATCTTATGGACAAAAAACAAAACACTTAAGAAAAAAAATTAAACTCAACTTGCAACATGCTCGTAAAACCCTTGAATTGCTTTTAAAGAACGGTTACCATGGTAACCGATGTAACGGAATGAAATGACTGTTTTCCACCAAAAGTCACTTTCCCCCTCTCCTCTGACACAGGACTAGTCTGCATGAGATATGGCCTCAAGGTCTCATGCATTTCTTATAAACTGCTTCTTTCCAGCTCAACAGAAGAATGAAGAAACGACTCTCTCCTTTAAATAAATCAAAGAACTCTATTTTTAATAAGGCTAATCAAACAAAGTGTTAGTCAATAATAAGATGTGACCAATCTGTGAAATCAAAATATTAATTACTTTATTATAATCCTATAGAATATAATAAGTAATATAACTTTAAATGTTTCCACTAGGATTGATCTCACGTAGTGTCAAGAGACGACACATTGCTTTACTGATCCAATCAGAATCTGCCAGATCTGACGGAGGCGTGGTTTTGGTGGTGTTTGGTAAATCTGTCATCTTTTCATTCGACCTTAAACCAAAACATCCGAAGTATAAAACTATGCCCACGTCATCTCTAACGTCAGTTCAAAGCATTCTAGAGAAGTTGACGGAGTGACCAATCCGTAACTTTCCTCTTCAACCAAAAGAACCAACGACAAGCTGGAAAACCTGTTGCTGTTCCAACTGCTGCAACGGTTCCTTTCAGAATAAAAGCTGAACCAACACGACCCTGTTTTGGGTCTCGCTAGATGCCAACAAACTGTAGTGACCCGGAAATATCTCAAGACTGGTGGTCGGCTGCCGCGGCTGTTTCTACATGCTTCGGCTCCATAAAGGTCAAGCTGGACCTCTACACCTCCTGATCTAGACGGGGACTTCCTCTAAGGGTACGTAGACCGACAGCATGGCGTTGAATGTGTTTATGAATCTCCTAACCAAAGCTTAGCACGAAGACATCACCTTCATTCCCACCAGAACTAACCGTTTCTTCGGATTTGCTGGTTCTGAGACACATTCCACACTACACCATTCTCCGTCTCATCCACCTTAGTTACACCATACATTTAGTGTTAAAGTTAGTCTAGTTTAATCTGTTTAGTAATAAATCTTTAAACTTTAAAACCTGACTCTCTCTTCTGTTGTCTCTGAGTGAATACGAAGCTGTTATCTAATCCCTGCAATAAAAAGTTCCAATCTTCTGGTTAAACAGTACCTACAGACCCATAAGGTTGATTTCATATTTGCTACGGAATCTTATGTCTTATGGCTTATTAAATAACATGTAAATTAAACCATTACATTGACAACTTCAGGTGGATCCTTGCAAAAATGTGTGATCCTTGCCTTTGTTTTTCACTTTGTTGACTTGTGATCAGACACAGCAGAGACCTTGTCTGCACTAGTTTTTATCAGGCGATTTGTTTCCATATAATCTGAGCTTTCTAATACCTGAATACTCACCCGAGTCCATTATCTCATACATAATCATTGCTAATTCTTTGCATAAATGCATGAATTCCTGATTTGATTTGGCGAAAGGCAAAGGTCCTAATTTCATGCAACATTTATACCAAAATCTTACAGAGCTTTTGGTTTCAAGTTGTTTTTTAATCAGCTGCATAAGCATAAAGCTACGATTTCAGCCAGTGTGCGACCAGCCGACAACAGCAGCTAGCAAAAACATCTTTTGGTGATTATTTTCATTCTCTAATCAGAGAAGCTCCTAACAACTCTGTGAAATGCTAATCTGATTTAAAGACTGTAAAAAATTCGCAAAGAAAAGTATAATGTCAAATTTTAGCAACAATTACACCCTAAAGACTTTTCAGCTACACTAAAAAAAAAAAAAAACATAATGCACAGGTTACCGGTGTCAGCGTCTCCTTTCTGACGACCCTCCTGCATGATAGATGCCACCAAACGATAGAAAACATTCAAGAAGGACGGAGCTGCTGTAGAAACCACCTGGAGGGAGACACATTTAGGCGCTCTTACAAACTTTCAGTATGAAAACGTTTGAATGTTAATAGTTTCCCTTCCTGGAATGAAAGCCATTCACAGCGCAACAAGCAGCTTAAGTTTAGGGCTGCCCCTAAAGTTTGTGTGAAGAATTCGATGACTACGGTACAATGGATTATCGACAGTGATGCTGTACAGAAACTAAAATGTTAGGAATAAAACGTTCTAGCTTCTCTTCTGTCCTCTGATGAAGACATATGGTGGAAAGATGAAGGTTGAAAACAGATGCTATGGCTAGCTCTATATGGCGCCATGCTGTCCCTACCTCTCCTTCGCACCTCCTCTCTACATCACACCATTTATTTTACCCACAAACTTCCTTTGTGGTCCAGCTTCAATACAATATTTCCCTTTGGTTCATCACCTCTACAGCCTGCATGACTTATTGCCCATTAATCCTCCATAAGTATCTTTTTTGCAAACTCGGTTTTACCTCCTTCTTCCTCTCCTGCTTTAGTGAAGCGTTTAGTGCTCACAAACATCTGACATCATTTAACTAATTCTTTTCTTCTTTAATTCAAAGCAGCTGCCTTGTTTCAGGCTGCAGTCACTGAAAAACCCCAACTTAAGAAGTTATATAAGCTGGTTAAATGCTGCATCTAACCGGGCCTTTGGACAAAATCCTGAGTGCCAGAATGAGTGAAGCATGGATATTTTGAGGTTATTATGCAGCTGCAGACGGACTACAGTGAGCTGAAAAAGTGTCATTCTTCTGTAGAATATCCTGAAGGCTTTCTTCATAAAGAGAATTCAAACTAGAAACCTTAACCTACATCAAGTTTAAGTGGTGTAAATACCCGAGTTATGTGTTCTTATATTTAGACATTCAATATTAGAATAATCTCAATCTGAATCACATGAATTTCTGGGTAAAAAACTGTTCTTTCACAAACCTGAGTTTTGTAATCCATAGCTGAAATTGCCTGATTTCCAAAGCTTGTTACCCCGGTTAGTGTGGTTTGTTAAAGCTACAGTACAACCGTGTCATGTTTGGAGACTGGTTGAAGCTCAAAGCAAAACCTCCATCATGGTATAAAGCAACTTGTGCCTGAGGGAAAAATTTCACCTACAAATACTGGAGACAGTTGAGCACACATCAGTAAATAAAAGTTTCTTACTTCACAGCTTAATGAATTTTCAAATAGGCCATAAAAATCTAGCTCAGGGGTCTGCAACCTGCAGCTCTGGAGCAACAAAGGGCTCTTTGGACCTTCCACAATGGCTTTCTATAAAAATTATAATTAAAAAAAAAGCAGTGTTTTTAAATACAGACATATTAAAAATTCAGATTAAATTAGTTTTTCCAATTTTATTGGAATAACTGCACTGAATTTCCACAACAGAATGACACTAGTAATAGTACCAGTAATAGTTTTAGATCTATTTGGAGTGTTTTTTGCATCATTTTCCACAAATATCAACATCCCAAATAAAAAATATCTACACTGTTTTTGCAAAAGTTTTGTTTAAATTTCTCTATTTTAAAACCTAATAATAAAAGAAAATTGTATATTGTTCAACAATGACAACAAATATATTCACGGAAGAGGAAAAAAAGATTTTTGACTTTTAATCTCAGAAAAAAAACGTCATGATCCTGATTTTGTCAAAATTCTGAGAAAAAAAATACTGTTTTTAGTGGCCTTAATGCTCATCCGTAGATATTTCTCAAAAATTAACTGTCTTTTTCAAAAGGTCCTGTCACATTCGTAGCTCTGAACAGGTTTTACTGCGGTGGACTGATCTAGCTGAATGTGTGGGAGATGATAAGCTCTGGAGATTCAGCTGCATGTATCACAATAAGCGAGCTCAGCCATGACCCGTGTCGAACAATAGTCTCTCGGTACCTGAGGGTGACACTGGATGATGGTGAACAGCGCCTCGTGGACAGCCAAGAAAGCAGAGTGGTAAATGGGCGGAGCCAGGTGGTCGAGGGGCAGCGACTGGAGCGCGCTGAGAATCAAAATCACGTGATGAGGGTTGTTAATGAGCCCCTCCCCCTGGCGCAATAATGATGTCATCGATGCAACAGCGGGAACAGTAAAAGGAAGGGTGAGGGAGGCATCCTGACTGGATGATCGAACCAAAAACTGTAACACAGAAAGATGAAACACACACTATATGTGACAGAAACACGACAAGAAAGCCTCGGTGGAAACACCAAACATTTATTTATTTACATAGATTACATTTTGGGGCTAAAAGAAGAAAGACGTTGCCTGTTGTGTCACTGAATAAGGTGTCTGAAGATGAAACAGTCATGAATTGTTGAACACTTTAATATAAATTACAAAACTCTTCTTGTGTGTGTGTGTGTGTGTGTGTGTGTGTGTGTGTGTGTGTGTGTGTGTGTGTGTGTGTGTGTGTGTGTGTGTGTGTGTGTGTGTGTGTCTGTGTGTGTTCTCGCCAAAGCTTTCCTTTCAGTCGAGCTGCATTAACCCTGTAGGGGTCGAGGTTTTCTCACCACCATAGCAGAAAGGATCTGAGGTGCAGTGAGCCACAGAGCTTTGGAGCAAGGCTCAGGTAGCTGACAACTGGACAGCAGCTTAACGGCAATCACCGCTGACAGCACCTCCTGCAGGAAAATCAGTGGGAAAGAGTCTGAGAAGCTCATCGACTGAGAGTTTAACACAAGGGTAAGAAGTCCGATCTCGGGCTTAAAAGATTTTTTTTTCACATGTAAAAGGTAACAAAAAGTTCTGAAGGCTGAAATGCAAATAGGAAAATATTAAATTATCATCTTAAAGTTAAAGTCCCAAAGTCACCATAACACACAGGTGAAATTAATCTCCCTGTTTGTGGGCAGCAGTAGGCTGCAGCTGTGGCTGCGCTTGGGAGCTATTTGGTGGTTTAACACCCAATCCAACCCCTTAAAGCTGAGTGTCAAGTAGGGCGGCATTGGGTCCCACTTTTAAAGTCTTTGGTATGACCCAACCGGAATTTGAACAACAATCTCGCAGTCCCTGGGCGAACACTCTACCACTGGGCCACTGAGAAGGTCATCCCATCCTATTACAGAAGTGTTTGCACTTGTCAGCTCTAACATTTAATTCCTTTTTGCTCCGACACACACAGACATGAACTCTACTAGATGTCTGAATCTCTGCTGTGGTATCTGACACCAAGCTGTCAGCAGCAGATCCTCTCAGCCTTTTAAGCTGCAATGGCAAATCTGCAAAACAAGCATGATTAAAACTTGTTTTCATGCCTCTTAACAACGCTCTAACATATAAATATGTTCATAGCCCCATAACCCCTTGGACAGTCAAAAATCTTCATCATTGGGTGTTTTTTCCATCATGTTAAAACAACAGTAGCTCACTGTCAAATGTTTCCTTCCCACTCTTTCCTGCCAGAACAACAAAATAATAAACAAATTCTCATGTCTGATCTTGCGCTCACCCTGTAGTTCCCAGCCCGGAGCTTGCTGATGTCCAGCCCTTCTCGGATCATCAGCAGAAGCAAGTTGAACTGAATTATGGTGCTTTTCTCCACCAGGTGGCGCAACAGCTCCTGCACTCCTGGCTCCAGTTTCCCGACATCAGCAGATGACAGCCAAGAAGCTGAATGAAACATGAAAACATTTTATAACAAAATCAGGCTCTTTTTTTTACAATTCATCACATTTCTGAGATTTTGGCCTCAAACTTCATTGCTAAATATGTCAAGATCATCTAAATATTTGTCAAATTTAACTTATTTCTGAGAATTTTCTGTTAATTTGCACAATAATCAAATATGGTCAGAAAGCTTCACGTTACAAACTTACCTTTTAGAAGTCTGAGCACATTTTGCAGTATTTGGACATACAGCTGCTCCATCTCCTCATCTGCTCTCGTCTTCACCAGGGCTTTGTAAAAAGCAGACAGGAAATGGAGAGAGGAGATCAGGAAGTCCATGGGCCTTGGAGCGGAGCTCATTTCTCTAAGAATCTGTTGACAGACGACCTGATAGAGAGTCATATGGGCTAGCTGGGTGTTATTCTGTCTGCCCTCTACGTCCACCGATAAGGACGCCAGCTCACAGTCCAGCACGGCTGTCACAACCTCCACGACGTAAGCTTGAGTGGGAGTGGAGGCTGGTTGGTCAGCTGCATTGCAGTTGGTCTTCAGGAAGGTTTCAACAGCAGGTCCGAGTGAAGAGGTTATTCTAGCAAGCATCTGGATTAAAGTTTCATCCATTGGCTTACTTCTGCCTAAATTAGTTGTGATTGTCTGGGAGAAGGACGTCAGAGATGTCAGCAGCAGGTGGACAGAAAACACAGATGCTCCTGAACCAGGTAACACAATCTGTCTGGCTGCCATTTCCTTACTGGTTAGAAAGGATGCAAATTGGTCCAGGTTGAGTCTAACGCTGCTGTTTCTGATTATTATCAGATTGACTAAAGATCTTGTGAAGCCCTGAGCTGCTTTAACCAAGTCGAGCCAATCGGTTCGCCATGTTTCCTCGGGTTTTGTGGAGCTGCTGTGCCAGAGGAGAGATGATAAAGCGGCCCGCAACAGAGTGCCACCATGTACGAGCTTCAAAACACTCTGGAAGCTACTCTCTTCAATGAGAAGAGTCAGAGCTCTGAGCAGCCTTCCTAAGAGCAGAGGATCACCTCCCGTTTCAGGAGGAACCACCTTGTCAAGCTGTCTGGAGGTGGAGGTGAACGTGACGAGGAGCAGCAGGAAGATGGAGGAAAGATCATCAGGACTCATCCCCTCTGTATTTAGGTTTGTTAAGATTTGTATCAGGTTACCCAGCTCTGTGATCTGTGCATCTGTCAGCAGCACGAGCATCTCTCCAGTCTCAGAAGATGTCATAACATCCTCGATTATGGCCTCTTTAGTCTCCTGTGAGAAAACAGGCTGAACAACATCACCCTCTGAAGGAATCCCTCCAGCTTCCTTCCTGTGAACTCTCATAAACTTGGGACAACCCTTTGGTGAGCATCCTGCCTCGAGCAAACTGATAATCCTCTGTGTGAGGGAGCGAATGGTGGCAGAAAAAAGAGGAGCCAACTCTGGAAAAACGGAGTTCAGAGCGAGTTGAGACGATGCGAGGGAGAAAGTCAGACTTCCAGGTGCATGATCCTCAGACCCTTCTGTCTGTGTTTTCAACAAAGAACTTACAAGCACATGTGCTACATGTCTGACGTCGTCGCCACTCAGGTGGGAACCAATCAGAGGTAGATTTGATATGACTAGATGCCAGTGTGCTACTGGGTAATTATTTGCATTAACACAGCATATCTGACCGTCCCAACTCTGCTCTCCATCCGGAGTCCCAGCGTGCTCCGACTTAGCTACGATAAACTGGGCCGACTTGCTCAGCAGTGCTGCGGAGCTGCTTCGACCAAGCAAAGCACAATCTACTATAACTTTTTTCATCTGCTGTAGGGTGAGGAGTTTAAGCAGCAAACAGCTCATGGGGCTGCAGAGGGGTGAAGGATGGAGAGAAGGTATGATTGAACCTGATAAGAGACTCTCCATGTGGACAAAGACTGGAGAACTGGAGGAAGCTTCAGTGTCAATCTCAGCTGCGGTCAGGAATGAGTCAACTGATGTGTATTTACTGCAGTGGAGATGGAAGAGTGTGTCTACTTCTACCCAGGTGTATCTGAGCAGGAGAAGGGCCTCTTGTGCCTTCTGTTCCCAGACTGTGGCTGTTTGGGACTTAGAAATGTTTTCTGACCTCCGATTCTTTTTCCCTTTCTTAGGAATCTTTAGAGCTGAAGAAGCTCTGTTCCCCAGTAAAAGATCAAATATCTCTCTGATTGTCTGCTGCATTTCCTCCATGAAGGCTTTGCTCTGCCTGACTAAAGGAACAGGGGATGAATTATCCAGAGTCTTCAGGCTAAATAAAACAACATGAAGCAGCTGACTGAGACCGGAGAGCTTCAGAGACGCGTCTTCTCTCTGTTCAGCTCTGTTCTCACTGTCGATCTCCATCTTCTCTACCTCTCTTTGCTCTGACACTAAGTCAGGTAGCACACATGTCCTGATGCTCTTCAACACAGATGAGCAGATTTCTAAAACCTGAGAGGACGGCGTATCCAGAAGACAGGTTCTAAGGGATCTGGAGATGCCCTCAGACAGCAGAGGAGGATGGCGGTCATCCCGAGCTGGCTGACAGATCACAGACAGCAGGACAGAGAAGAGGCGAGGCAGCTGACGGAGCTTAGTGTAGGTCTGGAGAAGGCTGCATACCAAATTCTGTTGAGGGACACACAAACATTGTTCTCAATCAACAAATTCTACAGTAAATTACTTTTTACCTTAATGTGTTGAATTATAAGGAGTAATTTCATAAATGATGACCTGTCTGGCACGTTGCACTTGTGAATTCACGTCTTCAGCGTCCACCCAAGCCGAGATCAACAGCTGGTCCAAGTCTGGCTCAATAAGCAGATGATTGAGACTCAAAAGTACCTTTAAGCAGCGGTACCAGGATGATATGCTGAAAGTCAAGAGGGACACATTGCCTTCAGAGCCAGGCAACTTTAAACATAAAAAATATATTTCCACAGATGAAATAACATAAATTATTACCTCGGACGGGCTTCTTTTAGGATCATCTGGACCAAGCACCTAAAAAACCTCAGCTGGACCTCGCCGTGTCTTATTCTGTCTGCAGCTACATTATAGACGCCTGCTGACAGAGACTGGCTTAACAGGGACTCCACGGCCTGCAGAGCCAGACTCCAGGATGAGTCTGGGAGAGACTTCTCCTCTGAGGAATCAGAGTCTCGCTGCTCTGCTTTGTTCGGTTCAACCGAGGATCCCTCAGGATAAAGATCTAACGTTGGGACCAATCTGACGAGGAAGTAAAAACACAGCATTTTGCACTCCTCCTCACTTTCTCCTTTCCATTTCCCATAGCTTTCCAGAAAAAAACTGAACAGCAGAGATGAGGCTTCACATTTCAATGGGTAGAGCAGAGACTGCTCGCAGTAACCTGTGGCTTTCAGTTTGCTGAGTAAAGCACTAACAGGCTTCAAAGGCCCCTTAGAGCCCCCAGAACCATGTTTCACAGAGTCCTCCTTGGATGGGAAAAGTTCTGCCTTGTAGGAAGGAAAGTGTTCGGAGGGGAAGAGGGCTGACTGCAGGACGGAGTCGATCTTGGAGCGAAGGTCTCGGCGTAGCTGCAGACGGAGCTGCAGGTGTGAGAGAGAAGCAGTGAAGTCCTGCGAGGTTAACAGGTATCTGAGCAGCATTAACGGCTGGATGAGCTGGTTGGTGAACAAAGTGAAGACTCTGTTGGGGTTGGCTTGTTGGTGCTGCACTGACGAATAACATGACAGCACCTGAAGCAACACTTCAAATACATTATTTGAGAGGTGGTTTATCTTTGAGTGGTTGGCCTTTATCCCCGGTGGCACTGACTGACTCTCAGGTTCAATCTGCAGACGCTCCATCAGTTCAGCTCTGCATGTGCGTGATTTAGTCACTTGGACTGTTCTGAGCTTCTGTATCTCATGACTAGCCAATAGGCAGAATCTGCCCAGTAGACTGACCATTAGTTCATATTTTGTGGTGAAAACAGATGAAAGTGCAGGAGAAGAAAGAATTCCCCGACACACACTCATTACGGTGGACACGGACACCGATAGGCGATCGTGTGCACACTCCTGCAGATGGTCCAGCAGCAGCTGAAAGAAAACAGAAAAACAGTCAGTGAAACTATTAAATTTGATCGTTTTCTTTATGCCCTGATGAGAATAAATGATATAATCAGATCATTAAGTTCATAGATCATTCAGAATGTAATCACAGAGTTGTGAGACAAATGAGAAAAAACTAACAAACATCAGGATTTTTTTAAGAACAACTCACCTGCAATAAGATTAAAAATGAAACAAAAAAAGAGAGGATTTTAATAAATTGTTAATCCTGAGAAAGAAAGTCCACATGAAAGATATAAGACCAACCAGATATAAGACCAACCAAATCTGGCAAAGAAAAACTAACAAAAACAAAAATTGATATTAAAATCTGGTGTAAAAACTAAAAACTTTTTTTTTTTTTTTTTTTTTACTAAATCATATGTGCACCTGTGCCATGTTGAGCCTCAGAGTGATGGTAGCTCCCTGCTTGAGGAAAGAAAGCAGCTTTCTGCTGTGGAGCACATCATCCAGGTAGCACCACAAACCTTCCAGCACTTCCTGTGAGAAATCTACCTTCTTACTGTGCCAACCCGTGAGGGCATGAGTGCACCAGTCCAACAACACCTGCAAAAAGAAAAAGACAAAGAGGGATTAATAAAAACAAAATACCTCCCTGTAACTGCGTATCATGACCCAAGCCATCAAATGAATGATTATGGTCCAATTATCTACAGAGGCCTTTTCAGTCCCTTTGATACAATGTCCTGTGATCACATGGTGTATTACTTGTTCTTTGTTGGGCAGCAGGCACTGAGAGGAGATCCAGGCAAACCGCGCCAGCTTCAACCTGTCCTCCCAAGAAGTCTGTGGATTCTTCAGCTTCAGGTAAATCCCTGAATATATGGCAGACATGGCTGCAGCTGGGCAGCCCTGGAAGAGGAACAGAAAAGAGCGTAAGAGATTACAACCAAGTTGTGTTAAAACCAAACGTTTAGGTATGACAAAAAAGACATATGCAATAAGTCTGACTCTTTTATTTAGGCAGATTATTGCGCAATACCAACCACAACATTAGGGTTTCGTAGGCTTACATGCTAACAACACTAGCTTATTCATGTTAAAATAGATAAGTATCGGATTAGTATAAGCCGACCCACAAATATATATATTGTTACGTTGCTTAGCTTAAGTTTTACTTGTTTATTTCTCAGATTTTACCTTAAACTATGATAGTTTTCACCCGCACGTGTCTGCTTACTAGGTTTGCGACGAACTTTCAACCGTAGTCCTGTCAGACAGGCTCAAGCAATCGAGAGTAGACGAAATAGATTTAGACAGATTTATTTGTTTATTCTATCTGATTACTCCAAGTAGATTAGGCAAATCAATATTTATTATTAATATGTTTAATTAAATTGCATTTTATGGTTCAGCTTTAGCAGCAGATTTCATTAAATAGCAGTGTATAACAATGTAATAATTCATAATTGTCAGCAATAAATTGTGTTTGGCAATCGTAATGCATTTACTGATTAGTGTTTTTTAATATAAAATTTCAGTCTTTTAATTAATGTTTAAATCATTAATATGTTTCAATTTATTTTACTTCATAGTATCATCACGAGCACATACTTGATAATTTTTAAATCAACATACCATACAATACCAACTTTATTTCCATAGCACAATTTAAGACACAGGGTGAGAGCTGACCAACGTGCTGAACAGGCAGGATCAACTTAAAACAAAAAAGAAAAAACAATAAGATAAAACACAACAATAAAAACTATAAAATCATAATACATAGACAATAATAGCATTTAAAGTCATGTTTTCTGGTAATGTATTTAAACTAAAATTATAACAAATAACATTTTATTAAGATGAGAAAGAAACAAACGAATTAAAACAGTTTTCATAAACCATTGCATCATTAATCTGGGTTCGATTTGTTCTGCCTGGGGAAGTTTCTTACATCATGGAGGCGGAGGAATCGTCTGTTCTGTACATGCGAATCAAAACCAGGGTCACCTTTCCTGTTTCTGTCTTTTTATCTGTTCACCAATAAGTTTAGATTCGTTAGCTTGGCCCGGCTCGAGTGTTAGCTGGTTTTCGGCAGCTTGCGGTCGCTCTTCACGTGCCTGTCAAAGCCCAGAGACCAGCGTCAGATGATAGTGACAGGCAAGAGTGTGTTTGAGAACTGGGTGGTGATAAGAGATAAAGGTGGGTTGAAGAGGGCTGTCAGGCACAGATAAGTCTACAATAACGGTCTAGAATCTATAATGTAGCGGATGAAAGCTTCACAGCAGGACTTGAAGGAAAATGGTGTGTTCACTTACCTGCTGGGACATCAAAACGCTTCTCCAGGTCAACAGGAAACGACGAGACGTTCTGAGTTTGGGTCATCTGTTCCTTTACTGCTTTTAGACTGTTTTAGTTAGTAAAAGTCCCGAATCGGACCATGCGGCTCTTAATTCGCTTGTTAAACGGCACAAAAAGTAAACTTAGGTTAACCCACCCGAAGTTGTTATGGTTGGAGCACAGAGGAGGATTCTCAGCTGGCCACCACCGGAGGAAGCGACTGTCAGCCGGGGTGAAGACCTCCGTCTGTCCGCCTCCCCATACGTTCTATCTCCGTCCAGCCAGGCCCGTCCTGTCGGTCCTGTCCAGCTATCAACTGGCAGGTTCTTCTGTCCTCTTTGCACACACACTGACAGCACGGACAGTCCTACACACACCTGTTGCCTTCTCTAGCTCTTCGGCGGCCTCCACTCCAGCACCATCCGGGTCAGAGACCCAGGCGAACGCAGACCGAGCGCAGACACCCACCTCGGTCCCTCTGGAGGATGTTAAAAGGATCCTGGGTCTGGCTCATCCCGAGAGATGGAGACTAGCAGGTAACGTGCGTGTGGATGTTTGGATGGAAAATGTTCACCATAAAATAGATTCATTTGTTTTTATTCGGTCTCTTTCTTCCCACTCATGATTCATGCTCTGCTCATACTGGAAAAGTAAAATAATGTCAACTCTAACGTGAATTTGATTTTCAAGGACTTCAGTTTTGGTATTTTATTTTATCTTCATTCATTAAACTCACATACAAGTTGTAAATAAACATAGTTGTGATGTTACGTTATCTATTTTATCATCTAATTTCTCCTGGTTGTATCCCAAAGGTCTGGTTTTATTCTTGTTTTGTTCCCAACGAGACATGTCATTTTAAGTGGTCTTGATCGTTGTTCTTCAGGGTTTCCTTTGGAGTTAGGTGTCTTTAAAAAATATTCATTTCATCAGAGCAATGTTTATATTTGTTTGTTAAACCATCAAACTCTGACCTTTAAATCATTATGCCATAAAAAATGTTGTGATTTGTCAGACAACTTGGCAAGTAAGGAAATAAACATATTTTTAAATGCATTTTTAGACACTTTGCATACCATTCTTGCATAATTATAACAGCTAATTTCTATGAAATGCCAATAATACCACAGATGACACCACCAGTGTCCTCAACAAGACATCACCTAAATTGTCATAGATGGTCATCTGAAATATGGAGCATCATTCAGATTTTCATTTTTAAAACACTGTCCATCAGATATAGATCCTCGTTATGTCCTTATCTACTTTCATTTGTTTGCACATTACGCTCTTACAGTACAAGTTATGAAAAGCATGAGATAATTCCTCAATATTTCTTTAAAAGATTACAAAAAAGTGGTTGTACAGGAGCTAAATCTAAAGAAATGAAAGATTGCTTAAATATTTTGGAAACTGGTATAATAATTTTATTTTTGCTCTCTAATGTTGGATAAATTGTGTGATAACTAAGCTGGGTCCCTTTGCTCCAGGTTTCTATCGGACTTTTGAAAGACAATCTGGTTAAAACTGGTGTCGCGGACCGCGTCACTAATCTGTTTTCTCATTCTCCCTCTCTTCTCAATCCCAGCTGCCATCGGGTTCCTTACTGTCTCCAGCACAGTAACCATGTCAGCTCCCTTCTTTCTGGGCAGAGTCATAGACACGATTTACACCTCTGCTTCAGACACAGAAACCATGACGGCCTCTTTAACGTCTCTTTGCATCATGCTGGCGGGAGCTTTTCTCTGCGGAGGAGCAGCAAATGCTGCTCGAGTCTACATCATGCAGGCGTCAGGTGAGATGAGGAGGACACAAATGGGACAAAAGCACACATGTATTATCGTTTAGACATTAAAAGAAACCCACAAAGTTCTACATCAGTCCAGTAAAGGGTCCAAATCTAAATAAGCTCTCATGTCTTCCCTCCTCAGGCCAACAAATTGTTCGTAATCTCCGTACCTCCCTCTTCTCCTCCATCCTTAGACAGGAAGTGGCATTCTTTGACAGGAACAGGACCGGTGAACTCATCAACCGGCTCTCAGCGGACACCGCTGTGGTGGGCCGCTCCATCACGGACAACCTATCAGACGGCCTGAGGGCCGTTGCTCAGGCAGCTGCTGGTGTCAGCATGATGGTGAGGGCTGGACCCTGAGCGTTCTGCTGTTGTCGCTCCAGACACAACAGCTGACAGAGAGGAGGTGAAAGCAGGCAGAGACAGGGGACATGCTGTTAAAGAGACAGGAGTGGTCCGCATCTGTAGGTGATGAAGTGTTAAACAAAGGAAATTGATTTCTTTAAAATCTTATCAGTCTGACTTACAGAAAACAAGACTAAAATGTTTTGTTTGGTGTGTTTGGCGCTTGAGTGATTCTGTCAGACCGCAGCAGAGACACACCGGGTTGGTCTGGGAGTTTCCTTCTTAGTTACTTATAATCTGTAAAAAAAAAGTTGTGAAACAGGTTTTTCTTTTAAGTGACCCATGAACTGAGGATAATCTGATAAAACCTGTTTTACTTTATAGCAAGGAAGTGAATTTATTTCCTGGCACAGCTGTCATTCAAGGAACTTAATGGAAAGTAGTTCCAGCATCACCTCCATCAGCAAGAAGCTTTGTAAACGACAGAACTTCTTTATTCTGAATTTTAAATTAATTTAATAAAAACCAGTTAAGTGCAATAACTATAGTTTCCTCTCCACAGATTCCTGCAGTATATTTTGATTTTCATTCTAAACATTTTAACTTGATCATTCATGTATAACAACCCTGATAATTCACATGAAACTTTTGTGAACACAGATTTATTGCTGATTTAGTCATTTTATTTTCATCCTTCATTAAATGTGATTTCCTCTCCTCTAGTTCTACGTTTCTCCCAGTCTTGCGAGCTTTGTTCTGCTGATCGTCCCTCCTATGGCTGCTCTTGCTGTCGTTTACGGCAGATACCTTCGCGCCGTCTCCAAACGCACGCAGGACGCTCTTGCACAAGCAACACAGGTACACAGCCATACGGAAAAAGCCGTAGAAAATGGGTCCAAATATATCTCGGAATGTTGTATTTGAATTATTTCAAAAAAGCCTTGGAGGAAAATAATGTCAAAATCAGCTGTTTGCCTAGCTCATGGTTGTGTTTGCATATGATATAAAATGCTGTTTGGATCAGAGTAACTTAATTAAATGTGCAGACAGAGTAAATTTGCTTTGCTTTAATTTAACTGTGTGTGTGTGCAGTTGGCGGAGGAGAGGATCAGCAACATACGAACGGTCCGGGCTTTTGGTAAAGAGTTGTCCGAAGTCGACTCGTACACACGGAAGGCGGATCGGGTTCTCAGTCTGGCTAAACAGGAGGCCGTAATGCGAGCAGGTTTCTTTGGAGTGGTAAGTTTGTATTGGGCCATTCCCATCTGTAACTGGTCGGCCCGGCCCGGATAGCATCTTGGTGGCCTGCCCTTTTTCAGGGTGCAAAGAGACTGTTTTTCAGCCCTCTTTCTGAGGTGGTCTGCTTCAGGCTGACCAGGGCCAACACACCCACTGCTGACAGCAAATTCACACCTTCCATTAGAGCAAGCCTCTGATTGGTGGGTAGAATCCGCCCACATGGGCTTAAGACATGCTCAGTTCATTATCGTTCATGATCATGCTGATTACCTAGAAGCTGAAAATGTCTCTGACTGCATTCCTTGCATAGAAGAAGAAGAAGAAAATATCATTTCTATAGCGCCTCTCAAGATAAAATCACGAGGCGCTTCACAAAAACAATAAAAATTGTAAAAATATAAAAAAAACATTTCGAAAATGTTTAAAAATATATTTAAAATGAGCAAGAATAAGCAATTGCGATTTAAAAGAAAAAATGTTAAGAAAGGGAGAGTGAACAGGAAAGAGGGAAATCAGTGGATCCTGAGGAAGGTGGAATAGGTGGGGAGAGCAGAATAAAGAGCGAGTGGTGAAGAAGGTCATAGGTTGCATACCTAAGCAAGGATGTGTGGAATCAACCAGGCCAGGCTGGAGCTATCCGGGCAGGGCCGACCAGGTACAGATGGGAATGGCCCATATGTGTGAGTGGAGATGCTTGCAGGCTTCTGCTTTTGGGTTACCACAACAGCTACATTACTAAAGAATGCTGCAAAAAAGGTCAAAGGTTCAAATCCCACCTGCTGGCTTTCTGCATGTAGTTGGCCTTTTCTCATGCATGTGTTTTTTTTTTCCAGGCACTCTGGTTTCCTCTCAAAGACCAAAACCATCTGTTAGGTTCATTTATGTCACTTTGTGTAAAAGCATCTGCAAAAGGCTAAACCATGAACATAAACAACATTCCATGATTTAGACCAACACTAAACTTTCTCCATGCAAGCTCAGGCAGCCATAGTGTCGTTGAGTCAGAGACGTGTGGTAGAAAAGCATCCGATTGATTCCCAGTGAGATGGTATTTGTGTCATCAGTTCTGCACCAGGAAGTGGAAGTTGCATCAGAAGCTGTTGTAATTAAACAAGATGAAATGTGTTTCAGACTGGGCTGAGTGGGAACCTCATGATCCTGTCGGTGCTCTACAAAGGAGGCCTCCTGATGGCCAGCCAGCACATGACTGTAGGAGAGCTCTCATCCTTCCTCATGTACACCTTCTGGGTGGGCATCAGCATCGCAGGTATCGCATTCAGTCCGTACGCACAAGGGTCCTGGATGCTGCGTGTTTTCTAACACAACACCATTTTATTCAATTTTCTCTTTTTCGTGTGCAGGCCTGAGTTCATTCTACTCTGAGCTGATGAAAGGTTTTGGTGCTGGAGCCAGACTCTGGGAGCTGCTGGACAGAAAGCCAGAGTTTCCTCTAAATGGTAAACACACACGTGCGCACTTACACACTCATGCACACGCCACTGCAGGAAAGTTCTGCCACAAATTCAGATATATTTTTTATTACGTCTCGTCTCGTCTCGTCTCGTCTTCCTCCGCTTATCCGGGTCCGGGTCGCGGGGGCAGCATCCCAACTAGGGAGCTCCAGGCCGTCCTCTCCCCGGCCACCTCCACCAGCTCCACCGGCAGGACCCCAAGGCGTTCCCGGACCAGATTGGAGATGTAACCTCTCCAACGTGTCCTGGGTCGACCCGGGGGCCTTCTGCCGGCAGGACATGCCCGAAACACCTCCCCGGGGAGGCGTCCAGGAGGCATCCTGACCAGATGCCCAAACCACCTCAACTGGCTCCTTTCGATCCGGAGGAGCAGCGGTTCTACTCCGAGTCCCTCCCGAATGTCCGAGCTCCTCACCCTATCTCTAAGGCTGAGTCCGGCCACCCTACGGAGGAAACTCATTTCGGCCGCTTGTATCCGCGATCTCGTTCTTTCGGTCATTACCCAAAGCTCATGACCATAGGTGAGGATTGGGACGTAGATCGACCGGTAAATCGAGAGCCTGGCTTTCTGGCTCAGCTCCCTCTTCCCCACGACAGATCGGCTCAGCGTCCGCATCACTGCAGATGCCGAACCAATCCGCCTGTCGATCTCCCGATCCCTCCTACCCTCACTCGTGAACAAGACCCCGAGATACTTAAACTCCTCCACTTGAGGTAGGACCTCTCCCCCGACCCGGAGGTGGCAAGCCACCCTTTTCCGGTCGAGAACCATGGTCTCAGATTTGGAGGTGCTGATCCTCATCCCAGCCGCTTCACATTCGGCCGCGAACCTACCCAGCAAGAGCTGAAGGTCAGAGCTGGATGAAGCTAGGAGGACCACATCATCCGCAAAAAGCAGAGACGAGATTCTCCTGCCACCAAACTCGACACACTCCACACCACGGCTGCGTCTAGAAATTCTGTCCATAAAAGTGATGAACAGAACCGGTGACAAAGGGCAGCCCTGGCGGAGTCCAACCCTCACTGGGAACAGGTCCGACTTACTACCGGCTATGCGGACCAAACTCACGCTCCTCTGGTAAAGGGACTGAATGGCCCTTAACAGAAAGCCACCCACCCCATACTCCTGGAGCGTCCCCCACAGGGTGCCCCTGGGGACACGGTCATAAGCCTTCTCCAAATCCACAAAGCACATGTGGATTGGTTGGGCAAACTCCCATGCCCCCTCCATCACCCTTGCAAGGGTACAGAGCTGGTCCACAGTTCCACGGCCAGGACGAAAACCACATTGCTCCTCCTCTATCTGAGATTCAACTATCGATCGGACCCTCCTCTCCAGTACCTTGGAGTAGACCTTTCCAGGGAGGCTGAGGAGTGTGATCCCCCTATAGTTGGAACACACCCTCAGGTCACCCTTCTTAAAGATGGGGACCACCACCCCGGTCTGCCACTCCCTAGGAACTGCCCCCGATGACCACGCAATGTTGTAGAGACGTGTCAACCATGACAGCCCTACAACATCCATAGCCTTGAGATACCCAGGACGAACCTCATCCGCCCCCGGGGCTCCGCCGCTGTGTAGTTGTTTGACTACCTCAGCAACTTCTGCCCCCGAGATCGGACAGTCCATCCCCAGGCCTCCCAGCTCTGGTTCCTCCTCGGAATGCGCATTGGTGGGATTGAGGAGCTCCTCAAAGTATTCCTTCCACCGTCTGACTATAGCCTCAGTTGACGTCAGCAGCTCCCCATCCCCACTGTAAACAGTGTGAGCGAGTTGCTGCCTTCCTCTCCTGAGGCGCCGGACAGTTTGCCAGAACCTCTTTGGAGCCGATCGATAGTCTTTCTCCATGGCCTCACCAAACTCCTCCCACGCCCGAGATTTTGCCTCGGCAACTGCCACTGCTGCACCCCGCTTGGCTATCCGGTACCTGTCTGCTGCCTCCGGAGACCCACAGACCAGCCACGCCCTGTAGGCCTCCTTCTTCAGCCTGACGGCTCCCCGAACCTCTGGTGTCCACCAGCGGGTACGGGGGTTGCCACCACGACTGGCACCGGCCACCTTACGACCACAGCTAGCAACAGCCGCCTCGACAATCGCAGAGTGGAACAAGGCCCACTTGGAGTCAATGTCCCCCACTGCTCTCGGGACGTGGTCAAAGCTCTGCCGGAGGTGGGAGTTGAAGACCGTCTTGACAGGTTCTTCTGCCAGGCGTTCCCAGCAGACCCTCACTATGCGTTTGGGTCTGCCAGGTCTACGCGGCATGTTCCCTTGCCATCTGATCCAACTCACCACCAGGTGGTGATCAGTTGACAGCTCCGCCCCTCTCTTCACTCGGGTGTCCAAAACATACGGCCGCAGGTCAGATGATACGACTACAAAATCTATCATCGACCTGTGACCTAGGCTGCCCTGGTACCAAGTGTACCGGTGGGCATCCTTATGTTCGAACATGGTGTTCGTTATGGCCAAACTGCGGCTTGCACAGAAGTCCAATAACAAAACACCGCTCGAGTTCTGATCAGGTGGGCCGTTCCTCCCAATCACACCCCTCCAGGTCAAGCTGTCATTGCCCACGTGAGCATTGAAGTCCCCCAGCAGGACAATGGAGTCCCCTGATGGAGCACTATCTAGCACTCGTCCCAGGGACTCCAAAAAGGGTGGGTACTCTGAACTGATATTTGGCCCATAAGCACAAACAACAGTCAGGACCCGTTCCCCGACCCGAAGGCGCAAGGAAGCTACCCTCTTGTCCCCCGGGGTAAACCCCAACACACAGGCAGAGAGTCTCGGGGCTAACAAAAAGCCAACCCCAGCCCTCCGCCTCTCACCCGGAGCAACTCCAGCAAAGTAGAGTGTCCAACCCCTCTCCAGGTCTCGGGTTCCAGAGCCAATGCTATGTGTCGAGGTGAGTCCGACTATATCTAGCCGGTACCGCTCAACCTCTGCCACAAGCTCCGGCTCCTTCCCCGCCAGCGAGGTGACGTTCCATGTCCCAAAAACTAGTTTTCTTGTCCGGGGATTGGACCGCCAAGGCTCCCGCCTTGGTCTGCCACCCGATTCACATTGCACCGGACCCTTCATGTTCCTCCTGCGGGTGGTGGGTCCACAGTTGGACGAGCCCATGTATCCGGTTCGGGCTGGGCCCGGCCGGGCCCCATGGGCGAAAGCCCGGCCACCAGGCGCTCGCTCACGGGCCCCAACCCCAGGCCTGGCTCCAGGGTGGGACCCCGGTAACCCTCCGGGCCGGGTACTCCGACTCTTCGTTTTAACCGCCATGAAAGATCCTTCGAACCGTTCTTTGTCTCACCCTTCACCTAAGACCAATTTGTCATGGGAGACCCTACCAGGGGCACTAAGTGCCCCAGACAACATAGCTCCTAGGATCATTAGGGCACTCAAACTCCTCCACCACGATAAGGTGACGGTTCAAGGAGGAGCTTTTTTTTTTTTTTTATTACATTCAGAGTAATTCAGATCTGGACTAAATGCAAGCAAAATGTATATTTCATACGTGGTTGATTTATTTTATTCAAGCAATTGCAAATAATGTGTATAAAAGTAAATTTAAAATTTAAAACAAGTTTTCTTTCAGTGGGAAAGTGTAGGATTCATTCTCATTTCAGGTGACCTGGTAGTAGTCTTTTTTTGTTTTATTTGTATTACTTTTTATTTACTATATGTTTGTTTTTTTATTCTTTTTCTAATTTTTTTGTCCTCTTTTCTAAGTTTTCAACAGAAATTTGGTCCGGTTCAGCCTGCAGGGGGCGATGTAATGTTTTCTCACAGCTACAGGGTGATACTGTAACTCTGAGTCCTGAAGGAGATAAATGTGCTTCTGCTGGCAATATATTGTTTTTTTTTTTTCTTCTTTGTCCAGTCTTGAGTATTACAAATGTCTATTACCTATTATAAGTCTTTAAGTTCTTTGCTGACATGTTTTAATAGAAGCCAGTATGATTAATCTCCATATGGGTAATAATAATGTCACCAATCACCTCTTTACGTGTATGTTTCTTCTACGTTTCTTCCACAGAGGGCCATGTCCTCCATCCAGATCAGCTGAAAGGCCAGCTGCAGTTCTGTGACGTCTCCTTCTCCTACCCGGCTCGTAAGGAAGCTGCTATTTTCCAGGAGCTTAATCTTTCGGTTCCGGCTGGTTCCATCATGGCGGTGGTGGGGCCCAGTGGGTCGGGAAAGTCCTCCATCGTCTCACTTTTACTCAGGCTGTATGATCCTGATGCTGGTGAGAGCAGAGGGAAACCCACTCTGATCTGTTATAGCACACTTTACAAAGAGATTAAACAGTTTTTTCTTCCAGGTTTTATCACTATTGATGGTCATGACATCAGAGATTTAAACCCATATTGGCTGAGGAGTCACATTGGAACCGTCAGCCAGGTAATTGGGGGGGAAAACCACAATGTGTGTGTTTTTATTTCAAGAGGAAATTGCAAGAGTTTGTCCCACTTTTATCCAGGAACCGGTGCTATTTTCCTGCTCCATCAGAGAAAACATTGCATATGGTGCTCTTGACCCCGATGCCGTGACTTCAGAGGACGTCTACAGAGCCGCCAGAGTGGCCAACGCCTTTGATTTCATCCAGGCGTTCCCTAAAGGCTTCGACACAGTGGTGGGAGAGAAAGGAGTGCTACTGTCAGGTGATTTGTGTTTTTTATGTTTTTAAACTTCATATAAGACTTCTTCATTTTGAATGAAGAGCTGATCTGAAACTGACTTTGTCCCTCTGTATCTTTTATGGATGTTGTGATTTTATTCTGCTTTGATTTACATGAGATACATTTACATGCAGATCTGATCTTGTCGATGTGGGTCAGAGAGCATTGGGAAATTATTTGTACAATAATAGAGAAAAGTCCCTTTTAATATTTTATTTCATGAGCTCCTGTTGAGTGTCTCTAGACCAGTGGTTCTTAACCTGGGTTCGATCGAACCCTAGGGGTTCGGTGAGTCGGTCTCAGGGGTTCGGTGGAGCCTCTGCCGCAGAGGTCCACCCCTCAGTCTAGTCTGCAGTTAGTGGGCACAGTCATTGAATGCGTCCTGCTCAGAGATTTCCTACCGGTCCGCTTTGAGGTCGCTGGTTTATGCAGCAGAGTGCGACCTCTGTATATGGGCTGTATAGTATGTATGTATAGTAGGCTGTATGTGTCTGAATGAGACTCCCTACAGGTCCGCTTTGAGAGCGCTGGATAAGCAGCAGAGTGAGACCTCCTTCTCAGTCGGGACCAGCGGTGTGCGTCAGTGACGTTGGGTTAGCGTTAGTGACGCCGACCCCACGTCCACCTCCAACCGCCAAAACGTGTGACTGTCGGTTTGTCGTGTGATTTCTTACGGAATATTTTAATCCATGCTAACTATGTCGGGCAAAAAAAGAAAGTGGTTGGATGAATATGTAAAACATGGATTTACATGTATCACGGAACGTGACGGGAGTCAGCGTCCCATCTGCATGATTTGCAATGCCAAGTTGAGCAACTCTAGTCTCGCACCTGCAAAACTGAAGGAACACTTCTTGAAGCTGCATGGAGATGGGGAATACAAGAACACAACGCTTGCTGAATTCAAGGTGAAGAGAGCCAGATTCGACGAAAAGGCCACTCTGCCTGCTCTTGGATTTGTACCCATCAACAAACCGATCCTCACAGCATCGTACGAAGTTGCTTATCTGATCGCAAAGCAGGGCAAACCGCACACCATTGGCGAAACACTCGTAAAACCAGCTGCGTTAAAGATGGCGAATCTGATACTCGGAACAGCGGCTGAAGGTAAATTATCCCAAATTCCTCTTTCAAATGACACCATCAGCGACAGAATAGAGTGCACGAGTAAAGACATCTTGGCTCAAGTAGTCGCGGATCTGATTTCAAGCCCGGCAAAATTCAGCCTTCAACTCGACGAGACCACCGACGTTTCCAATCTAAGCCAGCTTGCCGTTTTTGTGCGCTCTGTGAAAGACGACATGATAAAAGAAGAGTTTTTATTTTGTAAGCCTCTTACAACAACAACTAAGGCAGCTGATGTGAAGAAGCTTGTGGATGACTTCTTCAGAGACAACAACCTTTCATGGGATATGGTTTCTGCAGTTTGTACGGATGGAGCTCCAGTGATGCTGGGAAGAAAGTCTGGTTTTGGCGCGCTAGTAAAAGCCGACGCACCACACATCATTGTTACGCATTGCATTCTGCACAGGCATGCGTTGGCAACAAAAACCTTGCTGCCCAAAATGGCAGAAGTATTAAAAATTGTAGTGGAATGTGTAAACTATGTGCGCAATAGTGCTCTGAGGCACCGCATCTTCAGTGAGCTGTGTAAAGAAATGGGCTCTGAATTCGAGGTACTTCTTTACCATTCCAATGTTCGGTGGTTATCCCGGGGACAGGTGCCGAATCGTGTTTTTGCCATGCGTGTGGAACTAGCCCAGTTTTTGCAAGAGCACCAACATTGTCATGCAGATTGCTTCAAAGATTCTGAGTTCATTCTCATTTTAGCATACATGGCTGATATATTCGCAGCTCTCAATCATCTAAATCAGCAGATGCAGGGTGGTGGAGTTAACATAGAAGCAGAAGCAGCATGGAAGCAGAAGAAAACCTGAAGGCTTTTCAAAAAAAGTTACCGTTATGGAAACGACGAGCAGAGAACAACAACTTCGCAAACTTCCCCCTTCTGGACGACTGTGTAAGTAAGATCGAAGATGTGTGTGGACTTGGAGACATATCTGTACCCATGGACATATCTGTACCCATGGACATATCTGTACCCATGGAACTGAAGCAAACAATTGCCACGCACTTAGATGAGCTTGTGAAGTCTCTCGATGGATACTTCCCAACAAGAGCATCATATCCAGCATGGGTGAGACAGCCGTTCACGTTTGCTATTGAGACAGCAGATGTCAATGATGAATACCTCGATGAAATCATTGAACTTCAGCAGAGCCAGGTTCAACAGCAACTCTTCAGAACAACAACGCTCTCAACGTTTTGGTGTCAACAAATGGAAAAGTATCCAGTTATTGCTAAGAAAGCCCTGGATTTTTTTGTACCATTTGTTACAACATATCTTTGTGAGCAATCGTTTTCAAGGATGCTGGATATAAAAACTAAGAAAAGGAACAGACTTTGCTGTGAAAATGACATGAGACTGGCACTTTCCAAGGTGAAGCCACGCATATCTGAACTGGTCTCAAAGGCAACAGCAGAAGTCACACTGAGGTAAGTTGTTTTGAGTTCATGCACTGTGTTGGTTTTGTTATTTGAACAAGGTGATATTAATGCACAATTCATTTCGTGCACCAGTAAAAAAAAAAAATCATATTTTATTTTTTACTAAAGAAGGGTTCGGTGAATGAGCATATGAAACTGGTGGGGTTCGGTGCCTCCAACAAGGTTAAGAACCACTGAACTAGACTAATGATTTTGAAATTGACAAACAGGAAATAACAATCAACATTGGCAACTTTGTGGGACAATCTTTAACAGTTGATATGCTGTTCTTGCTCAAATAGACCTTCTGTTGGTGAATGAAGATTGAGAGTGATATGATGTGGTTATGGATGCGTGTGTGTGCAAAGTGTCGTGAGAATTGAACATGAGGTGAAATGGATGCGTGTGTGCATCTGATTTTGCTTCAGGAAGAAACAGGTGTCTGAGTGAAAAGTGATGGTTTGAATAAACTTAGGTTTAGTTGGAAAAGATGCATCAAAACGCTATCTGTCGTTTCTGCCTCACCGAAAATCGGACCCTCTGTTGGACCCGGGACGTCACCTTAGGATGATGTTTCATCCATGGCACCTTGGCTGGCAAAGAAGACAAAGATGCGCCGCGAACCGGTCCAGAGTTGCCCTCGGTACACGTTGATGGTAAAGCGTTTTGTCGATGCGCTTTCTTAAGTTAATTCACTCAGAAATCAAAGACTCTGTATGAGTCTGCGTTAGAAGTTGCGATTCAGCTATTCTGTCTGGCTGACAGGAACAGCGTGAGGGGGGGAGAAACGAGCCAACCGGCTCTGCCCCCCTTCGGTTTCTTCAGGTCCTCTCTCTTTCGTTGTCAAACACGAACTGGTCATAAGACTGAAGACTTACCAAAAGCCTTTCTCTTCTCAAAGCAAAACGTGTGCGTCAGCAAATGTGTTTTGGAGTTAACTGTGAGCAGATGTGCGTGGGCGTGTTTGGGTGTGTGAAGAAGCAGGAGTGTGAAGGTTACCAAACATTCTCAACATTAACATTTAATTAAGAATGGATTAATTAAATCTCTTATAATTACCCAAAGCATAATAATCATTCATTTGATTAAAACACATTTATAATGAGCAAATTGATGATTAAACTTTTAACATTCAAAACAAGAAAAGGAAGTTTAAACTTTATGTTTTGACTTGTTCTGGGTACAACTCATGGAAACACGTCTTCTGGACGCTGCAGGTGGCTGATGTTATGGCTTCTTCCAGACTCTCGCAGACTTCATGTCTGCAAAGGTCCCAATCTGTGTGTTAAAGTTCTGAGCGACCCAGTCGGGTCAAACACCAGCTTTGTGACAGAAAACCCACACTTCCTCACGTTACACATAAGAGTCATTTTTTATCATCTCTTCTACTAAATATAGTTCAGAGTCACAAAACCAAGTTTACCTTAAAAGTGAGGAGTTTCCTTTTTTATCTTTTTTGTTTTGGCAAAAAGGGTGAACCCTTCCCAATAGGCTCAGATGGACCCCAGGGGTCTCATGTATCAACCAGGGAATTCCCTCACGTGCTGAGGATGTAGCGCAGGGATTAAAGTTCTCAGTCGTAGCGACGGAAGTCCGTCAGTTGGAATAATCAGAAAAAAGTTCAGTCAAAATCTCTTCTCGCGCTCGCTTGGGTTTAGTAGTCTCTCTCTCTCTCCTGTTGCTAATTGAAACGCGCACCGTTGTTGAAATGCGTTTCTCCACCGTTCTGCACCGCCCAAGCTGCAAAAACGTGCGCGCGCTCATTGCTCGCTCTCACGGTGCGCACAAGCACAAACAGCGCGCACCAGGCGCTGGGATTCTAACAGAGCCAATAAAGCTCTGATGTCACAATGAGAGTTAACGTGATGAGCGGAACCAGGACCCAAATTCCCGGTGGGCCGATCTGAGGTCGGTGTTTTTAGTCGTCTCTTTGTTTTTTTCAATCCTGTGTTCAGTCATGACGCTCTGCTGATCACCTGCTGATGAGAGGATTTCTCCTGTCAGTGGAGCAGGTGAGCTGCTGAACTAGCGTTAGTTCCTAGAAACACTTTCTATGTCCAGACTGTAGTGACCTGTTATTTATAATTGTATAATTAATATTAAGTGAATGCACTAAACCCAAAAATGATAGAAGATAAGATTAAATATTATGAATCATATTACTATCAAATGTAAATAAGAATAACAGATAACTAATCTTAATGAAAAATTATTAATATTTTTTATTTTAAAATTGATTATATTTCATTTCTAAGGTTTGGATGTCTGTGAACATTACAGAATATTCAGATTGGTGTAAAGAACCTGATATTATTAATAACAGGTCATGATCTAAAGCTGGTCTGAGGTATAAAACTCTGCCCTGGGCCTAAAGCCCTGCAGACACATTTAGTTTCTATAAACACCAACAACAAATAAATAACAGCAGCTGGATTCTACTTTGTTCCTTAAAGTGAGTCACGTAGTGTTGCAAGTTCTGCAGCTCACACGTTCAACATGGAGCTCTGCCAGCTGATTGGTTCTTTTGGTAACTGGTGCAGTTCTGGTACTGAGCAGCATGGATGCATCAGTGGATTTCACTGTAGTCTGTGTTCATATTGGATTAAGAAAGGACAGGAAAACATTGTTAACTCAAACATGTCATTATAATGAACATGTATAGATACTTTATCATACATTGCTACCAGCCTGTAACTCTTCGTTTCCCCCAAAAATGCACCAGACCGATGCGTTTAAATATAAAATGTCCAACAATCCTTTTTCCAGGGGGGCATGCCCCGACACCCCTAGAGTACTTTAATACTTATCATCTTTTTTACCTCAGAGGAATCTCAACACCCACACTTTTAAACACTGTGCATATTAACAGGTTATTCCAAATTTTTCAGAAACAAGAATACTGACCTTAAGCTGACCAATCAGAGCCCGAATAGTGGCTGCATGTAAACAATGTGAGCCCCCCCCCCCCCCCCCCAAACAATAATTTTCAGTCAGATGAGAATTTTTTGCTTCAATCCCAGACGTAGCGTGACCAAATGGATTGAGGGTGTTTCTGTATGTAAATGAATGTGAACAGGCACGAGCACCTGGGTACGCACAGGTGGGATTTATCATCAGACGATTGCGGAAGAACATACAAACGAGAGGCCACTGCATGTTTCATAAATCAGGTTTTTGACCTTTCATACAAACATTCTAAATTTCATTCGTAGGAAGGAATAAAGGACAGTTTCTACAAACGTTTGTTAAATGAGACCCCATGTGTTTTTTTTTCTTCCATTACTTTTCCAAAAGTCTCTTTACAATTCCAGATGTTGCAAGTCCTGTGAGCATTAGAAGGGTCTTGGCCCAAATTTGGCCCTAGAGTCCCGGTGGGGTCCATTGGACACCAAGTGCACTTTTTTGAGTTTTGCTTGCCTTTCTCTCAGTTTCTTATGTCACATTTTGATTACTTAAATGGTCAATTAGTAAAACTACCTTCTGCTTTTACTGCAATTTGGCACAAATAAGTAAAAACATTTTTTTGTTTTCTGATGATTTAGGATTAAACTTTGTTCCAAAAATAAGTCCATGCATTTAAAACTTGTTTTTTTTAAACAAATTTAAGCAGTTTTTAGTTTCTGGAAGCAACTTACTAGTCTAGTGTCATTTTATGGTAGAAACGTCATGCAGTTATTGAACAGTTTTGGATCAGGAGTTGGCTAAAACCTCTCCTGTTAAACATAAAATGAAACATTTGTCATATTTATTCTGTTGTTTTCTTTGGTCCAAGTTGCAAGAGTCTGCTTCAGAGAGGCTAAAGAGGGTTGGATTAGATGGGAATTTAAAATTCAGATTTTAAATTAATCTGCTAGATTAATTCTGACTGGATCTGAGATTTTCAGGCATGTTTTTTTTTTTGTGGAGAAAATTAAAAATGTGGTTAATCTTTGTGGTTTTCGTCCCCTCAGGTGGTCAGAAGCAGAGGATAGCCATAGCCAGAGCTCTGCTAAAGGTGAAAACAATATAAAATAGTGCTTTTATAATTGTTTTTGTTATCCCTGTGGTTTAAGGGTTTGTAACAGCCTTTGTTTATTTATTTTCCAGAATCCAAAGATCCTACTCTTGGATGAGGCCACCAGGTGAGAAAGAAACTTCAACCGTTTCAAGTTTTTTTTCCAGGAGTGTCAGATCTGGTTTTCCACTTTTACCAACAAGATCTTAAAGCTAGATGTCTCTTCTTTTATGTGACTTCAGCGCGCTGGATGCGGAGAATGAGTTCCTGGTCCAGGAGGCGTTGGAGCGTCTGATGGAAGGTAGATCACCTCTCACTGCTTTTTCTGTTTCTGCCATAATGACCAAACTTCCGAGCCATCGTTAAATTGTCCTGTTTACTTTCCTTGGGTGAACAGGGAGGACGGTCATGATCATCGCCCACCGTCTGTCCACCATTAAGAACGCTGATGCCGTCGCTGTTCTGGATCAGCGGCGTGTAGCCGAGTGCGGCCCACCCACAGAGCTGCTGGGAAACCGGCAAGGACAGTTCAGGAGGCTGATGGAGAAGCAGGCGTTTCTGCAGGAGGAGCAGCAGCGAGCTCTTCTCTGAGGAAAACTCTCAGAGAGAAGAAAGACTTTAAATTCCTTTTCTGCCTCATTGCTGAGAAGATTTAAAAGCTAAAACGGGGTATAGGTCCATCTTAGAAACTGTTTAGAATAAAATGTTTACAGGAAGAGGAAGCCAGACACACTGGAATAGCGGAGTTTGAATCTATAACTGCTTTATTGTAGCAAAAAAGTTCCTCTTGCATATTTTTGTTCTTCTGAACTCTTACCTGTAACCACCTCATACATCCAAAATTAGCTTGAAAATTATTTATATATTTAAATGTGTCTTTGTTTTTATTTGAACTTGAATGTCAGATCATGCTACAAACTAAAATGCACATTTGTGGAAGAACTCAGACCTGTGCATCAAAATAAGGTTTAAAGTTATTTCTGTTAATGTTCTTAAGAATCAGCAAGTTTTGTTTATTTTAGTTTCATTCTTTGTTGTTTTTCCCTTTTAGACTTTTAACCGGCGTCACCTTAACAACTCAAACTGAACCAGTACAGGTCAGAGAGACCTGCTGCTGGTGTGTACAGGATTCCCACTTCACAACCTTAAATTCTTAATAAACAACTAAAAATAAAATCTGTTCTGGAGACTCAAGGCTGCACGTTGATCCAGTTGAATCTTACGACTGGTGAGGAGTGCGGAGTCACAAGTACTCGCTCTTTCCAGTAAATATTTAGAACACAGACTCGATTTAATTCCTCATTTTAAACAGCTTCTTCTGCTGTAGAGGTTGGTATCAGTAACTAGAAACCCCAGACTGCAAGTGTTTGAAGGTTAAAAAGAGAATCAATCCAACACTGAATTGTATTTAGTGCATTTTTTATTTCAGTTGTTTTGTATTTATTCATTTAAGAATTGGAACTCGGTCCTTTGAGGTTTTGAATCAACAAGACGGCTCGTTTCTCACCAATTTATTCCTCTTTTTACTTCAAAGTGAATATTTTCCTAAATCAGATTAGATTTTTATATATTTCTTATATATAACTACATTTATGAATCTATTGTTCTCTTCAGTGGTGCATTTTGATTGTTTTATTTCTGCCTATAGATTAATGTCACTCAAAGTAAAATTAACGTGAAAATAGATGTTGTCTAGTAAAGTAAAGATTCTCCTGTTTGTCAGTTTATAATACATTTTCGTGCCAAGCTGTATAAATGACTCACATTTTCGTTTTCTGTACATGAAGATGAATAAAGTATTTTATTCGTGGGAAATCTTTTATGTTGATGTGCAGCAAGTTTTTAATTGGTCAATGTTTCTGTCGCTAGGTGGCGCTACAGTTGTTTTTACTCCATCTCCCGGTGAGTGGCCTGCTGGCACCAGGGATCAGAGCTCTCTCGGTGTATGCCATACCAAAATAAAAGCCGGCGGTGATGATATGAGGAATGTGTGCTCAGCTCTTGGTGTTGACAGAGCTGTGAGCTTCCTGCAAATAGACTCTGCATGTTGTCCCATCTGTCCATCTCCCTGCTCCTAGAAAGGCAGCAGTGAATTCACACAGAATTCTTATTTGTTTATAGTTTTTACAGGTTTATTTTTGGCAATATTCTGTTGTGAATCCAAAAGCACGGCGCAGTGTTTGGCCTGTATGCTGGTGCTCTTGCAGGAGACCAGGTGCACACATTCCTGCTCCGTGGGGCTGCGGATTCCCTCTGCAGCCACACTGGGCTATTTGAGGAAATACCTGACCCTCCTCTGTCCTGCAAGCCCCCGTCATTAGTCTGTAAGATATTATAAAAAGTGAATGTGCAACCAACAGAAACTGATAACCCAGCTATATCAACACAAACCCTGTCCTTCCACTGTCTACGTGGTGCCTTGTATCATTGGAGTGGTGCATAGAAGCTGCTTTTCAACCACTCCAGCAACCAAATGCAGGAAAACTGACTGATGTAGCAGCTATTTACCTGAGTTTAAGATCTCTTTGTCCATTTCTATCCACAATCCCCAAAATCCATCCTTCTTTGTCACTGGAACAAAAAAAAAGCAGCAACTGGATTTAAGTATCTGACATGTTTCACATTTAGAAAATAAATTGGAAGGCAAATAAAATAAGAGAAGCACATGTTGCAATAGAACACAAGTTGGTTATAGCTTCCATAATAGTCCTACTCTATGGGAATTCTCAAGTTAGATAAAAACACTCAGTCTCCAAAACGTCCCTCTGTCCTTCTTAGATCTCTGAACCATCTCTGCTTCTCTTCAGCTGATCCCCTCTAATGTTCGACCACCTGCTGCACAATACACACCCTTTCACCTAACTCGTCCTCCTTCCTCTCCACCCCACTTCGGCCCCTGTGACCTCCCCCCTCCCTCTTTCTCCATTAACTGCCAGCCCCTTTACATTTTAGGTGTGTAGCCGGACCTCTGGTCCAGCGTGGCTCACAACAAGTGCATAAAAGTAGCTCAGCCTTGCTCTGCAGCCCCTTGATACCCCCCACCACCATGTGCCTCAAACACTACCAACCCCAACAAACACACACGCATTCTCGGTTCCACGAACCACTCCTAAGGAGGCCTCATCCATTTGGATCTCCCCCACCAAGGGTTTGGAGATTTAATCCTCTTCCTGGTGCTGAAAAAATAAAAGTGTTGGATTTTATTAAAAGTTGGGGAATATTGTTTGAAATTTAGCAGGTTTGATCATTGCAATTAAATACTTTCTGGTTAAATAACATGCAAAACGTCAGCTAATATGGAATATTTCTCTTCTTTACATGTAGAGAATGTAACAAGATTTATTGCTGAGTGTTCAGCTAATATTTGTTAGTTCATCATTTGAAAGTAACACAACCAGTAGATACAGCACAAAAATAACCACTTAGCGATTCCTAACCTGTTTTGTATTTTGTACCTATTTTTAGATTCTGGTGTTTTCCAGGTGTTCCCTCATCCCTCTTCATCTGATGTCTTATTTATTTAATTTACCACACATTTCTTGTATTTCTCCTCCATGCATTCCTCACCTCTTTCACCAATCCTTCCCTCATGCGGTGCATGAAGACATTCTCCCCATTTGTCTCTTTCTCTCACACCAGCTCCCCTCCTCCATTTGAGTTATAATTAATCCAGCGCTCCAGTGACAGAGCAGCGTAGCCCCCATACAGATAAGGTTTCAGTGGCTGTTCAAACCCTGCATGCATCCATGTGTTCTGCAGAGCTGCAACTGATTGCAATTAATGACTTGTGTGCAGATTAATGCAGCCGAGTAAGCAAACATGGCAGATTTGATCTATTCTGATGCCCTGTCAGTAACGCATTGTGCACACATCAGATTTCTCCATGGGTTATTCTTGTGCTGCTCACTGAAGAGTCTGAATGAACTTGCAGTGTATTACTGGCTGCCTGTTGGACTCCTTGATGCAATTGCTTACAAATGGTAGATTTAAACTGCTCATTCAGACATGATATGAATAGAGGGAGTATGGGTGTTAGCTGATTAAGTCATTAATGATTTAATTGGCACTATGGTGGACCTGTCAGTCATAAGTTAGGGCCCTCTCGCACTCTGTGGCCTAAATCTGTTCAGAGGAGAGAAGCATTTTCCCATTTTAAGGCTGGTTCAGGCCTATAACAGCAAATCCATAACCCTGCTTGACAGCAACTGACGTCTCCCCTAGAAACCCCTCAGTGGACCGCGCGCTCCTTATACGGCCGTCTAGGTGGGTCCGCGGGGCTCGATGGGAGGTCAAAGCGACAGATCCATATATGGCGCGCGCTATCTCCTCGCGGGGGGCGCGCAGCGTCACTTCTGATCCCCTTCCTGAAGCCTGAATGATGGAACTTTCTCTGTCACCGAGGGGCGCGCCTCCACGCCGCACCCCCCACACCCCACTCCTCTGCCTCTGCCTGTCACAGCATCCTAATATGGCAGAGGGCCGGGATGGGGGCCAGTGCTGAGGTTTGTGAATGGTAGAAGGTGGGTATAAAAGCAGGACAGGCGGCAGGGAGAACTTCAGCTGGTTCAGCAGCAGCACTGGTTGGGTCGTTCTCTCCGAGCCGCAGACTAAACACCTAAGGTAAGATCCCTGCAAGGACCTGCGAACTCCTGAAGCCGCTCATCCAGGATGGGACACCGGGGATAGAGGAGTAGCGGAGCCTCCACTGGAGGAGAGAGACAGGGAGTTTAGAATGAGATACAACTTGGTCACCTTACCGGTGGATGGACCTTAGGACACATGAGGAGCTATTACTTGCTTAGACCTATAAAGTAAATGGCAAACTCTTATTTAACCGTGTATTTGCAAACATTGCATCAGTTACCTGGAAACTGTACTAAAAACTCAATTTGATCTGCTAAATTTTAAAACCTTCTCAGAGGAAAAAAATCCCTGAAAATTTGGCTCTCGAGGAAAACATTTAGACATTATGTGCGTATTTTGCTTAAAATGTGCAGAGGTTTGGGTGCAAACCTCTTAATATGGATCTCATGATTTTTTAATTGACGTTTGGGTAGATAATTGAACATTGTTTGATCAGATAAAACATATACTAACGGTAAGTTTAGACTTTAAATCATGAGTAATAGTCTGATGTCGGTGCGTCTTGGGCAAGTTTTGCGCAAACCACCGGAGCTGGCTCATGTTTTCCTAATGTTCTAATTATTTTGAGTAACTTTATCCTCAAATTAGAAAATCTAGTTTTGGACAAACAAAATTTAGGAAAATAAAAACAAGTTTTGCGTGTTTTGGTGTGTTTTACATAATATCTTAGATATGATTTTATTGCGCTGAAATCTACATATTTTTTCTCTCCTTCTTCACAGAAGCCATCATGTGTGACGACGATGAGACTACCGCCCTTGTGTGCGACAACGGCTCCGGCCTGGTGAAGGCTGGCTTCGCAGGAGACGATGCCCCCAGGGCCGTGTTCCCATCCATCGTTGGCCGCCCCCGTCACCAGGTAAATACTGGAGAAAAACATCTAAATGATTGAACTGCAATACCAACAAAAAAAAATTAGTTGAAATAGCTCAAATTGAGAAAGCTTGAAGGCCAGATAAATTTGATAATATTTGAACAAAACTTTCCCCAAAATGAATTGTACTCAATTGAATCTTGAACTCAATTGTAAATTTCCGTTTTAAGTCCTAAAAAATCCCCAAACTTGAGCCATGTAGTGATGGTTCCTTAAAGAGCGATGTTGCTCTTATTTCTTTGAGACTAAATTGGTCACAGGTGAAGTGACAGGTTCATGCAGTTTCTCTGTCTGCCCCTGTGACGCATGCTGCTATTTGGCACGTTTACGCAATGGTCACTATGTCCAGTCTTTAATCTGGCCAGAAAAAGATCATGCCGCCACGCAGACTCCCACGACTGACCTTTCATTTGCCATCTTCTCTCTTAGGGTGTCATGGTCGGTATGGGTCAGAAGGACTCCTACGTGGGAGACGAGGCCCAGAGCAAGAGGGGTATCCTGACTCTGAAGTACCCCATTGAGCACGGCATCATCACCAACTGGGACGACATGGAGAAGATCTGGCACCACACCTTCTACAACGAGCTGAGAGTGGCCCCCGAGGAGCACCCAACCCTGCTCACTGAGGCCCCTCTGAACCCCAAGGCCAACAGGGAGAAGATGACCCAGATCATGTTTGAGACCTTCAACGTCCCCGCCATGTATGTTGCCATCCAGGCTGTGCTGTCCCTGTACGCCTCCGGCCGTACCACTGGTGAGACTGACAACAACAGACCACCACCTCACACACAGTTACCTGAAAGAACACAAAACAACACAAAATCACACTTACTATGGCAGAAATATCTGAAAATCATTTAAAAACACACAAAACAAAAAAGAAAAACATTTGAAACGGGAGCTGATATGGTTATTATCTAATCGAAGTTATTTTACGCACAGCATTTACGCAGCGAACAGCTTTTTTTTGACGTGTTCACGCACATTTTAGCAGTAAAGTTATTGCTTAAAATTCTTTATTCAGCCACACCACACTGTACAATTTTAGATTTTCGTCGTAGGGACTTTGCTAACGCGCATCATTATCTCTCCTCAGGTATTGTGCTGGATGCTGGTGATGGTGTGACTCACAACGTCCCAGTCTATGAGGGTTACGCCCTGCCCCACGCCATCATGCGTCTGGACCTGGCTGGTCGCGATCTGACCGACTACTTGATGAAGATCCTGACTGAGCGTGGCTACTCTTTCGTGACCACTGGTGAGAAACTAGTTCAGCCATACAAAAACATTTTTACGCAGAATTTAAAAAACTGAGTCTATAAAGTATTTTTGTTAACTTTGCAATTAATTGGAACTATTTTGACTCAATGACAGCCTTTTTTGAAGCTACAACTTTGTTATTAAATTATGCGATTACCGACAAATAGTGCGTTTTACGCGCTGTGATCTCAGCTTCTTTGCACTCCGAAGAATAACTCTCCCAATTGTCCAACCACAGCTGAGCGTGAGATCGTGCGCGACATCAAGGAGAAGCTGTGCTATGTGGCTCTGGACTTCGAGAACGAGATGGCCACCGCTGCCTCCTCCTCCTCCCTGGAGAAGAGCTACGAGCTTCCCGACGGTCAGGTCATCACCATCGGTAACGAGAGGTTCCGTTGCCCCGAGACCCTCTTCCAGCCTTCCTTCATTGGTACTTCAGAATATTCCTTTTTTTTTTGTCTCATTATCACAAGTGATTATGCACATGGGACTTTGTGCCAAGCTGGCTGCGCTTCCTCTAACACTTGACGCTCTCATCTGACTAGGTATGGAGTCTGCTGGCATTCATGAGACCGCCTACAACAGCATCATGAAGTGCGACATTGACATCCGTAAGGATCTGTACGCCAACAATGTGCTCTCTGGTGGTACCACCATGTACCCTGGTATTGCTGACCGTATGCAGAAGGAGATCACTGCTCTGGCCCCCAGCACCATGAAGATCAAGGTAAACTTAAACAAAACATGAAAAAACTAAAACCACTTTAACTTTTTTACTATTTTACGCATTGGATAGCAATTACGCACAGCTTAATCGGCCCTTCTACTCCTTCTTTAGATCATTGCTCCACCTGAGAGGAAGTACTCCGTCTGGATCGGTGGCTCCATCCTGGCTTCCCTGTCCACCTTCCAGCAGATGTGGATCTCCAAGCAGGAGTACGACGAGGCCGGTCCCAGCATTGTCCACAGGAAGTGCTTCTAAATCCTCCACCTTAGCTTCTCCATTAATTTTGCAACCAGCCTTTTGGAGATCAAGCAAAGAGGAGAGAAATACACATCTGCGGCACAGCAACAATCTGCTGTCAATGGACTGTCTGCCTGCGCTGTTGACGTTCATATGCAATTTTTTATTCTTCTAAAATCTGCATATTTTATAGCTGTCTGTTGTCTGTGTTGCACGGAGAAAGGCTGTGAAAACAACCACTGAACCATGCATCCAACAAAAAAAATTAATAAAAAAATAACAACATGTTGCCCAACACATGTGAATGTAAGTGTATATACATATTGATAATTTATTAAAGTCCATTATTTGGTAATTTTGCCCCTGCGCCTCAGTTTTCTGTTAGAGGGAGGATGGGAATCACTCATTCACCGTTTCCTGCAGGAAACAAATGAAGTGATAAATCTAGGGATTAAACAGGAAACAAAGAAAGAGTCAAACAACAACCAAACACAAATTAAAAAAACCTCAATTTTAACAACACAGTCATAAAATCCCTGGTTCTAAGATGCTGAGGCGAATATTTAAGACCACATGGTGATCCATCCTTTCAGCTGGAGGAGACATTTTTAGCCAGAATATGACTTGGAAGGAATGCGCACGGGCAGCAACTGCTGCTTTTTGAACCGCCCGGATCATTGGACACCAGACACCGAGCTCTGGGCCCTGCCACATGCCCCTTCACGACCCCTAGACCATTTTTAGCCAAAAGTAATACCTTGTGTCCAGAGGGAGTGCTTCCCAGTCTTGCCTTATATGAACACCGGGTCGCATGCTGGGTTGAAACAACATCAATACCCTTTTCTGTCTTATAATGGCTTTATTATTATTATTCAGAAGCAGTTACATCAAATTTATCCATTACCAATAATTTACCGAATCACTCATCAAGTATTTTCCCCTCTAATGTAAATCATTATGATAGAGCAGCCGCAATTCTTGACACCTCAGCTCAGGCCACCTGCTGCTGGGGGTGTGTTTGGCTTTTTAAGAACGTCTCCAGGCGGTCCAGGCGGGCGGAGCTACGCTCAAGAGGACGCAGCCTGCAGCAGCGCCGTGAAGTGCCATCTGCCCCGCTCTGTTTCCGTGAAATCCGAGCCCAGTGTAAGTATATCTACTGTACACAAAATTAGACCAGTGCAGACATTAATTCTCCCCGTCAAGCCGTTCAACTGCTGTTTAAGTCCATCGTCAGGGAGATTGTGCCCCGACACAGAGTACTGGCAGGCGTTAATAATCGAATCGTTCCTCCGTGTTTCAATATTTTTGTTCGTAAAGCGCCAAACAATCATATGTAGCACGACTCTAATGCGCATAACAACTAGCAGGTGTTGATAATGAGCTTATTCTGAGCGCCATGATGGCGCTTTCTATGGGTTAGCCTATCATTAAAATCCACGTGTTTAAATGCAAAAACACGGTGTTGCCTGTTACTGTTTTAAGCTGTAGGCGTTACTGAGCATATTTATGGTGAATGCGACAGATTTTAATTTGGAGTATTTAACAGTCGAGTATCCAATCACAGGAGCGGGTGGCGGTGACGTAATCCTGAACAGGAAATTTCTGTTAGGGGTTACCAGGGGATGATTTCGTGATTAAATACCATTGTAGTTGGTAACATAGATGTTCTTCTTTATATTTACGCTTAAACCTGGTGCTGGTTTTCATTTCTGGTCCAACTAGCGAGCTAAACTCTGGCGTTACACCATTTATTACTCGGCTGACATTGCGCCTAGCAGGGTGAGCGGAGCTTGTACTCCATTCATAACAAAATATCTGCTTATATCCAGCTAATGGTTTGAACATGAATTAATTTCGAATATTACGTCCAAATTTAATCAATACACTTAGTAGATATGCTGAACAAAATAAATGTTTTCTCCTCATCCTTTTCTCTCATTTTTCACTTAAGTTGTCGCACCGGCTAATTGTAAAGGAGTGGACCCTGTGGTTAGGTTGTGGGCGGGGTTTTGGAGAACATCGTCCTGCTATTGGTTGGACCCGCATTCACGATATGTTTTAAACGTCTGGCGGTGAGACGGTGACTTTAAGGACTTCGTTCGCAAATGAATTAACTGTTTTGGGGAGAAAAGCCATTTAAAACATAGTTTTTCCACTTTTTATCGTTTTTTTTTCTTCTAAGTTTCAAGATGGTGACAAGGAGGGTTCGATCAGAGTACATGAAGAAATTCAAAGACCCCAAATGGGACACGTACCACAAATGTTATGAGGAGATGCTGGCGTATAGGTTGACCCGCAGGCTCCTGGAGCACACACACAACCCCTGGTTCTGGAGTGGCTCGGACACAGACTCGGACTCAGGAGGACACAGTCCCCCTTCTCCCAGTAAAAATCGAATCGGAACTAAAGCCAGTAGGGAAGGAGCAGAACTTCAGCTGGAGGAGTGTGAAGAGCCAAGAAGGGACATTCAGCAGATGCAGGACCAGCAAACCAGAACCACAGAGGCTGTAGCAAGACTTTCTCTTCAACATGAAGACGAGAATGGTTCTGCAGTCCATGGTAAGTGTGAGAGAATTAAATAAGAGGACTAAAAACTACTGGGTTGGCTGCACACGAAACTGATGAAGCATGTGATTGTATGTCTTCATAGGGTTGCATCCTGATGGTACCAGGGGGTCAAATGTACTGGAGGGGGAGGAAGAGCAGCAGAAAGTCTGCAGCAGAGCCAGTAAATGGTCAACACACCCTCTCAGAGACAGAGGTAATTCAGCATAGGTCAAATGTGTTCGATTTTATTTGAATTTTAATAATTCAATCACGTCAGCTTTTTAAGGGTTAACTAATCTTTTCTTTTTCTTCTCATCATACATTTTTGTCTTTTGTAATTTATTGTGAAAGACACGGGAGGTCCTCCATCACAGAAGACAAAACCTTCCAGATCCACAAAACAAACTCACCATTTGCAGCAAGTGAGGTCTTCTCCACTACAGCAGCCCAGAGAGGACACAAAGGAGAGCCGGCATCCTTTTGCTTTGTATGGATGCGGAGAAAAGGATGCAGACATCTCAGGGAGGAAGACTTACAACGTCTGTTCTGCAGCTTCCACCTCAGAGGTAAACATTTTAGCTGTGGTTGAATGCATCATTGCGATCTGAATTATAACATAGTGTTATTTATTTATTGTTAGATTCATGAGTCGGCTCTGCGTGCAAAAACCAGACGGGAGGTGGAGCGTCAGATCCAGAGCCAGCGAACGGAGCAGAGGAGAGCTAAGTCAGCTGACCCGAGCAAAGTCAGGAAGCTGGTTCAGCCCGAGTTTAACCCCTGGCTCACAGAGTACATGCGCTGTTTCTCTGCTCGCACCCGTTAGGACAGCTGCTGCTCACCAGGGTTATTCCCTTTGAACAATCAAAGTGTATAGGTTTATTAACCGGACGCAAGTCAATTTGATCATATTTTAAATAAAAACATTACATTTATGGACCACAGAAGGACTTTTATACAAGTTTGAACATAATATTGAAATAATGTTTCTAGCAACTTTATGATTAAAGCTAATTTTGTCATAAAAAAGATTTTAGCTGAGCATACATAGTTCTTAGATAATCTTACAGCCATGCTTGGATGTAGTCCCTTTAAAAACATTCCAGTAATTGAGCCTTTCTTTAGTAAAATCCTGAAATGAATAATCAATAATGAATGTACACAAAAACAAAAATTTTTGTAAATTAAGAATGTATTTATTCCCAAATATTGTGTTATTCTGGTCTAAGGAAACCTTTGATTCAGCTCTGAAGTGTGTTTAGATGTTTTCTGCTGTATTTGTGGTTTTAGAGCTTTTAGATGTTCAGGTGGACCACAGTGATGATGTGTTTATGCTTTAGGTGGAAAATGGTTGATGTTACAGAATCAGTCGTGTTTTGATTAATTGTGTTTTTCCTATGAGCGTTTAAATACTTTGACATATTCTGACTTGTTAGACTCAGTCAGGTGTTTTTTAAGTCTTTGGGTGACTGTGGACTCTGATTTCGTTTTAAATAAGCAGCACAGGTGAGATAGTTTGTACATAAAACACTGCATTTAAACTGAATTACAAATCAGTTAAATTAATTCCAGAGAATATAATTATTATTGTTGAGGCAAATTACAGATAAAGCTTTAAAACCAAACAAATAAAAAACATCAACAGGCAGCTGATTATTTAAATTATAAATACTGAAAAAACAAAAAAAAAAAAACAAATAATTTACCATTTTGGACCAAATCTTTTGTCTTTAAATGTTATTCATTTTAAATATTTGTACCAAAAAAACCTGCCTAGAAGCATTATTCTAGTCTTTATTGGATTTATGTTGAAATTAACACCAGACATTCGTATAAATACTGATTCAAGATTTTTGTTTGTTTTGCATAATTGGATTATTTTCTGAACAGTGTAGACCATGAAATGTTAGATGTAGTTACAGTAATAGTTATTAAGTCTGCTAAGTGCCATAAATAGCTACTTTTTTATTTCAATGTTTACTTTGTGAATATTTTTGCCAAAAAGGTTTTATATTCCAACTTGTATTCATTTTATTTGTGGTCACATTCTTTTCAGTATTTGGTTACATAAGTTTTGTAATTTGTTGTTTAAGTGGCCCGAAGTTATATTTTGTGCAATATTTAGTTTAAAAGCTGCGTTTGAGCCGGACTTACGTTAAAGAGCAGGGATCTCTGATTATCTGTGGGAGGAAAAACAAACTTGGTTAAATAATTGTTTATGTTTCTGTTTAATGAGGGCTTTGGAGTGAGGATGTTTATACTGTGAAGAGGTTTTACTTGAGTTCAGACTAAACTTTTAAAATGGTTACTTACATATTTCTGTATATCAGGAGTTTCGAAATCACCTTTTGTGTTTACAATAAAGCATTTTACCATTTTCAAACTGAGATCTTTAGCTAGCGCGGCATTTACTGTGTCGAGCAGAGTTTGTGACTAAAGTCCTAATTTAATTTAAGTGTTTCTATTTCTGTTTGACAAAAAAAAACAATGCTTGATTTGTTGTTTTTATTTAAAAAACATATGCCTTTTATCATAAACAATAAATTAGGACTCTACAATATAATGAACAGCAAAAACATAAATCTGACACAACTGGACGTAAAACGAGGAAATACCAAACACTCAACATTCTAATGTGAAACCGTTTTTGTTTAAATTGTTTGCAATTTAAAAGTTTTGTGTCCAACGCTGTAGAAAGAAGAAAACTCCAATAAATTTAAAGAAACTGTACAAGACTGAGTTCTACATCAAACCAAATTCAGATCTTGGTATCAAAAAGGCCTGAAACCAGATTTTAAAGCAGCTAAAACTCTAAATGTGATTGGTTAGTATCCGCCACAGGTGGCAACAGTCTGTCATGTAAACAGGCAACAATTACAAGAAGAGGGTCAGTCATCTGTCATAATCCTTTGGATAAATATGTGGTGAATCCCAAAATTAAATGGCTTTTGCTGGGTTCCCAGTATCTGCTGCTATTGTAAAATCCACACAAGTACAAACACACAAATTCTGCAATAGTGCGGCCCGTTTATACCGATTACAATTAGCCAGTGTATTGCAGCTTAACATGTTAATTATACAGTGGCGCGATGCAGAAGATGCTAAATATCTACTTAAATAAACATGTAATATCTCCTTATAACGAAATACTCTGATATTCTGTTTGGGAAATCATGCGTCGAAGTCTCTATTTACAGAAATACACTCTGTACAGTAAAAGCAGGGTGGAGGGGCTGGCAGGAGGAGGAGCAGTGGACGTTTAAACCAGGGAAGTGTGCAGTATTTAAGAGCAGGTGGATGTAGAAAGACTAAAAGTGTAAAAAGGAAAGGTGAAAGGTGTGGTATGAGAATTTTGTGGATTTGTTGGCATGCTGAGGTTCGCCTTGGTGCATTAAGAGTCAAGCCAGAGCAGGAAGCCTTCATGTTTTAATGTAGGTAAGCAGGTTTGGCTCCATCAAAATCCCTAAAATCCACCCGTCAATATCCTAAATGTTAAAATGATCCTGTTAAATTATGTGTAATCCAAACTCAAATGTAGATACTTCCCGTGAGTCTGGAAAACAAACAGGAACAACTATTACAGAAGTAGTAATAATAATAATAATGCAGGCTAGGGTTAGGCATCCTGGTCAGGGACAATGTGGTCCAGTAGAGCCAGAGACGGATGAGTTTGTGGTTACCATGGAGATTCAAGTTCTTGTGAAGTTGGGCGTAGGTCTTCTCGGCTCTCTGCTCATGCACACGTGATAACAAAGGCTCTGAAGGGTCCGTGCAAAGGTCAGGGAGGGGTCACCAGCACAGCAACCTGAACCCAACACTGTCTGGTCCTCCATGGTCCTTCTTCTTCTTCTCTTCCAAAAAAAAAAAACCCTGTCATTACATAAAGAAATTTAAAGCAACATAATAAAAAAGCAAATACTTTTCAATAAAAGATGCAACTTTTGATGTTTCTGTTATGTAACAAAAACATCACGTCAGAGATGTTGCTGAGACCATCGAGCACGGCTCTAAACCATCCAACGCTTCACATTTTTTTCCTGTACCTTGACTGCGTGAGATGCACGAGGCCCCTTAGCAGCCACACTCCTGTGTGCCCTGTGGCTGAGCGCGGCGAGGAGAACGAAGCTGTCGTAACGCGGCGTCGCCATACTGGATACCTGACCCCATCCTTTCTGGGTCCAATTCTCCTAAAACCCCAGATATGATCAGTGAACAGATGAGCACCTAAAGGGGATCTGGAATAGCTTTTTAGGGTTATTAAGCAAGCTCCTACCTGATTCTATCTTGTTGAGGATCTTCCGAGCGCACTGGACAAAAGCCTCTTCAACGTTCTCCCCCGTGAGAGCGCTGGTCTCCAGGAACATCAGCTCTAACAGACATGTTTTGATTAGAGCAGAAGCAACTGACAGTTCTTTGTAGAAAAAAACAATCAGTGTGTGGCTCGAAAAAGGCAAAGAAACAGAGGCGCTTCTGGTGGATCTCACCGTTCTCCTGAGCGAAGCGCGACGCCTCCAGGAACGTGACCTCCCTGTCAGCATCCAGGTCCTTCTTGTTGCCGCAGAGGATGATGACAATGTTTTGACTGGCTAACATCCTGGCATCGCTCAGCCACGTGGTCAGAGCGTTGTACGTTTCACGACTGCAGCCGGCGACAGACACGGATTAAAGTCTGGAGCACAGTTAGAAAACCAACAACTAAAGCCGAGTTCTGTGATACCTGGTGATGTCGTAGACAAGCAGGGCCCCCGCTGCGCCTCTGTAGTAGCTCCTGGTCACAGACCTGAGACACACACAGTTTCCGTAGAGCTAAATTTGCCACCAGCAATGCACAAACGAGACAAAAATGCTACATACTTCACTTAAGATATCAGCAATTCAAAAAAAGGTTAATTTTGTACAGAAGTTGTTATAAAAATGAAATACCACATGTAGTAATGATGGGATTTTGCCCTACCTAAAGCGTTCTTGTCCTGCTGTGTCCCAGATCTGCAGTTTGACTGTTTTGTTGACCACACTGATGATCTTAGAGCCAAACTCCACTCCGATCGTGTGGTTGGATTCATCTTTAACTGGAAACAATAAATGGATAGATGAAAAAAATGGATGTATAAATCAGGATTAGAAACAAAACTAGAGAATTATTCTGTACAAGTGTCAAATGTGTGAGATTTATTCTAAATGTTCAGAAATGTAACAGACATTTAAGTACTGTTATGCAATGTTAGTCACTTTACACGAGCAGACCTGTTGTACAGTATGTGTGCGTGAGTGAGTGTGTAGTCCGCCTAATGCAAATTAAATCTAAATTTAGAAATCAAAACCACTGTTCCATACAAACTACACCAACACTAAATAAAACACAGCCAATGTGGATTTTTCTCAAAACAATAAATGATCAACCTGAATAATTAGCCAGGCATTTAGATGATCAATCACAAAAAAAAAAATGTGAAAGAAGTGGAAATAATAGAGAACTTACATCTTTTCTCTATGAACTGGTGCAGCAGACAGGATTTTCCTGTCGCAGCATTCCCAATTACCAGGAATTTAAACAGGAAATCTACAAGGGGAACAATACAATCATTTAATAGACATAAGCTCAGCTTGACCCTCTTAATGTGGCATTCATAGGCACTAGCTCATCTTAATCCTAATCTTATTTGAATCAAGATTATTTTATAACTGAGATATAAACCAGCTGATATATATTACACATGAATACCTGATGGTTTGTTTATAAAGGCAGGGACACCTGCTTACTAACCACAGGTTTGTTCATTGTGTTTATGGTGTAAACAACTCATTTTGTATGCTGCAATAATATTTTACTGTGAGATTTAGAATGATCCAAATGTAAAATATACACATAAAGAGAGCATTAAATGGTTATTTATTTAAAAAGTTGAACAGTTCAGCCTCAAATTTATGCCAGCCCTGTCCTCCTCTTTACCCCTACCTGGTATCTAGCGGTTCTTCTGATTAGAATCCCAAAAGCTCCGTTACATTCAGTGTGAAAAGCTACATCAAACCCAGATGTATGATCTGAGTTGACTGACAGCTCTGCTTTAAGGCCAGAAGCCTTGAGTGGTGAAACGGTTAGCCTGTCGGCTATCTTTTTGCGATGAGAAAACGCCTTCTGGGCACACCTGCCTCGTCTTTACCACTGACTACCAGAAGGCACCCGTTAACTGTTGCCTCGGTTTAAAGCCGACTCCTTACCGTAAGACTCCGACATCGCCAATGTGGCGGTTTGATTCCAAAAGCAAAATGAAGGGAGGAATAAAAGTTGACAGATGCACAGCTAGCTCAGTAAAGGAATACACCAGTGATAATTTCCGTGCATTCCAGCTGATTTTTCCTTCCGACTTCCCGTAGGTTCTTCCTTTCAAAGTAAAAGTCCTTCCATGACCGACACTGTGATGCTCTATATAGTTTTCGCCTCACTATGGAGCTGTTATTAAGTCTCCAGAAACGTTAAAATCATGATTTATTATAGGTGTAAAAAATAATCACAAATAAGAAACATCCACATTGTAATAATTAGTGACCAGATATATTACTTATTATTGTTGTCAACTTGAAGGATTATACGTGCAAGTATTGACCAGTAGGCGGCAGTAGTGGTCACTGTGATTGGCTGACTGCAGCTAGACAACTATTTTAAAAATTGTTCTGCTGTGATAACCTTGCGTTAAAGGACCAAAACCGATTTCACATGATTTTAATACATGATCGGAATATTTGGTATTTAAAAGTAAAACGTTTTTCACCTCTATCACCGATCCAGGCCAGGAGAGTTCGCTTTCTAAACCGAAGGCTTTACCATAGAAGAAGAAACGCAGACTCAAGCTAGTGAACTAGCCTAGCTGCGGAACATTATTTTGTCGAAATATGGCTACTGTGCTCCCCATTAGACCACCTTGCGATAGTAATCCTGCCACCCCAGGAGCGCAATCTTTAAAGGTGACATTCACACTCCTTAAACTGCTTCATGCTTCAGCCTGTGTCCACGAATGACCCCGTTAGCCGTATTAGCGTCCATTCTTTGTTTTCATGTGTGCTCAGTTTATTCAATTTACCTTTCAGTTGTTGAAAAGTCGCCTGTGTAATTTGACTCGTATAAAAACGAAACGTAACCTCAAAATGCATTATTTGCTAATTTCTCTATTGTAAGTTCTACTTTTATTTTATATCTAATGAAACTTATACTTGTTTTTCCTAAAATAACACGTTTTGTACACGTGAGTTGTTTACAGGTAATGAATTATTATATCACTCATAAATCATGTTTTGCAGTGGCTCATTTAAAATAAAAAATGTATGAAGTAACCCTGAACTGGCAAACAACACACGAGTCTTTTAATCCTACCTTGTCAGGGAAATGGTCTTGTCTAATATGTACAGTAGTTTCTATAAACTTTCATTTATTAGAAGTGATGCTCAAGCCAGAGGGTTTGAACCCTATTATTCTAGAGGTTAATGCCTCTAAAGTTGATGATGCAGCTGTATTGCATTTCAGGTTTTGGTTGCCCTCCATTCATTTTCACTGATTTGGGTACAGAGGAAACACTCAAGTCTTTTGTAAACAACTACTTTCATGGTCCTTTGTCAGGTTTTTCCAGGATAGATTTATATTTCTTAAGCACTGTGACTTTCAGGAATAGTTTACCTGATGTATACATCTCTTGAAACCTGACAATTTTTTAAATATTTAATCACCTCTTATTCTGCTGTTACATGACTGGGCAGAAAATGTGTAAAAAGCAGCAAAAGTTGAAATAAATTAGAACTTTTGATAAAGATAAAAACATTCAGCATGTTTTTTTTATTTTAATGAAGAGCTTTTTTCCTGTTTTTAGGAGGATGTAATAGAGGAAGTGTCCAATGATGGCAGCCAACCTAAGAGAAGGAGAATGGGTTCGGGGGACAGCTCTCGAAGTTGCGATACCTTCAATCAAGAGCTTGGGTAAGAGGGTGCTTTAATCTAGTTTTTACCGTCATGTTTTACACAATATTGTTAAATTTAAAACACACTTTACTTGTCAAACTTTCCCAGGTGTTGTACTCTAGAATGTGCAATTTTATTCCTAAAGTGGGTTTTTTTTTTGTTCAGGCCAACATATTTCCCAGCAGAAAACCTGACGGAGTACAAGTGGCCTGCTGATGAAACAGGAGAATATTACATGCTGCAGGAGCAGGTCAGCGAGTATCTGGGAGTGACGTCATTCAAGAGGAAGTATCCTGGTGAGGCTGAGAGGATCCTTGTGTTCAAGCTGGAATTCTGTTCCTTTTTTCAAAATGATTTTGTATGAATGCATTTGTTCAAGTAAAACTTCAAAATAATATTTGTGATAAGCTGTTGTAGAGGAGCTATTGTGCTTTTTGATTATATAAACAAGGGGCAAAGTGGCTCAGACTCCATGTTAGATCTATTTTTATGAAGCTGCACTCATTTTTTTTTTATTATGATTTAGTTTATTTCTTATCTATGATTTTTTTAGACATGGAAAGGAGAGACTTGTCCCACAAGGAGAAGCTCTATCTTCGTGAGCAGAATGTCATCACGGAGACACAATGCACTCTGGGTAAGGAATAATATCTCTTAACTTTACATGCACACTTAGTCTCACTTCATTTTTTTATCCTGCTGCATTCATGTCTGCAGGCCTCACAGCTCTGCGGAGTGATGAAGTGATCGATCTAATGATAAAAGAGTATCCCACCAAACACTCAGAGTATTCAGTCATTCTGCAGGAAAGGGAGCGACAGAGAATAGCTAAAGAGTACTCTGTAAGTGAGGAATAAACAGGATGTCTGGTATGGTTGCTTTGATAAATATTTTTTAAAATGGTCTTAATTCTTGTATTGTTTTCTGTCATGTTTTAGCAAATGCAGCAGCAGAACCCTCAGAAGGTGGAGGCAAGTAAAGTTCCTGAGTACATAAAGGAGGCAGCGAAAAAAGCTGCAGAGTTCAACAGTAACTTCAACAGGGAGCGAATGGAGGAGCGGAGAGCGTACTTTGACCTCCAGACTCATGTAAAATACAACATCAAACATTCAACAATGACACAGCGCTAACCAGCTGTGTTTTAAGATTTATGTCTTATTTTGATCCTAGATTATTCAGGTGCCACAAGGCAGATTCAAGGTGTTGGCTCCGGAGCTGACCAGAACAGGACCTTATCCTGTTGCTCTCATTCCAGGACAGTTCCAAGATTATTACAAAAGGTACATTTCATACAAAACAACATTTTAAAAATACTTTGAATGTTCCTTTATTTTTTATTTTATTATATGTTCTTTGTGTGTTCTACTGTAATTTTACTGTAGATCCACTGCTTTGAAATAACGTGTTACAAATGTAACCCTTTGATCCTGTGCATTCCCCAACTGAGGGCTGGAAATGTTTTAGCATCACAATTTATGCATCAATAACTATCAAGCTGCACCTCTTAACAAAACTGCAGAGCCTGGGCTACAAGACTATAGAAACCATTTTTACGTGCTCAAAACACAACTAAAACTACAATTAAATGAATAATGAAAAATCGCTCTTCGTGAAGAAAAGAAAGGGAAAAGAATGAACTTTATTACAGCCGGAGGGACAAGCATACACCATCTGACCCTCACCTGAAGGCTAAGATGCCTTTAAATATATTAGCAGTGCTCTGCTGCCACCTAGTGTCTGGTTCAGTACACATTTACAATGTTCCATGTCCATTTACACTTCATCAATACCACACTACTAATATTAACACATCCCAACAAATCCCACAGTGGTTACCTTTATAAAGAAGCCAAAGTAATGAAATAGACCTTGCAGTTACAGAAATATACTAATTAAAGTGTGTGTGTGTGTGTGTGTGTGTGTGTGTGTGTGTGTGTGTGTGTGTGTGTGTGTGTGTGTGTGTGTGTGTGTGTGTGTGTGTGTGTGAGTGTGTGTGAGTGAGTGTCTGTGCCTCACTGACATTCTTTTTATTAAAAACATTGGTTGAGAGTGATAAAATTTTAGATCTTGAATAATTAAAATGTGATTAATCAAAATTATTTAATTACTAAGCCTCTTATTAATTAGTCCCACTCCTAATTTTAATATTTGTTATTATGCATTTATTCAGTACATCACTGCAGAGTGAAATAAATAAAAATCCCAATTCTGCTAGAGAAAAATATTCAGCCAGTTGCCTAAAATATTAATATTTTCATGGCTTTTTGCTTGGTTACATTGTGTTTTTATTTATTTATTTATTTTTGTTTATGACAGGTACTCTCCCAACGAGCTTCGTTATCTGCCCTTGAACACAGCTCTGTTTGAGCCTCCACTGGACCCAGAGCTCCCAGCTCTGGACTCTGAGCCTGACTCAGATGATGCTGAGGACGGCAAGGATGTAAAGAAGAACAAGAACTCGTCTGTAAGATTGTGATCAGAGGATATTTGCATGGAAAAGTGCAATTCATGGCTGAGCTTTGATAAACAACACGTGTGCAAATACAGACCACTTTAGAAATATTTCCACCTGTCTGTTTTAAACTGCAGGACAGCTCCTCAGGTAACACATCAGATATGGAGAGCCAGGAGGGAGGAGGAGGAGGCCACAAGTCCAAAGTCAAAGACAGGACATCAATGCCAGGCAAAGACCAACGCCATTCTTCCTCCTACAAAGCCACCCCTGGGTACAAGGTAGAGGACAAAACCACCTGAACTCTTCTCCAACAACAGCAGCAGCACTTTTCTACCCCCTCCCTCCTCTTTCTGCTACTACCACTTCTTTAATCCATCCATTCCCACCCCCCTCCCTAGCTGTCTCCACTTTGTTGTGCGGCCTCTACAGTTGTTCAGCTGGGATATCCCGATCCGCACCGACTCACACACACAGGAGTTTTGGTTAATCATGGCTTTATTTTTTTTACGTTTTGCCCCCTCTCTTTACCAGACTGTGAGCAATAAGAAGAATTTAAAGGAACAGTTCACGTGTTTCTATTTTTGCTGCACTTTCACTTTGCGTGTTTTTCAGTGAAGACAACTTTTGAACTTTTCAGATTTTTTTTCTCCAGTTGTCTTCAACATACCTCTCATGTGTCCTCACTTGTCAAAAAAAGATACTTTCAAGACAAGGACGTGGATGTTTTGGCTGCTAATTTTGCTTTTGAAATATAAATAGAAAGTTTTGTTGTTATTATTTTAAAGAAAATATAAACCACATACTTTTTGTGGTTGGTATTAGCTGTTATTGTTAGCTTTGAAGGAATTTAACTATTTAAAGTTTAGAAGCGCTTCAATCTTAATGATTTAAATGAGACCCCGACCACTAAGACCTACAGGCTGAACATGCTGTCCTTATTATAGCCTCCTAAAATTATTATAATTGCTTCACAAACGTAATGGTTGTAATATATTTGGCGCTATTGTGTGTGCAAGGCATTCTGAGTCGATGGAAAGATAAAATGTGTTTCTGAGGTTTTAACCCGGTGACACATCTGGTTGTTGCTCGAAGGCAACAAAAGCAATAAACAACGTTCGCAGAGTCCGGTTCAGGTTTGGGCAGTGGGTTTTTCTTTGTGTGCATGTGTGTGTGTGTGTGTGTGTGTGTGTGTGTGTTTCTATCTTTTGTTAAAACCCTCATGACTTCTTCTCAGCTCTGTAATTCTCCACCTTCTTCCTGATTTTCTTGGTGTTTATACTACTCTTGATGCTGCGTTCAGGTTCAGACCGAAGTAAAGTTTATTTTACTGTGTAGTCCAAAGACCATTTTACAACACTACTACCCACAATGCATTACAGCGTAAACAGTGGGAGAGTACATCATGAGATTTCAACATCCTGATGTTATTCTGAGAAGCCTTAACGTCTTATTAGTCGGAGTTCCATTTAAGGTTATTTTGGTGAAACAACTGTTCTGCTAACGTGTTTGGTTTTTATTTGAAAATAAAAACTTTAGGCACTCTTACCGCCATGTTTGTTAACGCAATCCACTGTGCACTTTTTATATTGTTTGTTTTTATCACATCTATAGGATTCGATCCTGGTTCTGGGGGCCACGACCCTGCATGCTTTAGCTGTTGTTGGTGCAGGGAAACAGAAAACATGCAGGTAGTGGCCTCAGAGGGCCAGGGTTAGTAGCCCTGACCTAAAGTGTAAATTAGCATTAAAGATGTGTGTTGGATCTTTGTCTGTTTGTCGTATGGGGATGGTCCTTTTCTAGAATCTGGTTATAAATACCAGGGTGTCTAAAATTACCCCGACCATTTTCAGGTGTTTGTTTGGTGGAGCCTTGAAACGAAACGCTCAAATTAATCAACGTGTGACGACATCAAAAGGAGGTAGATCTTTTTGAAATTCCATGTTTGAAGATATATATATATATATATATTAGTATATAGAAATCAAGTATAATCTCATATTTTGTAAATCTGTTTCATCCTCATGAAAGTTTATGGTGTCACCCACCTTTTTGGGGTTTAGAGGTTTGATTCATCTTCATGTTTTTGTAACAAAAATCAAATGTGACGATGAAACTTTAATTTGGTTGTGCGGCTGCTGGATTATAAGCATTAATGTTGCTCGGGTGCAGTGGCTATATTCAGCACATGCAGTGGAGCTGGTCGCCTCCTTCGGAGTAGTTCAGAACCGTTCATGAACAAAAACTGAACAAAATAGACTGACAAAAGAACTGGTTAGATGCGTGGCGAACTGCCTCTGCCGCTGTGTTTTGTTAGGATCTGATAAATGGCATTGAGTGTGTTTAGTCAGCCAGTAAAAGGTTATAAAGTACATCTCTGCAGAGCATGTTAGGGGCTAGCAACACGACTCCACTCTAAAGCTAACATGGCTCGAAGTGACTGTTTTTAGAAAGTTAGTTCTCTTTGCTAAATATGCATGATGTGCAATATTTCCTGTCTAAGTCAATTCATTTAGAATAAAACACATGAAATAACTGGATTCAGTTTTATGGATTGCACATTTTCTGTTTCACACAAAAGTGGTGGTGTGACTGTTCTGGTATCATTTTTTAAAGAAAAGTTTTTTCTATAATTTTTCAAAATGACCTTTATGCAAATTATATTTGATGTCTGTTGATGTTTTAGAAGCATAAAAAAATATTATCTTTTTTATAGCAAAGACACTTCAATAGAGTTATTTTCTTACGTGCTGACACACTGGATCATCTTTTGAGTTTGGGAGCCTGTCATGCCTGAATTTTTGAGTTGTTTGACAACTTATTTTTTAATTAATTAATTTATTCACTTCAGACCATTCAAACAAATTAAAATCAAATACAAAATAAAAATTTCTTATTTAGAGGATTTAGAGATTCCTCTTTGGTCCTTAAAGGGGAATCGGGAGAAGCTCAAGGCTTTTCATTGCCCTATCCCTCAACATCTTTCCATTTCCAAAATCCAAATAAACATCTCTACACGTACGTCATAAACAAAATCAATAGGCAAAACTTAAATTTTTACATTAGCAAGAAATCATATAAACACTTATACTTTAACATCTTAAAAAAATCCAAATTCTAGATTAGAACTTATTGACTTTGCTTTACCAAGTCTTTAATGTCTATCATAATTCATTAGCAAATTAGTAATTGTCCAAAAGTTTTCCTCTATATAATTTTTTGAATTGTACAGCAGTTTTACATTTTTGTATGTTTTCCTCTATGCTATTCCACCAAACCACTCCTCGGACTGAAATGGTCATACTTATTTGTGTGGTACGAACACATGATTGTTTCATGTTATTTTGGCCTCTGAGCATATAATCTTCTTCTCTCTCCCTAAAATGTTTTTGTAAGTTCAGTGGAAGAAGTTGATTTTTCGCTTCATACATTGTATTTGCACTGAGTTATATTTAACAGTATCGTTGACATTGAGCAGATTAGATTTTAAAAACCGATTACTGGTATGCTAACTTAAACAAAAATATAAGGAAAAGAGGGGCAGCTCAAACATTTTCCACTGTGTTTTCTATAGTAAATGTGTTTGATGTTGTGTTCAGCTTCCACTAGTGTCTGTTGCAGCTTTTGTCCCAATCAACAATCATGTGAGGAGCAGATATTTAATCCTCCAGTAGACCAGGAAGGTCCCAACTCTGTTATGTTCTGATTTAAGCCTTCCTGAAACCTTTCTACTTTCTCCCCTTTTCCCTCTCTCACATCCTTTAAACTTATGTTTTATTGCAACTTTTAATTTCTCACATTAATAAGAAATTAAGTTTGGAAAACTTGCAGCAGAAGTTCTAATTTGTGGACCTATTTGGTGTCTTGTGTCCCCATTAGTCAGGACAAAGGATCCTTTCTGTCAGAAGTGACTGTTTTCTGCTTTATTTCCATGACTCTTAAGATGTGTGACTGGTTTTTATAGCATTGTTCTGCCCTTGCAGCCTAAGGTCATTCCCAGTGCTATGTGTGGCATTTGCCTGAAGGGTAAAGAGGCCAACAGGAAAGGCAAACCGGAGGCTCTTATTCACTGCTCCCAATGTGAAAACAGCGGTAAGTTTTAAAAGAACATTTCCACCTGTTTGTTTATGGCTGGCTGTAATGGACCTTTATTATGATATATTATTTATATGATATATTATTTATTTATTAGAAGTCAGCACACATTTATGCAGTCCCTTCTTAAGTATTTTTGTTTATTTTCTGAAGTTCTGCTTCCTTAAACACACGTATTTGTGTCCTGAAACTTTAGGCCACCCGTCCTGCTTAGACATGAGCGAGGAGCTGGTGCGCGTGATCCAGACCTACCGCTGGCAGTGCATGGAGTGCAAGACGTGCACCGTGTGCCAGCAGCCACACCACGAGGACGAGATGATGTTCTGTGATAAGTGTGACCGGGGATACCACACCTTCTGCGTCGGCATGGACCTAATTCCTACAGGTGAGGTGATGGGGGCGGGGCTAAATCAGTGAGTAAATAATATGGAGTCAACACTCTGAATGGGACGTTTACGCTCCTGTTTTTATTTAGTGTCTTAGTCTCTTGTCTCTTTATTATTAAGTCCTTTTTTCACGCAGGTCATTGGATTTGTGACGTTTGCGGCAAAAATTTCACCGCACCCAGGAAAAAAGGCGGAGCCAAAACACCTAAGAAGTCAAAGTCAGCTCAGAAAGGACCCATGTGACGATGGAAGCTTCTTTAACCGTAACCCAAACACAGGCGCTTTTATTCATTTATGTTTTTACAGATGAATTACTTAAAAGTGAGAATATTTCATTTCTTTTTACCAAACTGTTGGCCTTTGCATTACCATGACCTGGATGACTGAGAATCTCCTTCAGCAACATTTCACCTGTTTTTGTAACTTACGGATGTGATGAGATGGGCATCAGCCTTGCTGTTCTGTTGAATTCTGACTTTGTCATAATCATTATCACAACATTCCTGCTTCAGAAACCCAATGAACTTTACGTTTTCTATCTCAAAAATGTTTTACTCTTAAAAACTTTGCTCTGGGAAATCATTTCAGGTACACAACTGGTGCTTTTGGTCCTGTACTACTGAAAATTTCAGGATTTTTCAAATTATTTTATATGTAAAATTACTTTTTGTATTTTATTATTTTTAGTTAGGTTTTTTTTGTTGAAATTATATTTTATAATACCACAGCAGTAAAGGGTTTATTATGCTTCAGATCCTGTGACAAAGATAAGCTGTTGAATGTTAAAAACACATTTCAGCTCTTTGCTGCTCTTGGCTTAGAAAACTAACCACTTGTATTTACACTAAAATTAGTACATCAATGTGAACGTGTTGGAATTTAATTTTAGCTTGTGATGTTTAAAATTTATTTGTTTTTTGCATTATTTTCTAATGTTAATGAAATTATTTGATAAATGTTTTTTATGTCATGATCTTTGAAATACTTTTCCTTTTATACCAATAAAAGACGCTTTTAAAGGCTCTTCTTTACTTTAATCTGACTTCAGTGATATTAAGTTTACACACTGGTTCAGAGGCTGAGCAGTAGCAAGAAATGAAATTTGGCACAGTTACTAATTCATATAGGTTTCATGTGACTGGATCTGGACTGCTCAAACCTTTAGAGTATTTTATTCCTTTTTTTTCAGTTTTTCTATTTTTATCCTGAGTGACTATATTTGCATTTACTTAAAACTGCCGCTGTTTCAACAGGATTTTTACACTGCAGGCCGAAAAATATCCTTTCTGTTAAGTAACTTGGTAACGAGCATGCTGAAAACTATTTTGGTTCTCTGATAATCTCTAGTCAATGGCTTTTATTGATCTGACTGATAAACCATAAACTGTTCTCTCACAATTCAGAATCTCAGCATTTACTAAGTGATATTAATTGGTTATCACATAATAAAGGTGGGTGGATGTTTTTTTTACAATTACAGTTTTGCAGGTCTTAAAATCTTTTTCGATTAATACGCTTAATGTTTTACTGAAAATGTGATTGTGACTTGAATTAATGCTCTTATCGATATCTAAGCAAGTGAGACAAGAAGAGGTTTTGTAAAAACCCATCTACAGTACACGTGTGTTTAACGTCCAACAGCCTAATGGGGGCGCTGTTCTCACAGAAACCCTCCAAAAAAGCGTTAGTGACCGTAGAAGAAGAAAGCTGCCATATTGCAGTGAGACAGCGAGTTTTCTAGATCTACGGTTTTTGTCCTCTTTTGTGTTTCAAAAATGCTTTCGGCTCAGACTTTTGGAGATCCTGGGAAGATGAAGGATTATCATTATACTGGCCCAGTAGAGCACAGGTTTTCTCCTTACGCCTTCAACGGAGGGTCAGTAGAACTAATTCCTGTTTCGATAAGCTAACAGGCTAACAGTAACAGACGAAGTCCTAACCACGTAAACCTTTTGTTTACGGGTTGTATGCGGATGTAATTTGTTTATGTGATATTAAAATGCGTACTAAATTGTTTTATTGGGTTTAATTCCTCGCTGTTGACCCCACCATTGTGAAAAGCAACACTTTCAGTTTCGACTCAATAACATTCGTTAGCTAGCAGTTCTTGCTGATCAAAGTTGTGTTTTATGTGAATAACCCGTCTTTCTTATTTCCTCAGAACTGTACTAGCTGTTGCTGGCGATGATTTTGCCATTGTAGCATCAGACACCAGGCTCAGCGAAGGCTACTCCATCCACAGCCGAGACTCTCCCAAATGCTACAAGCTGTAAGTGCAAAGTAATTTGTCTACTGAAATGATGGACAAGGCCCTACAAACCAGCAGTTCTGTCTGTTGAAATATCTTAAAACATTTATTAAAGTTGCTGCCTTCTGTGCTTTGATATTTTATAAAGCTGCACCAGCAGAACACATTAGGGACAAGAAGGATGGAGTATTATAATATTCTAACGTCTGAATGTGTTGTTTTCCTCTCAGGACAGACACGACTGTCATAGGCTGCAGTGGTTTCCATGGCGACTGTCTAACTCTGACAAAAATAATTGATGCTAGACTAAAGGTGGGCTCCTTCTGGTTTCACCGTGTTTTATTTGATGCTGCTGTTTTATGAAAGTTTGATCGGGAAAGGCTTGTCTTCTTTTCATATGTACTTCTCAAACTGCCTTGTGTCATCACATTAAAAAGCATCAATGGTGGAAAAATTGACCTTTGTATTTACAACCCTGCAACACAGATGGTTAAATGAATTAAATCAGTCTTTGGCAACAAAAAAAAAGCATATTGATAACTTACTATAAAGTGCTTGAATTAAATTTTAGCTATGGTGTACATCCTCAGTAAATGTTTATGAGACACATTAACTCTTTCATGTTATGTCAGTGCTGTGAATTTAGCTCATTTTGCTGCATGGGTGTAAAACCTGTTTTCTGTAATAATAAAACAAGTTAATTCAAGAATTTTCAAATGAAGCTTACCAATCCATGAACCCCTTGCATTGTAGTTCTTATTACCGTTTTTATGCTTGTTATAGTTCTAAGTAGTTTTGTTACTTTGAATGAGTGGTTCCTATTTTTTTCCTTCTCAGATGTACAAACACTCAAACAACAAGACCATGACCAGTGGAGCTATTGCAGCCATGCTGTCCACCATCCTGTACGGCAGGAGGTTCTTTCCGTATTACGTCTACAACATTATCGGGGGACTGGATGAGGAAGGTGGGTATTGACACCATGTCCCAGTGTTTAACTGATCTGGGCTGCTGATACAATTGCTCTATAAACAAACATAAGAATATCTCTTGTCCTTTGGTCTAAAGCAGGGGTTCCCACACTTATTCTACACCTACCTACTATATCTACACATTATCAAGTGAAAGTGCAAGATTATTTAGTTTATTGGCCAACACCTAAAACATTGTAAAGGACTGAACGTTCTGTTTGCAAGTGCTTAGATGTTTTTGGAGTTGTCTTGTCAGTTGGTTACAGAAATATACTGATTAAGTAGAAGAAGAAAAGATCTTTTCTATAGCGCCTCTCAAAATAAAAATCATGAGATGCTTCACAAAAACAAAAATTTAAAAATATAAATAAGAATTTAGAAAATGATTAAAAATATCTTTAAGGAGGGAAATCAGTGGATCCTGAGGAAGGTGGAATAGGTAGGGAGAGAGAGTGGTGAAGAAGGTCATACAAAAGCCAGCTTGAACAGGTGAGTTTTCAGCTGCACAGGTGGACCTTAGCTTTTGTGTTTATTTTTTAAGGATTATTTCCATTTGGTGGTGTGAATTTGGCCCCTGCAACCTGTTAAGTTAAATTAAGTAATAGGAATTAAAACAGCTGTCTCGTTTGTTAGTAGAACGTTAGAATGTTTCTCATAGTACACCAATGCCATTATTGTGATTGATGCATTGAGTCTAAAGCATAAACTGTAACCCTAACCCAAACTGTTTTCAATAATAGTCTAAAAATGTTAATATTTAACATGTGTAATGCAGGCAAAGGAGCTGTGTACAGCTTCGACCCAGTGGGTTCCTACCAGAGAGACACCTACAAGGCTGGAGGATCAGCCAGTGCCATGCTACAACCGTTGCTAGACAACCAGGTAGGTCCCTAACACCTTCTTTTCCTCTTCCTCCTCGCTGTGGACACAGGCTGATTGTCTCCAAAATGTCCCATCACAGATCGGATTTAAGAACATGGAGGGTGTGCAACATGTTCCTCTGACTAAGGAAAAGGCGGTTCAGCTGGTTAAAGATGTCTTCATCTCGGCCGCAGAGCGAGATGTTTACACCGGAGATGCCCTTCGGATCTGCGTCATCACTAAGAAGGGCATTGATGAGCAGACACTACCACTGAGGAAGGACTGAGGAGGAGAAATGTTTCCAGCATCCATTAGTTTCCTCTTGGCTTTGTTTAACATTCACTCTGCTGATTTAATCTGTATACATCAAGTTTCTCATCTTAGGAGTCGATCGTGAGGTTTATTAAAGTCGCCTCTTAAGTTTGAATTAAACTGCTGTCAGAGAATCATCATTTCTATCAACTTTCAGCCCGATTCTGAGAAACCCGGTTATTGCTCACCTAGAGTCCGCCTCTCTTTTTCTTTTTGCAGGGAAGTATGCTCAGCTCTCTTTTTACATTCTTAATAAATATAAACAAAAGGTTTTTGCTCTGGTTTCTTTTGTCTGCACTGATCTGAAAACAGCAATCAAACAGAAATCTGTGGCTCGGTCATGATAAATGGCTTTATTTTTGTCACATCAATAAAACACTAATGAGTCATCTGCACCACAGTGGTTCTGGTTCTGTGGAAATCCTCACAGAGATGAAGTGATGAATGTTAATGTCCGGTGAAATTACATTCATTCACTGAATCTGTGACAACTTCTAGGTTCACTAAACAAAAAATATTCAACACTAACCTCACCCACTTTCCCCAACAGGAACTTTGATCACATATAAAAGACTCAAAAGTATAAAATAAAACGGGTAAATATCAGGAGTGTTACAAAACAAGCAGACAAGCGTGGCAGCTGCAGTGATGGTTATACAAGGCAAAAAGCATCGATTCGTTAGGACCAAGAAGAGTCATTTCTAAAGATGAAAGCATAATCAGTGCAGTTACATTTCATAAGCTGGCTCGTTCCTGCTACGTCACATTCATTCTAGCATGAGTTAGAGAAAATCTAACTGACAAACACATTTAACTGAAGCATTTACTGCTAAAAGAGCATTACTTTTATTTTTACCATAAAGCATGTCTTATTGCTGCCCATGTTTTAGCATTACATATAATATATATCTTATCTATAGATATATATTTGTATGTGTGTGTGTGTGTTCCAAGTTCCATTGGAAGATGCTGAAGATCAGCTGTGGTTAGAGTTAAAATAATTATAAGTGTCATAATAAAAATTAGGCTGAAGGCCACTTTGACCATAATTTCTTATTTGAGTCTATACATCAGGCTGAATTATAAGATCATTTAAAATGATTAAACAAATGCTATGGTTCTGTTAGTTTTTATTTTAAATCATTATCTTTCCTTTTTATCCTGTTTTCTATACATTTATTTAAATTCTCCATATAATTGTGGTTCGGATTTGAGAACTTGACAGAAAATAATAATAAAATTGCCCAAATACCCCAAAAATGCTTATCAAAAATACTGATAATTTTGAAAAAATTACAAGAATTCTCAACCAGTGGGATCAAAATTAAGGAGCAACCGAAAACTGCACAGCTCTGTATTTTTGCACAATTTCCCTAATTCTCACACAGTAACTTTAAAGACATTTTTAGAGCGACATCCACATATATAACCATGTGTTTTAGTCTCTAAACAAATGATTTGTGAATAAAACAAGTGTTTTATACACTGTGTGGTGTAGTGTGACCTGTAAACAAAAACACGTGCTGCACTACAGACAAGTATAGAAAAAATGACAAAAAATAAGAATACTTTTCAAACTGAATAATAATATCTTTTAAAACTTGATTTAAAATTTTCACATTTCATATGTTGTAAGTAGCAGTTTAATAGTTGAATACTTTGAGATGTTTGATTATGCTTCACAGTTTTAACCCCAAGGAACATTCATAATATACCGACACTTTCGGTTAACGTTCTTATAAAAATTTAGGTGGAGATAACTTCAGATAGTGGTTTTTTTTTTGTTATCTTAGACATTTGACTTAAAGAAAGACAAAATAGGCAGAAATAGCTTATCTCTGGAAGCAAAATGTCTTTAAACACATAAGTGGACTCGGCCAGATATCACATAGTGTATAAAAGAGAAGCTAATGAAAGAAAAGGTAGTCATTTATTTGCACTTTTAACGTTTCTCTGCCTCATTGTATACAGAAAATAAATTTGAAAAATTACTAAATTGGAAATTTCAACCTTCTACCTTAGTCATTTTCAGTTTAAAGCAGACAGTTTTTGTTTTTAAAGCAGCATTTCTCGATTCTCCAAGTGCTAACCACTGATTTCTTCACTGCAAGCAGTGACACATTAGACTCATTTGATTGACGCAAGCACTCTTTTGCCCCATGACTGCATCTCTCTTCTACAACTCAGCTCGCTCGCTACTGCTCAGCACATTGTACAACCCTCCTGCTGTGTCTGAAAGTGCTATACAAATAAAATGGTATAGAAATAAATTACTATTCAATAGAGAATAGCTCCTCCCGGCCCATGTCCTCTGACAATAGCAGAGTAAAAATGTAACATTGGAAATGATCGTTATCGGTTTTTACTCTTCAACTGACACAGCTTCTACATACCATGCACATCTTATACATCAAACTCTTCAACTACTTCTCCTCTCAATCAAAATGTCAAAATACGACAGATCTAAGGTTACGTTTTCTGGATCTTTTTGTCTGTTTAGCACCACTGGCCTGACTTAAATCGAAGTAGCTGTCATATTTTGCACAGTTATGCATGATAGGATATGTGTGATGTTAGTAACCTAAAAGGATTTAGAAAATATCGTTACATTGGATATTTGTAAAGGAGCCAATATCGAACATCCCAACTATTCAGTTGTCCTGCAAAAATAGGTTCATGCAGAAATATGAGCCCAAATCAACAGACAGCATAAAGAAGGTAATGAGGTTTGTCGAAATACACAAGGTTCCCATTTTCAGCTATTTTGTCATCTGTAGTTTTATGGGTGGGGGAGGCTGTGTGTGTAACTGTGAATCAGGAATTTATACTTGAAGTCTATAAAGACCTGAAAAGATTCACTAGCTGTGCAGCTAGATAATTCACATGAAAACGCCTGTTTGTGTCTAATAAACATCTAAACTGGAAAAGACAGCATTTCTTTTACTTCACTAATCTTTACACCAAGTTTTCTCTAAAGTCCACGTACTGCACAACCTGTTTGCGGGCGTGAGAGATGACTGGAGTGAGGGGAATGACTGGAGTACTAGGGGTCGAAGCTGCAGGGGTGGTGGCCCCAGGGGTCCCACCTGGTGTAGTGCCTGGAGTGGTGCCGGGAGTTGCAGGGATAACAACAACAGGAGAAGGACCAGGACTCTCAGCCCCGCCTCGAGGCTCCAGTCGTGGGGTGGATGTGATAAAGCGAGCTTCTCTGATCCGATAGGGGCTTCGGTAGGCTGAAATCGGCGATAGCTCTGAGCCCCAGCCGAGATAGCTCCCACTAGAGGGCGAAGGCGCATCTGCGCTGAAATACAGAGTGGTGCTGGATTCTCCAGGGGCTGCCGCTTTCTTCTCTGGGGAGGCCAGCAGTAAAGGGGAGCGCCGCTCTGGAGACCATCCAGGTGTCTTGATGTCCAGAGACCCCACAGAGGATGAGGCCTCGGTCAGAGATGCAGCATTGCTGTCGATGTGACGGAGACTTCCTGTTTGCTGTAGAGAGGAGAGAGACGGGGAGCCGGAAGCAGCACTCTGAAACTGCTCGTCCCCTTTAAAGCAGAAGATCATTAATAGGTTTAAATGATGAATAAACAAAACATACATGACATTTCTGTGTTATGTGTGTTTGTTTGCATGTTGGGTTTTCCTCCAGCAGCCAACCTTTTCCATCTGAATGTGCTGCACTTGATTCTTCCTCAGCAGTCTCTTCAGGAATAACCTCATGGACCGGGATGATTTCTGGGAATCTCCTCATATCCTGGATGGTTGTGGGCGGAGCTTTTCTCACAGGTCTAGCTATAACACAGGTGTGAGCAGGTTTGGGTGCCGGTGCCGCTTCTCTCACCTGGGCACAAGAAGCAAACCTGTCAGCTGAGGTCATGACCTTAAACATCGTCCATCTTCTGTTTTTAACCGCGAAACAAAAACCAAGAAAACAATCTTCTTTGCATTTTTATATTTATTGGGGCAATACGTGTTACAGAAGAGCCTCCAGCTGCCTCACAACTCAGCTGTTAAACTGCTGACTATGACCAGAAAGGAACGTGGAACTAATTTTAGTTAGTGTTTTTTATTGGCTTTTAAGTCTATTTATGGTCTTATTCCTGTTTATTTGTCAGATGTGCTTTTACACAACAAGCTCTATGTCTCTTCGGTCGTCTGGACGAGACCTTCTCTTTTACCTAAAGTCAAATCCTTTTCTTTCTATCTGATTTTATTTTGTTTTAAATATTAGAAATGTTATCTGGTTTTTGAGGTTTATTTTAATTATTACAGTTTGAAACAAAATTTGTTTTATAACAGTTTTTTCTCATTAATCTAACTGCATTTGCCCAGTGTCTACGTTTTCTCTAGACCTTTAACAATTTTAACATTTTTCTGTCTTATGTTGCTGCCTTTTGTCTGTTTATGTTTATTTTGTAGAGGCAGCAGAGACCCACATGGCAGCAAAAAACAAGTTTTTCATAAGATGTCCCTTTAAAGGCCCAGTGTGAGAAATCCATTGAAATCATGATGAAAAAACGCGACTCTTTAGCGCCATGCAGTTCAGAGAAAGTATTGCAGCTACGGTGGCTCACTCATGAGTTTGACTAATCAGTTTCCAACCTGTGTAGCCTAACCCACACAAAGCTTAAAACAAGCTACTCGACCTCTTTAAAAATGGAAACAGAATATTTCAGGCGAACATAATTTCCCACAACCATGGACGTAATTTTCACTTTAGAAGTGGGGGGGACAGGGTGTATCTTTAGCTCTAATGGGAAACAGGCTTCAACACAAACGGTTGTTTTCTGCTTGGTCCTAGAGCTCAACCAGTGTCAATTTAACATAGCGTAATATTGTTTTTGGATGGTAAAAAGTGCAGGGGTCAAAACGTGACTTTGGAAAAAATGGGGGGGGACATGTCCCTCCCCCCCCCCAAATAAAAAAATTACGTCCATGCCCACAACACTTGTTTCACGCGGATCACGGAGCGCACCGCTCGATGTAAACAAACTGGCTGCCGCCACCAGCTTATGGATATGGAGCATCGAGCGATCACTGGCTGCTCACGGCTGGTTCAGGAGTGTTTGTGAGCCGGGGACACGCTGAGGACATCAAATAAACAACGTTGACTTATCTTACTTAGCTCACGGCTAGCATGATGATGAACTGACAAATTTTATGTGTCTTTTTATTTAAGTTTTTTTTTGTTCAAAATAACAAGTACAGCAACGGTGTAGCTATTTTTTTCTATTTCTTAGTTGAATTAGCAGACTCCATGCTTCCAGGACGCACTGCCGCCCTCTGCTGGTTCTTTCAGGTTACAGTCATGGTCCAAAAGGGAAACATGGAGCTCATATGTCCCTAAACAGCTACTGTATTTTAAGATGGTCGGGCCTCGCCCACAGTTTATGTATATAAAAATGTAAAATTTCAAGTTGAGAGGAATATTTAGAATTGATGTTGGTGAGAAATATTAGTGAAAAAGGACGTTTGTGAACAGGAAATGCAGGATTTGATAGTAAACAGGTAAAAATATCACACCCTGTGCCTTTAAAGCAATGAGGGTTTATAAATAAAACATGATTCACTGAAAATATGATGCAAAGCAATATTGTAAAATTTTGTAATATTAATAAAGATGTGATAGTATGAACAAAAATGTTTAACTTTTTATTCAAACATTGTCCTATTTCATAGAATATCTTTCACCTGTTTATGAAATTTGTATAATTTTATGACTTTATTTTTCTGATGTTAATCTATTTCTGTTTTTAGATCATTATGATTTCATGACTTTGTTTTATTTGATCTATGTGAGGCACTTTGTGATTCTATGTCTGTGATAAGTGCTACATAAATGGAATGTACTTACTTACTTTTTAATTCAAGAGATTTTGGCAAATAATCTGAAAACAGATTCTAACAATGGTCTTGCCTGGGTCACCTGTGGAGCAGTTGGAAGAGCTGGATGGGAGATCTGAAGAGCCCGTGGCTGAGGAGGGGCAATCTGTCAAATCACACACACACACACACACACACACACACACACACACACACACACACACACACACACACACACACACACACACACACACACACACACACACACACACACACACACACACACACACACACACACACACACACACACACACACACAAGATTTGAAACCTCCTTGCATGACTTTAAAAGATTATACCTGGCTAGAAGGAGGAGTCTCGAATTATTGAGGCTTTTAATTCAGGAGAGCAGCAAACCCGAGGGACACGGTGTACATCAGGGGAATGAACCTCTTCAGAAAGTCCCATCAGTCCAGCCAGTCCCCCCTCACCATACGCGGACCAGATCCTAGAAACATCCCCCGTCTTCAGAGCCAAGCGAATCAGCAGCCAGTGGTGATGTTTCCAGCCTTCCCATTGGATTGGAAGGTCCATTAAAGTCCCGCCTCCTGATCACAACACCCACAATAATTGGATTTTATTTTATTATCAGAAAGATGTGACTATACTTCACATACATGGACTGATGGGTCAATGATTCACCGACCAGATAATGTTGCGTGGCGATGGAAGCTGGGTGCTACTTTCTCCTCCAGTGAGAGTGTGGACCCACGCTGCATACAGGCTCCCCCGATCCCCCTGTGACGAATGCTCTGGAAGATCTCAAAAGATTTAGGATGGAGGAAACGGTAGTACAGCACCAGAGCTATCACTCCTGCAGAGAGAATGCAAAACCATGTCTCAAATCTAAAGAACAAACAGAACGTTCACTTTGTAAAATATAATAATCATAAAATTTGTACATAGATGCAATTTTTATGCAAGAATGGGCTGCATGTCTCACCGATGAGGAAGCTGCAGAACACGGCAGCTGGGATACCCACAGTGTCCCAGGACACCATAGCAAACAACCAGGAGGAGGCCAGAAGAAGCAAAGCATTCTCTAGAAACATGACCTGTAAAGGTTAGAGCAGAAACTGATGAAATCTGATCATAAACTATATATTTAAATCAAATGTGTTAACTTAAGTATTTTTTTTCACAGTCTACATCTGACCACTGCAATACTTTCCTCTAAAACAGAAGACAAAGACACCCTTTTCTCAGTTTAATGGTTAGTGTTTTGGGAGCATACCAGGTAAAACCCAGCCATGCGGTATCTGGACTGTCCGTACTTCACGTTGAGGAAGAGGAAGATGTGAACGGCTCCCAAGACCAGGTTAAAGAGTCTCCATCGACTCGTTGAGCGAATGATGTTGGTCTGCTGGGACACCATCCAAAAGGTAGCACCCAGCCAGTGCACACCTGAACACACACACACACACACACACACACACACACACACACACACACACACACACACACACACACACACACACACACACACACACACACACACACACACACACACTGTAGGGGAGCAACATAAAAAGCATAAAGCTTTGAGGTTTTTGCATCTAGGCTTACCAATAACTCCCAGGACCCACTGTTGGAAGATGCGAGTGAAGAGCATGAGCACAGCAAATCTTGATCCCAACATACTGACCTGCAGACATCAGTCACACATACATATAAACACACACACACACACTCTATAACCTCTGTAAGTCTGAGGGTGTGTGCTGTTGGAAAGTTGTTTGTTTCTGTCTCACCCTCCACAGCAGTCGGCAGAGGATGGCAGCAGGTGTCATCTGTAAATGTCCAGGTCTGATGAGTGAACAGGCTCGGGCATAGAGGACCAACGCCCAGGCCAGAGACAACAAACACACTGCAAAACACACCGAGGCTAAAGAGAAGAAATATTAGTGTTTTGATCCACTGACGCACAACTTTAAAAGGCTTTGTTTGTTTATTTTGTGTATTAAAAGATCATCTTGTATGGTGGTAAAATTGAGAAAATGCTATAATAGCAATCACAAGTATTTTCACTTAGTACACAGCTGTCTGGTTGCTTAAAAAAGTAACAGATTAGACATTAACTTCTGATATAAACCATTATGTCTGTGTTTGTGATTGCTTTTCCATGTTGTGGTGTAATAGCATGCTTTGTTTATTTCCAGACTAACATCTGACACTTTCCTGGGTTCTGATGACATCGGTCATGGTTTACAATAACACCAAAACATCAATACGGGAACGTTATTATTTTTAAAAAGAACAAAAGAAGGAGAAATGGTAGTTGTTTGAAGCTATGTTTCTGACATTTAGGAGATGTTAGACACCTGCTTTTTTATTTTTATTTTATTTTATTTTTTACTAATACCTGATATAGTCCAACTTTCAATATATGATATAAACCAATACTAATATATGTAGAGTCCCCTTCATAAACAAAACAAGATTATTTTAGCTAACTAAAATCACATCTCCTATCATCCATACTTAAAGGTTCAGTGTGTATGAATAGTTACTTCCTGTAGTCAGATTTGATTACTGCAGTACTTTCTCTTTCTTTTCGCCAGTTAGAGATGGGAAAATAAGGTTTATATATGTTTCAACCAACAAACATGAAATACCATGTTTTCACAAGTATAAACTACTTTTAAAAAAACAATATTGTGGAGAAGAAAATGAGGCTAAATTAAAATCACATACTTAAAAAATTTTATATATACAAACAGTATTTATTTAAATCAGAACATGTTCATTCTACAATGAATATAGAAGGAATCATTTCAATTGGAGAATCATAACAAATACAAACATATATGAAATTGTAAAAGCAACCGTGTGCAAAAAATGGATGAAAAAAACCTCAATTAAATGAGAAGTTTGTATTTTTCTAATTTGTATTGTGAGGAGCCAAATGAGTGACTAAGTATGTTAAACATCATCTGTGCATAATATGACAGCTACTTTAATTTAAATTAGGCCAGTTGTGCCTAACAAGCAAAAATCCCAAAAAACAAACCATGGATCTGTTATATTTTGACAATCTGAGTGAAGAGAAAAACATCTGAAAAGTTTGATGTACAGGTCCTTCTCAAAAAATTAGCATATTGTGATAAAGTTAATTATTTTCTGTAATGTACTGATAAACATTAGACTTTCATATATATTAGATTCATTACGCACAACTGAAGTAGTTCAATCATTTTATTGTTTCTAATATTGATGATTTTGGCATACAGCTCATGAAAACCCAAAATTCCTATCTCAAATAATTAGCATATTTCATCTGACCAATAAAAGAAAAGTGTTTTAATACAAAAAAGTCAACCTTCAAATAATTATGTTCAGGTATGCACTCAATACTTGGTCGGGAATCCTTTAGCAGAAATGGCTGCTTCAATGCGGCGTGGCATGGAGGCAATCAGCCTGTGGCACTGCTGAGATGTTATGGAGGCCCAGGATGCTTCGATAGCGGCCTTAAGCTCATCCAGAGTGTTGGGTCTTGCGTCTCTCAACTTTCTCTTCACAATATCCCACAGATTCTTTATGGGGTTCAGGTCAGGAGAGTTGGCAGGTCAACTGAGCACAGTAATACCATGGTCAGTAAACCATTTACCAGTGGTTTTGCCACTGTGAGCAGGTGCCAGGTCATGCTGAAAAATGAAATCTTCATCTCCATAAAGCTTTTCAGCAGATGGAAGCATGAAGTGCTCCAGAATCTCCTGATAGCTAGCTGCATTGACCCTGCCCTTGATAAAACACAGTGGGCCAACACCAGCAGCTGACATGGCACCCCAGACCATCACTGACTGTGGGTACTTGACACTGGACTTCAGGCATTTTGGCATTTCCCTCTGCAGTCTTCCTCCAGACTCTGGCACCTTGATTTCCGAATGACATGCAAAATTTGCTTTCATCCGAAAAAAGTACTTGGGACCACTGAGAAACGGTCCAGTGCTGCTTCTCTGTAGCCCAGGTCAGGCGCTTCTGCCGCCGTTTCTGGTTCAAAAGTGGCTTGACCTGGGGAATGCAGCACCTGTAGCCCATTTCCTGCACACGCCTGAACACGGTGGCTCTGGATGTTTCTACTCCAGACTCAGTCCACTGCTTCCCAAGGTCTGGAATCGGTCCTTCTCCACAATCTTCCTCAGGGTCCGGTCACCTCTTCTCGTTGTGCAGCGTTTTCTGCCACACTTTTTCCTTCCCACAGACTTCCCACTGAGGTGCCTTGATACAGCACTCTGGGAACAGCCTATTCGTTCAGAAGTTTCTTTCTGTGTCTTACCCTCTTGCTTGAGGGTGTCAGTGATGGCCTTCTGGACAGCAGTCAGGTCGGCAGTCTTACCCATGATTGCGGTTTTGAGTAATGAACCAGGCTGGGAGTTTTTAAAAGCCTCAGGAATCTTTTGCAGGTGTTTAGAGTTAATTAGTTGATTCAGATGATTAGATTAATAGCTCGTTTAGGGAACCTTTTCATGATATGCAAATTTTTTGAGATAGGAATTTTGGGCTTTCATGAGCTGTATGCCAAAATCATCAATATTAGAAACAATAAAAGGATTGAACTACTTCAGTTGTGTGTAATGAATCTAATATATATGAAAGTCTAATGTTTATCAGTACATTACAGAAAATAATGAACTTTATCACAATATGCAAATTTTTTGAGAAGGACCTGTATAATAAGTGCATAGAATGTAAAATTTGTGTCATTTAAAAAGTAAAAACTGACACAGATAATTTCCAATATTACATTTTAATGCCAAAATCATCCAATAATATCAGACATGTCTACTATTTCATGATAATATTGTCACAATGTAACCCTGAGCAGATGACGTGCACTGTGCTGATGTTCATCTTCACGGGGGAAAAGATAATTTCACGTTGCTTATGATGAACCCTGATCTGATTTATTGAATTTAATCCTCAATGTTTAATCATTCATATCCAGGCCAAATGGTTTCTAATGCTTAAAAAATATTTATATACCTTTTAAAACCAGCATGCATTGCACACATCATTATCTGGACTTTTCTGCTTTGCTCACCTGGAGACTTAACTCCGATATCAGTACAGATGAGGACGTAGGTGTGGAGAAGAGTCTCGGGGAGGGTGACCACCAAGGCCTCAAACAGCCGTAAAGCAGAAACATCAGCCTGCTGCATGATTTCACCGTACACGTCCTCATCTGGCAAACGCATACACTCCCACAGCCTGTGGGCACCAAGCATGATGAGGAGTGAGTCCTGGCTCTGCACTCCATTGATAAATACACAAGTGTAGACCCTGAACATACCTTTTGAAGATGCCTAGGTGCAGAATGTGTGTCCATCTGAGAGACTTCCTGGAGATTCGTCCATCTGACAGGTACCACAGATAACTGAGCCACTGTGGAAACCAGCCTGAGAAACACAGTAGGATAAAATCAGCTGGTTTTCTTCAGCTATATTTTGATCTGTCTGTCATTCTTCACCTGGTAGCAGGAACAGAGCCGTGAAGCCAGCAAGGTAGGCATAGCAGTAGTTGTGACCCACCCACAGATAGTATACAAAGCAGTAGATCACTGTTAAATCACAAAGAGAAAACAGTCATATTTACAGGAAAGATGCTTTTAAGCAATGCACCATGAATCAAAACATTACAAAATAAATGGCCTGTATTTGATATAGCGCCTTCTGGAGTCTTGGAACCCCCAAGGCGCTTTACAAAACAACCACTCATCCACACACACATTCATGCCCTGGTGGTGATGAGCTACATTGTAGCCACAGCTGCCCTGGGGCACATTGACAGAGGTGAGTCTGCTGTACACAGGCGCCACCGGTCCCTTCGACATCCACCTGCAGGCAACAACAGCAACAGACTGAGCGGGGTACTTCCGATTACGAAAGCTCATCACCACTATGTGAATGTGTGTGTGTGAATAGGTGAATGACTGTTTTAAAGCGCATTGTAAGGTTCTAAGATTCTAGAGGGAGCTATATCAAATACAGGCCATTTACCATACACTGTTAGCATTGTTAGTTCAACGTTAGCCTCTAGCCTGCTTCACCTGATATTACAGTAAAACAAAAAGATGCCATAGCGAACAAGAAATAACTTCTGAGTCACTCCTGTTTCCGGTTTAGATCCTTTCCAAAGCCCTGCTGCGTTTTGCCGGCTGGTGTCAAATTACAAATGCAGGTGCAGCAGCACTTGCTCACACAGATTCTCATTGGTCCCCAGAAGAACGAAAAAATGAATGCAAATGAAAGTCAAAGTGCTACAAGAGCTATTTTCTAATCCGCTTTGCCTTACCTCCTGGATCGCACATATGTTGTACTGCAGTTTGAATGAAATGTATTGTGGGTGTTTGGGCATCTGGTCAGGATGCCTCCTGGACGCCTCCCTGGGGAGGTGTTTCGGGCATGTCTTACCGGTAGGGGGCCCCCGGGTCGACCCAGGACACGTTGGAGAGGTTACATCTCCAATCTGGTCCGGGAACGCCTTGGGGTCCTGCCGGAGGAGCTGGTGGAGGTGGCCGGGGAGAGGACGGTCTGGAGCTCCTTAGTTGGAATGCTGCCCCCGTGATCCGGACCCGGATAAGCGGAAGACAACGACGACGACTTATTGTGGGTGTTTCGATCACGCCATTCACGAACTTTGAGATTTATCAGAATGTAAAAGTTCGTAATTAGCATGATGTCAAACCAGACACTGGTGCTTCGCATATGTGACGTCACCATCCCCTCTCCCCTAGCATAGCTGCTACTTACCAAATGGCCATATTTATAGTGGTTCTTTCCTCCTGAAGGAAGGACTGGCATGATTTGCTGAACTTACAGACATTTCCCTCTGTTTTCTCCGTGTCTGGTTTGATGACGTCACTTTCGTGAATCATATTCGTAGTCCTGGATTTATTTTCACACAAAACCTAAAATAACATTTTCCCCGTTTGAAAGTAAGCACATTATTGGTATCAAAATGCTTCTTTAAAATGCACGGACATCATATGTGAAATCCATGGCTCAAAACAAGCGGAATCAGAGAATAGCATTTTTAGCCCCTTTGACTTGCATTAATTTTTTCGTTTTTCCGGGGACCCATGGTCCGGAAGTAGATAGGCGTGACTTAGCTAAGGACATTCCTTCTAACGTGATTGAGACCTATATAGTTTTGTGATAAGTTCACTGTAAAATTCACACTTATTGTTGTAACTTCAAAAAAAATATTTTTTTCATTTCACGTATAGAAAATAATAAATCTATGTTTTTAAATGTCACAATAAATTAATAAAAATAGAAATCCAGCTCTGAATGAAGTTGCATTTTTTGTTCATCTAAACTCTCCACCAATTTACTTATGCACAAAAAAGTTAATTAAGTTTCTTATCTCTATTTGCATCAGGCTGTGAGTTTTCTGTGATAATAGACGCAATTTATGCCTGAATTTATATCTGCAGAGATTAAGGTCCACCCTGTTTTGACTGACCTCTGTTCATTTCATTATCGACACCAGCTGCTGCATCCCTCCATCCTTCTGCAGCTCTGTCTCCCCTTCACCCCTCCATGTAATCCGAACCCTTAGCTGCCGAACAGGCGGGCTATCCGGCTAAACTAGGCCCCATCCCGGAGGTGAACGCCCATCCCCTCATCCAGTCAGACACCCCCCCCTCAAAAAAGAGCGCTCAAATATGACAATATGGCTTCTGTGAGACATTTAGGAGTTTAAAATATAAAATATCCTAACATGAGTCAGCAGGTTTTCAGGTTTAAAAATAGTCTGCACGCTCTGAGCGGTTCTATTATTCATGACAACACAACGAAAAAACGCTCTGTAACCGAAACAAGTGCACAAGTTTGCGTTGTTTTGATGCTCTCACGCGCATAAATCCACACACGAGCACGCGCAAATGCACATAACAATTAATTAGAACCTGGACTAGACTGGACATAAGCAGGTCACATCATCACAATAGACCCACTTAATAAGCTCCTATATATGTGTGTGTTTGCGGGTGTGTGTTTATGCGTGTGGTAGGACTCACGCGCCGTCCTTTCCGCAACTAGGAGGAATGCGGTAAAAGCAAAGACGCAAACTTGGCAGCAGGGCGTGCAGCCGCCTCCGTCACTCTGCGTGGCCGAGTAGTCTCTCATGGTGGCACGAAGACCCGAAGAGTTTCAGGGATGACAGTCTGCAGACTTCTCTGGTACTGGTCCGGGTCGGTCCAGCTGTACCAGCCCGTTCTCGCAGCTCTGCATCCCACAAATAAGACGTCCCCGCCCGGCCCGGTCTGTCCCGTTAAAGCGGTACCGCACTGCCGATGCCGACAGCAGCATCCAAGGGCGCTTCCAAAAGTCTTGAACTGGGGGGGCACTGACACTTCTGGAGTCGCACGCCAAAACCAGCAGAAATGAGGGGTTTCAGGAGTTTTAAATTTAGATAAAAGTTGACTTGGTTTTAAACCTTTGATGCATAATGGTCACTACAGTGGACAGGTACTCAAAATTGTTACTTATTTTTTGCTATTACAAGCACAGCAGTTGAAGACTTTATTGCATTTGAGCCCCTCCATTTCGACTTCAGTAAGTCAAGCCATGTTCAGAATGCATGCTGTCCGCTGAGTTTGACATGTAATATATTATTTGTAAAATATTAAATGTTACAAAAAAATACTTTTTGAAATTTGTTTCATTCACACTTAAAGATGAATGAAAAAAAGGTTAAAAAAATCATGGTTGAAGATTTCATAATTCATGCATCAAAGGGTTAATTACTGAAGTTTTTATGCTCTGAAGCCAGAATTCCACTCAAATTGTGGAAGTTTCCAAAATGTGTCAAAATGTGTCTTCTTTGTGTTGCAGGGCCTCACCAAAAGTTCACAAAACACATTTTCTTAGAAAAAAGGCACAAAAGTTTTCGCTATCCTACATTAATATTACAGTTATTGCCATTTACCAATATTTACCAATATAAATATACATTATTATACATATATAATTACAAATACAGATGTAATATACATTTACACACACACACACACACACACACACACACACACACACACACACACACACACACACACACACACACACACACACACACACACACATTTGCTGTTAACAGCGTGTTAACACACCGATGTGTGCTATCCCTGTAAAATGATCAAAGCATTACTACCTTGACCATCCTGTTCCTTTTCAAAGCGGATAAGAGATGCACAAATTGCTGACTGGTTATTAACATTGACCCAGTTTTAACGACAGTAATCTTGTTTTTAAAACCATTTTGTTGGCTACTGCAACTATAACAACAATATGATCAGTTTTACTGTATGATGAAATTAAATTAGCAGTAAAGAAACATCATAGGCCCTTGTCACCAAATGAACTGCCACTAGAGGGCAATAGACATACATGGGACTGTGGCAGATTTTTGATGACGGTACAAATCTTGTAAATGTGTGGGCGCTTCAAGGTGGTGAATTTGTGACAATAGTCAACAAAGGATTATGCCCCATTTGATCAGATTAGTAGGTCAACTACACTCAAATTGCATAATCATAGCATAAAATAATGATAATTTTTTAATGCATAAATGTGTCATCGTCTTAGAGCCTTCTCTAACTTTTCTTTTTTCTGTTCATTAATTATATATTTTTTCCCTTTTTGTGCTAAATACAAGCACTTTTTCCTGAGAAAAATGTGTAGAAATAATTTTGGACACTAGGGGAAGTCACTTACACACTCAAATTGCTCTTAAGGCAAACACAGTTTGTCAACCTAAATGGTTTTATTGATGTAATTAAAAATGCATGAAACCCACAAGAGGAGTGTTTTAGAAGTGTCCTTCATGGAAAGTTTGAAATGCTTTATGATTTTGTTCAATCCTGCTCCTCTGTCACATCTTCTCTGTCACAGCTTCTCTGTTCACCTTCTTTGGGTTTCTTAAAACTTTTATTATGACCGTGACTGCACCTTGCTGTCTGTCTAGGACAAACCCTCAAAACATCCATATTACAGAAACACTGGCATCCGTGTTTAATGTTTAACTCTTTAAATAAAGCACAATCATCTCAAACATGAGGATTGTCGTAATCTACAAATCACACAGTTGTTAGCAGAAAGCACCAGAATGTTGACCTCCATGCTTGCATGGAGCTGATATGATCCTCTTTGGTGAGATAGGTTTGCATCATATTTTCTATTCCTCTGCTATTAAATTAACAAAAATAATCCAGCAGTCATGTCAGGATTATAGCAGGATTACAAACAGCAACGATCATCAAGGAAAAGTGCAAGACTGTTCACTTATGAAATGTTTCCTTCACGTTTTTGTTTCTGAAAGTCTCTGGTAAAAACAGAAACTCCCAGCAGATTCAAACATTAGAATGAGTTGGTTTGTTTGTGTCTTCATTTTAATTTGCTTCTCTTCCTCCAAACACGTCGGTCCCATGTGGTTCCAGAGCAGGACAGTTCACGTGTCGCTCCTGTTCACACGACGCCGAGGCTCCTTCAGACATACTGACTGATTAAATCTTTTTGGAGCAGTGCAAAAACTGTTGGTGCAATTTTCAAAGGAGTTTCCTGTACCTTTATGTCTGCCTCTTTTCATCCAGTCTCTATTTTTACTTTTGCATCAGTAATATCTGTTGAGGCTCTGAGTGACGGTGCTGATGTCTGGTTGTCCATTAATCCAGATCTCTCTGAGAATACGCTCACGCTCTTCCAGCCTCTGGGCCCGGTCCAGTTCTGAAGACACAACGAGAGCAAAACACACTGAGTCTGGGCTTACCTACAAAACTTTTGCTCTGATCTTTAGCTTCATGTTATTTTTGTTTCATGACATAAAAGAGATGACCTGTACAAGAATCAGAAATTGGTATTGGCCCTCAAAATCAGAATCAGTACATCACCATTTAACATTACAAGTGTGTCTCTGTTTGAAATACACCTTCAGATGATGTGAACATGTTGGCGTGAAGCAGAGCTCTCTCGAAACGTCTGCGCCTTCGTGCCGACAGGTCGGTCGTGTCGTCCCAGTCCTCTGTCTCGCTGTCCCCAGTGGTTCTTCCGGAGGCCACAACCACAGCAGTGGCGTGATCCTGGTGGCTGTCGCTGGGCTGATGGGCACAGATGTGCTGACGACGGGGATGTCTGACCTTGTGGCGATGCTGAAGGTCGTTACTGTTGCCATAGTGGCAGTCTGCTCTACAGTGAATCTGGAAGACGATGGCGCACAGTGTGACAAGAAGACCCATGCAGACGCCGCCGAGAAACACCAGAGCTGTCCTCTCAGGCTGGTCTGAGACAGAAAGAAGAAATCCTTCCTTTTCATACTGATCTCCTACAGTCATAACAATCCGAACAAACGCTGTACCTGCAATGAAGGTGTAAGCTGCTAATATGTTGCTAAGCAATGCCATCTCCTGGGAGACCATCTTCACCTCCATGTTTGGACTTGCTGTTGTTGGGGAGCTCATGATTTCTCAGTTTAGACGAAAAAATCCTCCTGAAGAGGTTAGATCAGATCTTCATCGCTCCTCGTGAGCTGTAGGTGTGAGACAGAGACATTAGACGAGAGAAAACCTGAGTCAATGTTTCCAAAAGCATTATTTGGTTTCCTCTGATGCTTGTAGAGTATTGTCCATAAATAATGCATTAATTGCACCAAATTCTGGTCCTATTTGATATTTTTCTTTGCTGTCGTGTGAGTAAAGCAGAAGTCTGCAAACCTGTGGCTCTGGGGCCTTCTAGACTCCTTTGTAACTTTAATAACTATAATTACATAACCACAACATTAAAACACTTGTTTTTGCTTGCTTTTCTTTAGAAATGTGTGCAAACATATGATTAAAATCCACATGAGAGAATAAAACTGATAACACAAGGAAGAAAACTGTTCTGTTAGTTTATTCTAATGGTTCGTTAGATTGCCTTACTTCCTTTCCCACTACAAGAAATAAAACCGCAGAGGGATATAAATAAGAAATTATATGCAACTTTGCACATAGTGCACATGACTGGCGTTCAGAACTAGAATGGCAAAGTTTCCCTGACAACACTAACAAGACACACTAACAACATTAACAAGAAACAAAAGCTTGCCTTCAAGGAAAAAAATGTTCCCTGGGTCTCTTTGGAAAATGTTTAAATGACAATTAAAGGAGCCACATTTTAGGTCAAGCTTTGTTGTTTCAATTGATTTTCCACAAACACAGAAAATATTGCATTGTTAGCTGTTAAAATCAAATCTGTTTTTTTTTCCTTTATTACATTCCCAAAAATGACAAGAATGTTTTGTAGTTTCTTAATTTCATAATCTAACCATAACTTAATTAGCTGTAGTTATTTCAAACCTCAAGATTGTTTTGTGGCTCTGAATACATTTTAGTGTGAATGGAAAACTGGTTATAAACCTTAAAAATATATATTTTTTTATTATACCAACACTCTAAACCTACTCAGGCTTGTTTAATCCTGACAGCTGTGAAATAATCCTCAAGAAATTCATTCATCAGGCAGCCGATGATACACTTGACCTCTGTGGAGTTCACGTGGCCGTCACACAGAGGCCGTGTCATCACAGATATAACTCACATCTCAGGCTGGATGAGAATGACCGTAATGCACCTAAAAGAAGTTTGACATAAATGAGCTTCAGAGACATTAAAGCTGGCAGTAAAAAGTGGTGGTGGGGGTGATATTTCAGCAGTGAAACAGCTTTGTTAACACATTCCTGAGCCCGTATGGGCTCTTAACTCAGGAGCTATCTCTTCTCACAGGGCAGCACTTTAGCTTTTGATTTGCCTACGCGTGCAGCAAAATACCTGAATCTTTCATAGCTCTTTGGCTTAGGGTTTATAGAATTATAAGGCAAAACTCTTTACCCTCACCTGCCACTTCCTCATCACCTGCATCAAAAGTATGCTTGATGTTGTTTACAAAGAACCATCCCATAACTGAAGCTGGAAACATCTGTTACTAACCTAATCAAACTAAAGGGAAAATAACACTTTTCTGCTACTATTTTCATATGTTTGACTCTATTTGCCACTGAAGTGTTTTTGTCACAACCTATCATGAAATGTGCACATTTCTAAATTCTTAAATTCTGTCCAAGCGTCAGTAGAGATTTACAAAAACACCACAGCTCATTAACGACTGCTGCTGATGTGGTAAATGATGTCATTTAAGAGGGAGGTTGCAAAAACACTGTGCTACATTATTCCATCATTTCAGGAAGGTTGTTGTCACAGTTGATCACAATGTTCTTTTAGAAAGACTTGAACATGTTGTAGGGATCAAAGGAACAGCGTTAGGCTGGTTTAAATCCTACCTGTCTGACAGATTTCATTTTGTAAACGTACATGACAAATCGTCTTCATACTCCAGGGTTACTTGCGGAGTACCACAGGGTTCAGTGCTTGGACCAATTCTTTTTACTATATATATGCTCCCAATTGGTAAAATCATTAGACAGCATGGGATAAACTTCCACTGTTATGCTGACGATACTCAGCTATATTTATCCATTAACCCTGATGAACCTAATAGGCTGGGTACATTACAGGCTTGTCTTGAGGACATAAAAAATTGGATGACTCTAAACTTTTTGCTTTTAAATCAAGACAAGACGGAAGTTCTCATCTTTGGACCAGAAATCCAGAAAAGGAAATTGCTTAGCCAATCGCCTGACCTTAATGGCATTACATTAATCTCCGCGAACAAAGCAAGGAACGTTGGTGTTATCTTTGACCAGGACATGTCATTCAAATCCCAGGTTTCACAAGTTTGTAGGATTTCCTTTTCCCACCTTCGGAATATTGCTAAGATTAGAAGCATCCTTTCCAGGAGTGATGCTGAAAAACTAGTTCATGCATTTATTACATCAAGACTGGATTACTGTAATTCATTACTCTCAGGAAGTCCACAGAATGTAGTTAAAAGTCTTCAGCTTGTCCAAAATGCTGCAGCTAGAGGTCTGATGAGAATTAAAAAGAGAGATCATATCTCTCCTGTCTTAGCTTCCCTACATTGGCTACCTGTTAAATTCAGAATAGATTTTAAGGTCCTCCTTCTCACATATAAAGCTCTTAATAATCAAGGTCCATCATACATTAGGAATCTGATTGTTCCATATGTTCCTAACCGAGCACTTCGCTCTCAGACTGCAGGTCTACTGGTGGTTCCAAGAATATCTAAAATTAGGATGGGAGGCAGATCTTTTAGTTTTCAGGCTCCTCTCCTGTGGAACCAGCTCCCAGCTTTAGTCTGTGAGGCAGACACCTTGTATACTTTTAAGAATAGGCTTAAAACATTTTTATTTGATAAGGCCTATGGTTAAAATCTGATGATAGCCTAAATCTGGACAAGTGGGGGAGTACAGGGAGGTGGAGTGTACAGTCGGTAAAGACGGCTCTCCCTTGCCCTGCCTCCAACATGCCTACATCTAAATAGGATAGATTATCCAGAGTTATCTCTGTAGTTATGCTGCTATAGGCTTAGACTGCTGGAGGACACACTGACCACTTCTCGCACTCTACTGCTTTCTTCTACAGTCTGCTCTTTAACTGTACTATTTTGTGCAATTTCAGCTGTTAACTTTATTTTCTCTGTAAGTGTTTTTCTCCCCAGAAGAAGCGACAATGACATTCTGCTGAGCTGTGGTGGCCTCATGGAGGGGGCCATCGACTAGCACACTGCTGCTAACCACTTAAGCATTCTCTCTCTCCTGATAATAACTTTTTGGTTTCCTTGACTTTTGATGTGCTAATACTAGTTTATCCATTTAATTATAAATCCACTAGGATAAATACAATAATGTTTATCTTTCACCAAATAGAATATTTACTAAGATATCACAATATAACTATAGACACATTAGTTGTCCGTGTGTGTGTGTGTGTGTGTGTGTGTGTGTGTGTGTGTGTGTGTGTGTGTGTGTGTGTGTGTGTGTGTGTGTGTGTGTGTGTGTGTGCATGTGTGTGTCTGCTCTGTCTTCTCAATCCCCAGTGAGTCGTGGAGGATGGCTGCTTATACTGAGCCAGGATTCTCTGGAGGTTTCTTCCTGTTAAAAGGGAGTTTTCCTCTCCACTGTCGCTTTATGCTTGCTTGGTATGAGGATTGCTGTATAGTCACTGACACTAGTCAGTGACTTGATGCAATTTGCTGGGTTCCTTATATAGGAAACATTATTTCTGATTCGCTTAATGAACTGACCTGAATTGGAATTTTTATTATGTGAAGTGCCTTGAGACGACTCTTGTCTTGTGTGTTTATTTGGCGCTATATAAATAAACTTGAATTGAAGTGAAAAAGCTGATTCTATTCTTTAGGTGAAAAGGTTACAAAATATAGCTTCTCATGTTATAAAGTGACAGTGTGTATTTTCCCTGGCGATAGGGGGCAGTAGATACCGAAATCATTGCAAGGAAGCATTATTTTTGTGTTCAAGTAAGACCTTACCAACGGATGGCCATTAGGGTCAAAAATCCTTGGGAGTGCAACCTCCAGCAAAATAACAAGAACATCAGATTCCCTTTCATCACAGGCAACGAGTGAGAAGGTACACGTGTAAAAGAACAACATTTATTGATGCTGAAAGTTTTATAACCATTTGTCACAAATCAGTAACTACATTCTGTTCTCACGAGCTTCCGTAGAGTGAAATGTGACATCCAATATGGCATCGCCCAGAGACACCCATGTATTTTAGACCCGATTATCATGGTTATATGTTATGAAACCACCAATATTTTTCCCACAACTGAGCATCTTTTAAGTTATTTACTGTCACGATATGCTGGAGGTTGGTAGGACCCAAAATGCAGGAACCCAAGATGACACGAGGCAGGAGGTGATATAAGAAAATATCCTTTATTTGGATGAGCCAAAAATAAATAAATCCAAAAGGCTGGGAGCCAATAAATCCAAAGGTTGTCCAAAAACTAGAGACAAAGACACAAGAGGCTAGAGAAGGCTGAGATAAAAAAAAAACACTGGAGACTAGAGAAGACTTGACAGAATAAGTACAATGGACCGAACACAAGACAGAGACAAGACTGGGCTTATATACACAGGGAGGAGTAATTAGGAAAAATGGCAGCAGGTATGTGGAGTGAGGGCTGGAGGGAAGGCAGGTGACAATAATTTATCTAAATAGGGAAACAGAACCAAAGGAGGACAGATAAACCTAAAACACAAAAACTAAACCTAGAGACTGAGGGAAGGACTCACACACACACACACACACACACACACACACACACACACACACACACACACACACACACACACACACACACACACCGAGCTGGGGACAAAGAGGCTGGAGCTACAGAACGTGAAGGAAGATCTGGAGGGGCTGGGGATGAATGAATGACACAGGACCTGGGAGGAATTGACTTAAAAGGGCTACAAACAGAAGACACCTAAATGAGACACAGACAAAGGACACATGAGAGCGCTATAAGAAACAGAAGGGACTCTAGAGAGGGATGGAGAAACATCAGGAGACACATGAAGGAAGACGCAGACGCAGACCATGACAGGAGGACGCAGACCATGACATTTACAACAACATTTCAATGGATATTTCAAGAGATTAATGGTAAAAACTACACATTGTCACTTTAAGTTGCTTTTTTGCAACCAAAGGAGTTCCTCAGGGCTTTATTTTAGGACTCCCACTCTTCATTATGTAAACTTAACAGAAAGCTATATGTGAGTTTGGTCCATTGTTTATTCATTTTACAATAGTTCCTGGCTTTTAAATATCTAGAAAGCCTAATTTGTTGTATTTTTCTATTCCGACCTTTCTGTCTCCATCCATCAATTATCAATGTATACAAGTTATCTGTCATCGATAGTGGCCCGTTTTTTATATTGGTGCATCTTTATAAATCAGCCTTTCCAACAGTACATATTTTGTCAAGGCATTTTGGCATATTTATTTAACCAAAAATAATTCCTTGCTTTTGAGCCAAGTTCCAATAATTAGTTTTTAAATAAAATAAAACATTAATATTAGTTATGGAATTCAGCTGATAAAACGTTTTTTTCAGAGACAGTGATGTAGTTATAGATCCACTCAGCTAATTTCATATTTAAGCCTAAAACAGATAAAAAGGTATTTGCTGAGTACCCTTCACCCCCCATTTCTCTACTGTTGTGAAATCCACTAAATGAAGCAAAATGTGCACAAGTGACACCCTAAATCAGAACAACGCCTCCAGCTCATCTCTAATTACACCACAAGTTTGCAAAGTGTCTCAATAAAACACTCACTGACTTTCACTCCTAGAATTTCATAATGTGCATCTCCTGATGACAAGACATTAGCTCAGTGGATGTGAGCAATAATCCCATCGCAGAACAGGAGTTTAAAGAAAAATGTGTAATTTTCATTAAAAAAAGAATTGATTTCCCCTGATCACAGCTTTCATTTCATCTCATTACATGTTATTATGGTCTCACTCAGAGTTTCTGCAACAATCGCTTATTAACAGTTTCATTAAAACCTATTAGAGCTGCTTTTATACCAACCTGTGGCAAATCTTTTAAAGATTTAACTCTAAAAGCTTCAAATGTAGAAACCTAAATGCTTTTCTCTCATGACACGAAGCTGTTAAGACAAGGCATGAGTTTAAACTCTGATACATGAAAAATGAATGCTGCACTCTGAGAAAATCAAACTGGCCTAATTTCTCCTGATGTTTTCAGCAGTAAAAAGGCAGCAGAGCAGAATTCTTGACCTGTTAGGAAATGTGGAGCGCATGCTGGAGAGCAAAGATTCCTACAGTCATGTAGCTTGTTTTTATCAAAAGTACATATCAGAAGAATTAGGTTACAAAACGTCATGAAGGAATGTTTCTTGTGGAATAGGAGGAAGTTCAAAACTGAATTCCATAACATGAACACAAACACAGCCTCCGAGCATTTGTAAAACCACGGGCTGTCAGGGTCATTCTATGATGTTATGTGGAAACGCTGCAGGAAGAGACTGCCCTTCTCGCTCCCTGTTGCTTTTCTAGACGTGATAAATTGGGTTACATCGTGTTATTGTTATAGGTTTCATGTCAGGGGCTGTTTTTAAACTATGCCTTTCATTAATCAGGTTGTTTGCGTATAAAGAGGGAGGAAGACTATAGAGAAGAAGAGGGTGGTCCTCGGATGAGGAAGACTAGATAGAGAAGAGGAGCGTGGTCCTCGAATGCAAAGCAGAGAGGTGTTGTAGAAAAATTGGTCCCAGTTTAAATTTGTCCAGCTGAACGTCACAGTTACGTAATTAGAGATTATTGGGTGACGGTCGCACAGGAGTTAAGTGCTTGCCCTGTAATTGGAAGGTTGCAGGTTCGAGCCCCGCTCAGTTTGTCACTGTCATTGACACTTGACCCCCCTTGCCTGCTGGTGGTGGTCGGAGGGACCTGTGGCACCAGTGCTCGGCAGCCTCATCTCTATCAGTGCGCCCCAGGGCAACCGTGGCTACATCGTAGCTCATCACCACCAGGGTGTGAATGGGTGAATAAATGATTGTGTTGTAAAGCACCTTGGGGGGTTCCAGGACTCTAGAAGGTGCCATATCAAATACAGGCCATTTACCATCTATCCACCCATCCACCCATCAAATAATCCATCCATCCAATCGTCCTTTCATCTATCCATTCATCCATCCATCCATCCATCCATCCATCCATCCATCCATCCATCCATTCATAGGAAACCTGAAACAAAAATGTAAAAAAGAATGGTTGTGATTTTATCTGTGCAGGTTAAAATACAAAATAAAACAAGAAGAAGAAACAATCTTTTATATAACACCTCTCAAGAAATAAATCACGAGGCGCCTCACAAGAACAAAATTAACTATTAAAATTGAGTTAAAAGTATTAATAAAAATGAAGAAAATAGGAAAAATTTAGATAAAAAATGTGAAGAAAAAAATGAAATGAAAACGGTAATCATCGGGTCCTGAAAAACGGATTTGGTAGAAACATCAACATGAGGAAAAACCCAGTGAGGAAGAAGAGAATGAAAAGGAGGTCATGCAAAAACCAGCCTGAACAGGTGAGTTTTCAGCTGCTTTTTAAAGGAGACCACTGAGTCCACTGATCTCAGGCTCAGGGGGAGAGAGTTCCAGAGTCTGGGGGCCACAGCAGCAAACGATCTGTCACCCCTGGTGCGCTGCACAACCAGTAAGCTTTGGTCACTGGACCACAGGGACCTTCTGGGGTGTAGGAACTGAGAAGATCTGTATGATGGTGCTTGTCCATGTAAGGCCCTAAAGACCAGAACCAGGATCTTGAAATGAACCCTGAAGTTAACCAGCAGCCAGTGAAGCTGGAAGAGGAGTGGGGTCATGTGGGTGTGCTGCAACGACATCAAAACCCCAGAAACAACACAACCTGGTACAGAAGTTATTGTATTTTTCATATTTAGCCTGTTATGAGGATTCGGCAGCACACACCAGAGGCAGAAGATTAGATAAACTCAAATAAAAGTAAATAAAAAAGCTCACAAGGTAAAAAATAACAATAATCAGACATGGACCAATTAAACTCATTATTGCAGCTCAAAAGCAAAAGTAAGTTGTGGAACTAGGAAGACCTGACAATGAAAGGACTATAAAATCTCTTAGTCAGGCCTGATTGAACACACGGGTCAACAGGTGAGATGAGATCAGAAAGGTCTCTGAAGGAACAAACTCGAAAATAAATTTGAAAACCTCAGAGGTCCAGTAAAGATCAACAAGTGTGACAGGATAAAATAGACAAAAGAAAAATCCAAATCTCAGTTTTTACGAAAGAGAAAACCAAACTCTCTAATCACATAAAAAAAATTACACAGGATGTTGTTCCGATGCTGCACAACATTGTTTTCATGAGGGAATTTTTTTTCTTCAAAGCAAACTACTTATTTCATGCTATAAAATGAAAAAAAAAAAGTTTGCAATAAACTAAATGACAGCCATGATACTCTCACACAGATGTTTGCAGGTGCCGGTGGGTGGGTTTGGTTTTTACAGAATCAGCAGTTAGATCTGATCTGCAGGCTCCAGAACAATTTTTTACAAACATTTCACAATAATAAAAAACAGTTAGAAGAATCACAGAAGCAATGCTGTGTTCTCCCCCTCAGAGATCTAAACAAATCAACAGTTTGGGTGTTTCACTGTTTTATTGTTGTTGATTCTGAATCTCTTCTCCATTTCTGGGTTTGTGCTGTCTGATCAAATTCTCATGCTGCACAAAGACTCTTTGTTTTTTCTGCATGTGGTTAGGAAAACTATACCATTCTGCAACTGTGTCACTGATGCACACACACACACACATACACAGCACGCGTGTCTCCCCTTGCATATTTCCTCCACACTGTGCTCATCAAAGCTGAAGTGTATTCCTACCTCCGCGTGTGTCTTCTGACACTAAACGAATGTGACAGTGGCCTTTCCCTCTTCTGTTGCACCACTGCAAACGTGACACGCAGAGGGAGCAGAGTGTGCACACAGGATAAAAATTAAAACAGCAACAATAAGATTAAATCAGGAGAAATTTGGGAATTGATAAGAAGAAGAAAAAGTAACATTTAGAGGAAAGTGGAAAAGACACTGGAGATGTCCTGCAACATCATCATCACCATCTGGATGGTCTAAAACCAGAGGCAGCAGCATCACCAACATCATCACAACAAGAAAACAAAATGTTTATACTCACAGTTTATTAGTGCAAAGATCCTCTCTCCTCCTCTGCTCCTCCTCCTCTACTCTTTGCTCTCTGCTCTGGACCTTACTCCTGTGCTCTCTCTCTCTCTCTCTCTACTCTCCTCCCCTTTTTCTTCCCTCACTGAAAGCACTAACTGTACAATTAGACGAATAAATCTCCTCTGTCAGACCACAGTTGTCACATGGGCACACAAGCCCCCTTTTCACTGTTTTACGTAGATACAAATTAAAAGCGTCTATCATCCTCCTTTCTCCTCCTCAGTTCTCCTGCCTTTGATGCAGCAGCAGCAGCAGGAGGAGGAGAAAGAGGAGGTGCATGTCTCAGACTGTTCAGACTGTTCTCCAGAGGGCAGTTTTGTGATATTCTGTTTTAGTTTTTCCAGGTTATTTTTCCAGACAGAGAGACAGAGGTCAGCTCCCGAGGGCAGGAATGTGACATGAAAGACCCTGACAGGTCCGATGAATCTCCCTTCCTCCCTCGCTGCCAAGAACCTGGCATCTCCTTCGTTCTCTCACTTACACACACACACGCGCGCGCACAATTTGACTTGTAGTGTGTCTGCCACTTCTCTCCTCCTTGTTTATATTTTACATGCAGAGTGAGATGAGATATACTGAGACAGGAAGGTAAACAGATTCACATTTGTAAATTAATTTTTCACATTGAATGTTGAAAAATGACCCCATCATAATAATCCACTTTTTCACGAACTTGCTTTCTTGCAATACACATAATAAACACATATCTTTAAAAAAATCATTGAAAATAAAAACTGCTTTAGACTGCAAAAACAAAAAAATCTGCTGCATGTAGAAACTGCTTACTGCATGCACACGAGTGAGGGAGTAGCTTTAGAGCTGGATCATTCAAAACATAAAAACATGTTTATGTCTGGTCTATGAAAATTTGATCAGCTAACCTGTTAGGTTATTTTTATGCTGAGATTATGCAAATGGAAACGCCTGAAAAGCCTCCTTCCTCTGGTTCGCCCTCTGGGGCAACACCTCTGAACAGGTATGTGAAAGAGCAAAAAAAAAACACATGCAGGTGTTTCCACAAAGCTGAGTGTTTACTGTCAGACAGCAAAGCTGTGAACAAGCTTCCTTGTTCAGAGAACTGAACCTTTAAAGGTTTAAACACTTCAGATGAACGAGAAAAGGCCACCGAGATGAACTCCAGTGATGATACAAAACCGTTCCCAGTTGTTCCACACACCTTTTAATTAAGGAGATTTATTTATGTCATCAGGACTTCAAGCATGCCAGCACACCAATGCTTTCCTTGAAGATTTGCTGCTTCTTGCTGCTTGGAGCACTGCTGCCAATGAAATGTCAGGCATTAGTGTCACCACGTCCTTTAGATGCTGGTGTTTACACATCTGGACTTCTAACATATTCTGCATCATTCGTTTGTCTTTGAAGATGGGAGTTTCGGTCGCAAACAGCGATTTTATGTGGTAAACTCGTTTGAATTTTTACTGTTTTAATCCAATCCAGTAGGAAACAGTTTGCGTAATCCAATCTTGAAGTAATGAATGCATGAATGACTGATTCTAAGTGTGATCTTTTCAGAACAGTTTTCACTCGGGCTAAATGGCATAACTGAAAGAAACATGACTTGATGGTGGCATTGACGTGCGGTGCTAAAGTCAATTTAGCATCCAGCTTGATGTCTAAACTGGACACGCAGGACTGAAATCTAAATGGAACGGCAGACAAATCAAGCGAGACTATGGAATTGGAGGTTGTTGAAGTACAGGAAATCCAGGAGGCAGCCAGATAGGTTAAAAATCCAAAAGTGTATTAAAGTCTGTGGTGTGGAGCAGGAGCAGGCAGACGAAAGCATGAGGAGCAATCAAAAACACAAACACAAGGAACTGACCAGGAGCTACGAATATGACCGGGTTTAAATACTGAAAGAAAGAAGACGATCTTTTATGTAGCACCTCTCAAGATAAAAATCACCAGGAGCTTCAACAAAAACAAAACTATTAAAGTATAAAAAGATTTAAAAAATGATAAAAAAAAATATGTTTTAAAAAACTGCTGAGGAGGTGAGTGACGACAAAGGGAGCAGGTGCACTGATTACTGATGAGAATGACCAACAGGTGTGACTGGTAAGCAGAGGATGGGAGGCAATGCAAAAACAAAAGAGGACTGAACCAGATAAAATTATTAGATACAGAAACATAAGACACTAGAATTAAAGGCTGAAAGAATACACTAATGATGACTAAGTAAACAGAACTCTAAATTAGAAAACATAACTACAACTAAACTAGATTGATGAAAGAATAACCTAAGCCATGAGCAGGAAATGACTGAAGAAAATACACAACTAAATAAGAATTTTAACAAGAATGGGGAAGATAAGTGGCTACAGGTGACCGAGGCTGGGACTGAATGAATGAATCTAGGAACAGGAAACAAGGAAATCTGGAGGAGGGAGAACACATGGAATGGACTGGGGAGACAGGATATGGAACGGACACAGGGTGACATGGACAGGAGACAGGCCATGACAGACGTTGTTATGGTTTCTTGGGTAAAATGTAATTGCCTCAGTTTTGTTGTTGTTTAAGTGTAAGAAATTTGCAAAAAAACAGATTCTGATTTCTGAGAGGCAGTCCATTAGGGTCTGAAGGTGGTGTAACAGCAAAAACAATTTGCTAGTTGTTGGCATAGATGTGATAGTTCACCTGGAAGCTGGCAATAATCACGGTCGGAGGACAAATGTACATGGAAGAGTATAGGCCCTAAGACTGAGCCCTGAGGGACACTTCAGGGTAATCCATTTAATCCACTTTATGCTGCATATTAAAGGTGGGTTCAAGACCCAGAGCAGTGGTTTCCAAACTTTTCAGCTCCAGACCCACAAAATAGCAATTTGTCAAGAGATGTGACCCTGAGTTTCTCTGATTTGTCAATAAAATTAGCTGGAAAAGCTTAATAATTCAGGGCATAAAGAAAAAATGCTTCAGCTCATGTTCACCTATATCCATTTATAATAATTCAGTTGAGTTTTTGTAACAAGTATCCCAGAAATATAGCTTCAATTTTATTTTAATTCATGGAATGAGTCATGAGTTAACGAGTCCGAAAAGGGTAGAATGCCTTCTCCGGGTCAGGGATGAGGTCCTGCCCCAAGGGGAGGAATTTCAGTATCTCTGGGTCTTTTTTTTTAAGCATCTTTGGTATGTTCTTGCTGTGTTGAGTTTCTAACTGCATTGTTGGTTCTTATTTAAAACACAGAAAAGGTTTCTTTTTACCTTGCTGATAGTTTCGTTCGCGGCTGAAAACTTCCTCGGGAGAGGGAAGTGACGCCACCATCGGTGTCAGCTCTGAGGAAGTTTGCAGCACGAACGAAACTGTCAGCAAGGTAAAAAGAAATCTCTGGGTCTTGAGGGAAAGATGCAGTGCAGGCGGATTGGTGCTGCATGTGCAGTGCTGCAGGTGTTGTACCGATCTGTTGTTGTGAAGAGAGAGCTGAGCCGGAAGGTGAAGCCGTCGATTTACCGGTTGATCTACGTTCCAACCCTCACCTATGGTCACGAGCTTTGGGTAGTGACCAAAAGGACGAGATCACAGATACAAGCAGCTGACATGAGTTTTCTCCCTTAGAGACAGGGTGAGAAGCTTGGTCATCCAGGATGGGCTCGGAGTAGACCTGCTGCTCCTCCACATCAAGAGGAGCCAGTTGAGGTGGCTCGGGCATCTGATTAGGATGCCTCTATGGTGAGGTTTTCTGAGCACGTCCAACCAGGAGGAGACCTAAGGGAGACCCAGGACATGCTGGAGGGACTATGTCTCATGGCTGGCCAGGGAACGCCTTGGGATTCCCCCAGGTAGAGCTGGCCCAAGTGGCTGGGGAGAGGAAAGTCTGGGACTCTAAGCTTGGGCTGCTGCCCCTGCTACCCGACTCAGGATAAGTGGAAGAAAATGGATGGATGGATGGATGGATGGATGGATGGATGGATGAATGGACAGCTGGATGGATGGATGGACGGATGGATGGACGGACGAATGGATGGACGGACGGATGGATGGATGGATGGACGGACGAATGGATGGATGGATGAATGGATGGACGGATGGATGGATGGACGGACGGATGGACGGACGGATGGAAATCATCTCCAATCATCAACTCTGGATTCTCCTCTAAGTAGCTCAAACAACCTCAGCTGCCCTTTTTTTCTAGGACCACTCTATGAAGGAATCTCCTTGTGTTCTGGATTTTGTTCTAGTGAACAGACTTTAGATTCACTAGTAAATAGGAGGTCCATGTTTGTGTACAGCTCCTTTTTCACTAGCCAGACTGGAACTGTACCCCAAACACTAAAGAAAAAGTCTCCAATCTTTGGTCCATTCCTCCATCACTTGTGAACAAGACCCTCGGTCCAAACTCAAAGGCAGCATCGATGAGGATAAACTCTGTTTTTGCCAATCAGCTCACTTTTGAATAACTAATGGATTTGAAGTTAATAACACTGTTAAAACAACACATGTAGTGAGGATGTAAAAAGGATGCTGAGCAGCTGGTTTATTTAGCCAGAGGCTCTCCAGAATAACCTGCAAGTTAGAGACAGCTGTCCTCATGAATATTTTTTACTTTCACATGTGAGTTTTCCTAGCACGAGGACAACCATCTGGGATGGAACTATAAAGTAAATAATTAGGTTAATTATCCAGGACAGCGTTTTTAACATCACCATCTTTACTTCTGATGTTAAAAGTTGAATGGAGAGCCAAGGCTAGGCTGAGCTTCCTAAAGCGTCTATTTTTGAACTTCCTGCCCAGGGTAATAAAATATTGAGACTCTTAACTCGGTGCAGCATGGGGAATTGTTGTCACTCATCTCTGAAATGTCGAGGGACAGGAAGTGAGTTTCATAGTGGGAATGCTAGTTTGTGTTTTGAATCTTTAAGTCAGAGTCAACCTCCTTACCTTTAACATGGATGATGTCATGTTGCAGCATCAGCAAAACCACATAATAAACCCATGTCCAACACACTGTTGAAGGACTTTTCAAAAAGCAAAATTAACTGTTGTCAGGTTTAAAATCTAACATATTTTAAATATTAGTAAGCCTTGTCTAAGTTAATAATGAACTTTTAATTGTTTTAAAAACATAAGTTTTTTATATTTACATAATAAAGAAGCTATTATACATATAATAAAGTATCATAAAGGGCCATATTAAATAAACTATTTATCTCAACAAACGTCTGAAGCTCCTCCCTCTATTGTCCAAATATGGTCATTTCAGATTGTTTGGATAGAAAAGGTTAATTAAAGGTGCATTTTTACAGAGTAAATAGTTGCTGCATATTAGACTAAGAATAGTTTTTTAGAGAAGATACATTCATGCATATGTGTGTGTGTGCGTGTGTGTGTGTCATATATATGTATATATATATATATATATATATATATATATATATATATATATATATATATATATATATATATATATATATATGTATGCATTTTTTAATCAAAACAAACAAACTAAATATTTCAGTGTTAAGTATGAAATTTTTTACTGTTTGGAATAAAGATGTGACGTCTTTTTGTTCTCTGTGTGTCAGTGCCACAGCAGGATGCAGGATTTTCTTGCATGTGGACCGTCTCTTTAATTCTTTTATTCTCTTGTCTCCCTGTTGCTGTTGCCTTTACTCTGCATAGACTTCAGTGCAGAACACAGACCTCATTATTTTTCCAAGTTATCTTTTTGTACGTGTGTTGTGTTTTCATATCGCTGATGGCACGCCGGCCCCTGTGGGGCGCTCCTGTCTGCTCCAACTTGCTTTCTGAGGGTCAGGACTCGGTTTTAGGGAATGGGTTAAGTAGTTCTGGTGAAGGGTCAGGGTTAGGGGCTGTGGACAGCGTTACGTTGGTAAGTGTCCTCATGGGAATAGTGGAACAAACAAGAGTGCGTGTGTTACATAAGACAGTTGTTCATGTGGTGATAATCAAATCATCTCCATGACTGAGTCGAGTGGATCTGAGGGCCTCTCAGACTCGTCCTCTTTGCTCAAGTCTCTTTCTGCGTCTCCATATGTGTTCATTATCATCATTGGTTTGTCCTCCTGTATCTAAACTGCTTTATTCTTCTGCTTCAGTGAGCTTCTTGTTTATACTCTACTTCACAGAAAAGCTCGCTTTACATGAACATCATGAAAAACTAACCCTTCTGATGCAGAGGAGTTTTCAGCTGCTTTTTAAAGGTGACCAATGTGCCCACGGCTCTCAGGCTCATTTCTAGTAATTGGTGCAACCCAGGTGCTCGTGTCCCTTCACAATCATTACAGAAACACCCTCAATTAACCATATTTGGTCACACCACATCCTAAGCTCATGAGGGAAATCCTTGTCGTCCCAATTCACAGGATGGCTCCAGAAGCACCTCCTTCAGCCACTTTGCATTCTTACCAAGTAAATCAGTGTGCTCACATAAGATGTGTTCACTCCAGAGGTAACACTCTGTAAAATCCTCCAGATCAGCCATGCTACAATGTCAGATTCCCCTAGGTCACAGGTGTCCATTATAGATTCTTACACCAGTTATGCAATAAAGCTGATTCTTCACAGACATAATTGCTCATTGGGTAAAAATAATTTGTGGATGAGGAACAAGATGGAAGACTGGAGCAGCTGTTGTACTTCTGGAGACCTTGGTAGGAACCAGTGCAGATCTGAGCTTCTGTTGCCTTTGAATCATCTAGAACCGGTCCAACAAATCTCTGTAGATGATTATGGGTAAAAATACCAGTAGATCTGAGCAGCCTGCCTGGTACCAGGTCCCCGATTGGCTGATAAGCTGTTCAAGAACAGTTGGTGTACGTTTAATCAATTTTCTCCTTTAAACCAAGGTTTAACATTCTAGTAAATGCTACATCAGCACATCCGAACCAAATCAAATCTAACCTGGCCAGTTTTGGTCAACTCAGATGTGCAGCTGTGTAGCCGTCAGGATCAGCAGTGTTACGCAACGACGGCTGCCCCGTTGGCCTCAGATGGGACTAGTGGAGGGTAAAGGTCTTAATAAACTCTGTCGATGTGCAAATTGTGGACATAAACCCCATCAATTAGATTTTAAAACTGAATGCCTCACATTTGAACACAAGAACAGCACAGGGTTCTAAAATTTAAAGTTAACATTTGATTTCAGTCAGTTTGCACATTTTAAAACATATTTAACTAAATCAGCACCAGCTTTGGAAGTGCTACACTATCTAAAGGCTGTGATGATAAGACCGTGGTGTTAAATGTTTTGCGTTGCTGTAAATCGTGTGTATTATTTTAAAATAATCCAGTAATTTGACAGTTTTCTCACTTTTAATTTTTTTATTTGACTTCTGAAAATCTTAGAGTACAAACAGCTGACTGACAGTGTGGGTTAGAGGCAGCTGAGGAAAATAAAAATAAGATCTAAAGACAATCTTTAACACCCAAATACAGACACGTCTCTTTACACAAGTTAGGACAATCCAATCTGTTAACTGAAGGCCTAAAAATATACTCTTACTGATTGAACACGATCAAAAACTGATTAAATTCATGTCAAGATGCCAACAACGGCACTCTAAAGCTTTGAATAGTCACTCGCATAAATTAAGAAATAAATACAGCTTTTCTGTTTCCAAATGCAGAAACTTAAAGAGAGGAACCTGAAGGCAGCAGGATACAAATAAGGCTAAATCTACTAGTCTACTGTCTAGGGGAAAAAAAATCAAAGATGGACCTAATCCTAGCAGGGAACTGGAATTTACACTTTAAAAGTTTCTGCGCTAAGAAAGATCTGCCTGGAAAACAACTTATTATTGAGGCCAATCTGTGATACCCCTAAAAGTTACACCCTTAAGTCGTCCGCTCTTCTTAAAAAGAAAAGATTGTTTAATTAAATCAGCTTGAAATAAGTTTAACAAGTCCAACTTTATCCAGATGAAATCAAATGATTTCAGGAACTGGAGACACTTCAGAGGACTTGGATTAAGGCCAGAAACATAAAAAAAGATGTAAAACAATTAGCTCCCTTCCCCGTGTTAACAATTTTCTGTATTGACATACTTCATACATGTACACACACACACAAAAACACAACTTAAAGTGTTGTTACAGTGAAACAGACTACCTCAAACCAAGATATCCTGAGATCTTCTCTCTACGTTTGTAAACAGACTCCTGACAAAGCAGCGACAGAGAACAACTTCTCCATGTTGTCAGAAGTGTTTCATGTCACCGTCCATCATCTGTCATCTACAGTTTGTGCCGCCCGTACAGTTGCTGTGAGAGAACGACACGGAGCCAAGCGGTGTGTGATCAGGGAGGGCTGAAGGAAGCAGGTCAGCACACAGCAGCCTCTCCTCAAGGAGAGAGAGAGACTTCAGTGAGTTTATCGTTAACTCGTTAGACGGCCGTGGTTGAGAGCAAACTGGGAATACTTGAGTGACAAACGGCTGAGATGTTACAGAAGATATTTTATTGCTTTGATAATTTTCTGTAGTGAAAAAGTGTTCTCTGTTCTGCTATGGCCAGTTTCCTTTTCTGCCATTGACAAAAAACAACAACAAAAAAAAAAACAAAAAACAAACAGATTCCTATTGCTGGATACAGATGATGTCACACTGGTCCTGATCCCAGTTGGGGGGCTGGTTAGGATTGTAGTGTTAAGGCAGCTGGGCGAGTGAGGGGAACCATCCTGATTCGTTTAAAACAACAGCTGGTTCTATTTGGTTCATTGTGTTCATGAAAAGTTTGTCATTTTAGTTTTTTATTGGTTGGCAAAGAGCTGCAGGTCGAGTCGTACCCACACCTCCCCTGTTGGTACTTCGTGCAGCAGGAGACGACGCGTCATCGGACCCTTGTTCTCAAACTCTTTCTTTATGGTTGCCACGGGAACCTCTGTCCTCCCAAGACACACTGATATGAGACACGCAGACAAAATTGTGGGTTACGCAAAATAAGGACAGATTATTTTTAGAACAAATAAAAGAGGAAATGTAACTGAGTGATGCGTTTGTAGCTAACCGTCAGGAGAGAACTGGTCTCTGTCAAAGATGGTGATGCTGAGGACATCCTGGTACAGGTCCTTGATGTGAAACTGACAGTTGAAGTTCCACTTGGGGTTCAGAGTGTCATTGAGCGTTCGTGATGTGAAGAGCTGAGATCCCATGGTCGTTTCACAGTAAGAGTCGCTTTTACCTGCAAGAGGCATAAACCCAGGAGGTGAGAGAGAGAAAGAAGGATGTGAGGAGAGGAGATGTGATTTTTAACTCACCGTTGGCTTTTACTGCCTTCAGTTCAGTGGCTTCCAAAATGGTGACGAGGAGTCTACCGATTCCGCTGGCTTTCACAGAGCGCCCTGCAAACGCACACAACCCGAGTAAACAACCCGAGAAACGCAACGCGCCGCAGAAGGGAGCTGAATGACAAACCTTGATAAATCTTTTCTCTTTTCTTCTTCTCAGTCTCAATGAATTCCTCAGATGCCACCTTTATCTTCTGAACCCACGCCGTTCTAACACAAACACACACAGCGCTGGTGAAAATAATCAAATCCTCTGTGCGTCAGTGCGCACGCCTGTGTGTGCAGAGCTACCTTTCATTGACGTTATCGGTCCTGATGGAGTAAACTCTGTTGATGTGTGAGATGTGGAAGATGGGCTCATCACTGGGGGGTTCCGGAAGCTTCACCAAAACTTCATTCAGCAGAACGGGCTGCAGGAAACAAACGATGTCCGTCACGCATGAGAACACACAAACCAAACTAATAAATATTCCAAGTCTGTGTGTGTGTGTGTGTGTGTGTGTGTGTGTGTGTGTGTGTGTGTAAGTTACCGGTTTGTACAACTTGAGCTGCACATTGTTCCTCTTGCTGAACAATTTATCGGGTCCAGATGAGGTGAACTGTTTCACAGCGTGGGTTAAGAGCAGGAAGTCGTTGAAGAGGAAAGCCCAGAGCTCTTTGTTGCTCTTTGCTTTGTACATCTGGGGAAAAAACATAAACTCAAAGTAATTATTCATATGTGTGATAATTAAAATACACACAAGGAAGTTCTGAAGTAAAAGAAAATGAAGTGATAAAACATTACTAAAGTGAAACTAGATGCTTGATTTGAACATGGTTCTGAACTCTGATGGTTTCTCTCTGCAGTCTGAGGATCATAATAAGAACCGCCAGACCAAAAACATTTTAACCTTCACCTCCCTGCGTCTTGAGTCATTTATAAACTGCTGTCAAGTCCAGACGCCACTCCCTGACCCCGAGGGCGGAGTGGAGAGACTCACCTTCCCACTGTGCAGCAGCTTCCTCGGACCCAAACAGTTGGTGAGAGAGTTAAATTTCAAATGCTGTGCAAAGAGAAGATTACCATTTACATTTTTGAGACAGATAAATTAAGACTTAGGGCGTGAGTTAACAGTAAGCCTGGTACCTCTATAGGGCTATCACACTGTACGTGGGTCTGAATCCACTCCAATCTCTCAACATTCTCCTTCGACCTAACCTCCTCGTTCACCTGAGCAGAAAGGTTCTCATCAGGAAAATAAGGAACCAGTTCTGTTTTCAGCCAGAACAAATAAAAATACAGTAATCCACAAGTGAATGAAATAATCACCAGCTGACAGAGCTCCTCGGCTCTCTCCAGAGCTTCTTTCAGTGGTTCTCGGTCAGCGTGGCCCTCTGGTGTGCACTCCAGGATCTGCACACAATCAAACAAAATGCCACACTGATTCAGTTTTATCTGCAAATGCCAGAAGAAACTAAAGAGGAGGCTGACGCACGTTTTTGATGTGCAGCGGGTAGCGAGTGATCCTTTGCATGGGTTTCAGCAGGAAACTGGACAGCGGCATGCCTTTACATCGGTAGTCTGTGGCGATTTTCTGATTTAAAGATGAGAAAAGTCCACACATGGTTCATGTACATATGCAGCGTGGGTCACTATGCTTATGAAGGTTAAAACAATAAAAGTGGAGGCATTAACATTGATAAGGGAACATCTCATTGCTACCTTGAGGAAGCTCTTGAAGTCCGGCTCGTTGTCGGTGCGGGTCTGCAGCAGCGCGGCGCCGTTGAACTGGTTGGAACAGAAGTGGATGTAGGGCTGCATGTGGGACAGCTCGCTGGCCATGATGTCCCCGATCTTCTGCACTGGCACATTCTCTCCACTGGACTTCTTACGGAGATGGAGAGCTCTGCAGAAACCATCAACGTTTTCACAAACAAGCTTTTAAACACCTCATTTCTGCAGCTGTGTGATCTTTACTTGACAATTTTACTGTTGCAGGTCAGAAGATCTTTCCAGTTGACAAAGATCATGTCCATCTCTTCCTTTTTAAGCCGACCGGACTCAGACATAGGCTTGTAGAAGACCTAAAGACAAGCACCCATCATCGAAATGAAGTAAAATGACAGATGTGCACCCATTTATTCCCATTAAATAAATTCTGTGGAATTCACCCAAACCCATTACCTCCAACACCACCTGCAGGTCTTCCACATATCTCTCCTCAGACTCGATCAGCTCGTGGACGTAATCTTGTCTCTTCTTCTCCTGGGGGCTCAGAGAGTCCAGGCTGGCTGGGTCCGAACACCCTAAAGGGGAAAGCAGCGAAAAATGACCCCAACAAATCTACAGATGAAAACCACCGCAGCATGTTAGTGCTGCCACCAGCTGGACAAAGAGAAAAACAGAAACAGAAAGACAGGAGCAGGAGAAGAAAGGAAACAGTCAGTATCTTTACTTACCTGGTTCAGGTTCACAATCTGACCCTTCTCCCATGCAAAATGACTGCTGCTTATGCTCAGACTCTTTTCTTTCCTCTGGTTCTCTAACCTCCTGGTTTGTCTCGTCCCAAAGGTTTAAAAACAGAAATCTGCACGGTGAAGTCATCGTTCTGTTTCCTCAGACGTTCCTCTCCTGACTGTGTCTCTTCCTACCCTTTGTGCCGTTATCTTCTAACAGCTGTTAAATCTGTTTGCACCAAAACAGGGAGACATCCGATCCCCACCCCACCGCAGACAGAGGATACAACTATTGTCTTTCTTCTTATCTGTTCAAAAGAAGCCTGAAAAACTGGAAAAGCAGATTTAGCCAAAGCTTCATAGTTTTAAAAACCACAAAAAAATTGAACAAACGGTTTCACGGCTGTCCACTGAGGTTATGGATGCCAAATTTTTTTAAATCTAAATTTAGGGTGAAAAAGGCAGCCTTTGCTGTTCTATCTGGACATCTAAATCTCGTGTGGAAAATACAAACTCGGGACAGCATATTCACACTGTGGAGCTAAAGACATCTTAACATTTACAACTTTAAACGGTCCTTGTGTTTTTATTTCTAAGCCAGAAACAAACTATACTAGATGCATTAGTAAAAATAGTTACAAAAACACATATGAGACTATTTTAATGACATTTAGAACTAAATGCTCATCACAGAGCGTGTGTTTCTGTATCCTTGACTTCATACATCATAAATTACTCAGGTGACTGTACGTCTTGGTCAGACACTAAATTCAATCTGTTAAACTGGTGTGAAAGACCATATCAGAGTTGTCTGCATCTTTTTATAAACACAGAAGGTAAAATGTTGAATTTACTTCTAAAACTCTGCGAGACAGAGAATGGACGTCTCTCCTAAAATACTTAACGTTCTATTACTCTGGGGTCTCATTTATCAAACGTTGCGTAGAATCCTTACTAAAACCGTACTTAAGCTCAGCAAAAGAAATGTACTTATGCCAAGTAGGTTTGTGATCTATCGAGAATGTTTCTCAGCTGCTTTTTAGTCACATCCCGCCCTCACCACGCCCACTTACTGCCATAAATGGTCAATGCAAAGTGCCTTGTGGATCTCATGCATATACATAAGACGGCTGTTGCAGCGCTCCGCCAATGACGATGGCGATCGTAGATCAAGGCAGATCAAGGAAGCGCTATTTCACACAAGCAGAAATTGAGGTACCTGTGGCTGAGGTGGAGAAATGAAAGGAAGTACTTTTGCAAAACAAATAAGAGAAAATCCACGGAGTGGCACAGCGTTGCTGAAGCCGTCAATGCTGTGAATTCTTCAGAGATCTGTGGCGGATATAAAAAAAATGGTCCAATCGGGATTCGATTCCCAGACTCCCGGGTGAATGTCACACACGCTAACCAGTCAACCAAAAGGAGATCTCCCTTGTCCAAGTAGCCAGGGTGCATGATCAATCGGGTCACAGTGACAGGACACACACACTGTCACAGATCCATGACATTCTGTCTCAACCTGTCCCCCTGCTGATATTCTGCATTCCGTATTCTGCGCTTCAGGCTGTGTGTGTGTGTGTGTGTGTGTGTGTGTGTGTTTGTGGGTGGGTGGGGGGGGGGCTTGTTCTGTGTGAAAACGAAGCAGTAAAAGTGATAATGCTGCAGGATTTCATAATTTTATTAGGGCCGGGACTTTAACGCGTTAATTACGATTAATTAATTAGAAAAAAATAACGCGTTAAAAAAATTAACGCATTTAATTGCAGCTTGCATTTCGAGCACGGCGGGACCTTTGTCATTGCACGATTTCCTCGTAGACTGAATATCACTGACGCACACAACAATACACAGTGCTAATGGCTACTAAAATGGAATAAAAACAGAAAGAAGTTGCCTTGCTTGGACTGATGCAGGATTTAGGAAACACGTCCGCCTCTTTTCTTAACTTTGAAAAAAAAAAAACTTCCAGACAACAACGGAGTCTGTGTCGCGGACATTTTTCAGAGATCGTCTCTGCTGCGGCTGCCCGGTGGCACCGGAAACTTTACAAAAGTTGCGGTAAGCTATATTTTTAACATTTACGTAACATCTGTGCAGCGCTGAAAGCACCAGACAGAATAATTCTGTGCCTTAACAGTAGTTTATGAAAGTAGTCAGACAAACGAGAGGCACCTGGCTGCCGCTGGGAGAACGCTCCGTGTTCTCACTACTATGTAAACAATCACAGACAACGTGTCTTTAAGTTGAAAACAGAAGTTTAAGTTAAAACAGAAACACTCTGAAACTTTTCTGATGATTTTCTAAACAATTCTGTCGGAGAATTATATGTTTCTGAGACGAGTCTCTGTCTAAACATCGCATGCATTACTATCATTAAGCAGCGAGGGCGGATGCTTAAGTGCATCAGGGGCAGCGAGGAACGAGGAAGTTGTGTTCAGGCTGGAGATCACACCAGATTCGCTGCAGCAGGCGTGAATCTGCGGGTCTGCAGCATCCCCTTCTTAACGTGACAGCAGAACTTCCCATGTAAGGAAGGTCCGCTCACCTGTTTGTCAGTTCATTATTTCCTCGCCATGAACTTTTATCATCCCATCAACCTCCAGTCATCCAACTGGAACCAGTTAGTGTTCCTGATCATTCTCAGAATATGCCACGCCTGCTCTGGTGTTAAAAGTTAGTACATTTAAGTCCTAGTCTCCTAGATCATATTTGTGCCTGTTCTACTGTCATTTTGAAGGATTATTATTTATGTGTGGTTTTACTACATTATGAGTAGAAATGCTAATAAAAACTCCCAATTATACAAACAGGTGAAACTGGAAAAATTAGAATCTGGTGCAAAGTCAAATTTATTTCAGTCATTCAACTAGACAGAGACTATTTAAAGGCTCAGGAACCCTTTGCAGGTGTTTTCTATTTGTAATTATAAATTTTAGTTGATTTGGGTTTTGTTTCATATCACACATGACATTTGAATAATTAAAATGCATTTTTTATTAAAAGCTTTAGTTTACAGTAATAACCAAGTCTAATGTTTGATTCTCTGTCTCATAATTTTAATTAAAAGTTTTACTTTGAGAGCACATTTCCCTGAACGATTAAAATGCGATTAATTTAGATTAATTAATTACAAAGCCTGTAATTAATTATAATTAATTAGAATTTTTAATCAAGTCCCAGCCCTAAATTTTTATCCTTCTCAGCAGCAGCACTGCAGGTGCTCTCCATGTCCAAAATGTGCGTAAGCCAGGTCCTTAGTCAACTTAAAGTTGCGCACATTTTTCCGCAAAGTTTTCTTTCATAAATCCCAAAGTTTGCGTGGAAAGTTGCTTACGCAGTTTTCCGACCCCGTTTTGTGCGCAAGCAAGCTTGATAAATGAGGCCCCAGTTCATTTATAATGAAGACCAAAACCTCTGGAGGTAAAAGCTAAACATCTCGCTAGCTCACTCGGAGATGACCTATGCCACAGAGTCAACATGGAAAGGAAAGGAAAGTAAGGTGGACGAGCATCAGAGAAACCCACCATCAGTCTGCAGCAGCTCCAGACAGAGAGTCAGAAAACTGTTTCAGGATCTGATTCATTTAAAAGTTACTTTCTGCAAACACAAGTTCACAATTTACACCCCCCTTCACACTGAATCAGAGAGCAGAAAGTCCAAACCCTCTGTCCCCTCAAAGGGACAGAGGGTGATAGTGGGTCTCTGAGGACAGGAGCAGGAGGAGGAAGAGTCTCTCTTCCACCTGGAAGGAAAAGAAAAAGACAAGCAGGGGGTGAAAGAGAGAGCGAGAGAAGGAGGAATAAAGTTTGGAAAAGGAGGGAAGATGTGAAGAAAACAGTGAATAGGAAGAAAAGCTGAACAGACAGGTGAAGCTAAACTCGGGTAGGATTAGACAGTTGAGTCTAAGATAGTTTGTCTCAGGTGTTTTGTACTCACACTGCTGGCTGGTGCCATTATCCGTTGCCGTAGTGACATAATTAGTGGGAAAGAGACCGGTGGCCCCATTGACCTCTCCTTTCCACCAGTCGGGGTCGTTCTTGTCCAAAACGTTGATGGTCTGACCTTTAGAGAAGCTCAGCTCGTCCTGGTTGGCGGCGGTGTAGTCATATATGGCGATCACCTGACAGACTGAGACACAACAGGGTATTATTACTTACTCACTTACACTCTCTAACTTCACACTCTGACATTTACCTGGGTGGGACGCCGGGGTGGATTTGCCACTGTTGGATCCCAAGATTTTAACATGAGAGGATGGGAACCAGCCCTTCTGACGCCTCTTACCTCGAGCCTACGGCCAGAAACAAACAAGTTGCAGCGTTTTAATCAAACCAACTACAAAAGAATTTAAAAAACACTTAAATGTTTCCCGGCTGACCTGGAGTTCCCCGAGCCACCAGCCGGATGAGTTCTTTGCAAAAATGATGATCAGCTGGTTAGTTTCCAGGCTGAGCTGATCGGGGCCAGCGGACGTGTGGGCTTTTATCACCTGGGCAATTTCTGCACAAATCAGCATTTTTACTTTAATTTAAGCAGAAAGCATAACCTTTTGTTAAAATTACAAATGTGTGGATCTCAGATTTCACCTTGTTTTTTCTTCCCAGACAAGCTTGACGTCTGAAACAAATGTTAATAATGTAAAAAACAAAAAACAAAAAAAACCTTAAAATAATTAAAATGTCTATTTAAAATGGATAGAAGTTTAGGGGAGTTCCCTTACATCTGCCTCTTTCGATTTGACGTAGTTGTGTGGGAAGATTCCGGATCGATCCCCCGCCGAACCGCTCCACCACTCCCCGTCTCTTTTGCTCACCAAGATCACATCTCCTTCATTAAACGCCAGATCACCGGGTGCCGGGGACTCATACGTGTACAGTGCCACATACTCTATAAACCAAACAAAAATACGATAATAAGAGGACAGCTAAATCCTTATGCATCTCCATCAGGAATCATTTACAAGACCTAACTCTAAAGCTGGGTGGACACTGTACGACTTTTTCACTCGTAGCACTCAGCTTCAGCTCAAACTGTACGACTTCCTCGCAGGGCAGATCTCACGAGTCATGTGCTCACACTGTACGACCCAGTTCTCGGATGCCTGACTGCTCACACTGTACGTCTGGTAGCAACACGTCGGACCTAAAAAATGTGCTAAAAATAGCAGTTTTTACTCAACACGTCAGACTTTTTTGTCTTGCCTGATGTCCTTCGGGAGTGCTGCAGGAGGACACACAGGGATTTATGGGGGTTGGATGAGGAAAACGAAATAAAGAAAGTAAATCTGTGTTTTGTGATCAGTTTTATTTGACATGAACACGACAAACACGCTTTCTTGACAATCTTTGGGAGTAAAAAAAACGTGTAGAAATAAAATCGAACAACGTGTGTTATTAGGGAAATAGCGGGCGAGCGGTGTTGATGCATGATTGCGCATGCGCCATGAGCCGTTCTGGTAGTTTTTGGGTCGCAGCTGCTCGCAGCGCCGCTTCAACAGTGCGATACCCTCACGAGGGACGAGCAAAATATTAAACACGCCAGAAGTCCGTGTGAGCTCACGATTGCTGATCGGTAGCTGGTCACGTGGTGTTAATCGCCTCTCGTAACCCCCTGTACACTACACGACCGCTCGGCGCAAAACTCGCCCCGATCTTGTGGATTCTCGCACGAGTGGAAAATTGGCTCAGAAAAGTGAAAAAGTTGCACAGTACGCCCGGCTTAACCATCCCAACAAGGAAAATATATCAGATTAAAGGCCCAGCATTCCTTGAAGGAATCTTTAAAGCTCACACACGAGCACCTAACTTTTGAAACAATCTGACACTTTACCTTCAAGTTGAAGGCTGTCAACAGATTCTGCAGCATCAGGTGAACTCTTCTTGCTAAAAACACAAAGAGAGACTACAATCACAACACATTTCCAAAAGCAGCAAATTCCACATCACACACACCGGTCCGTCCTGGAAAACGGAAGGCATTCCTGAGTCAAACAATGGAATTGTGCTCAGGGCTTCTGAAACCTGCGCTAGAGCTCTGCACGGGCCTAAAATCTGAGCCCGTGTCCGGCCCGGCCCAATGGGGTGGAGCCCCAGCCCGACCCGGTCCGAAAAGGTTTTCAGGATTCTCTGGCCCGACCCGAGCCCGACTTTTTTTTTAACTTTCATAATGTTTTAGCGTGATGGAATGCTCAGCATTCTAATCATCTGTGAGAAGCGTTCTGCAGTAAAAAAATAAAAAATAAAAAAAAGAAAAATAACAGAAGGAAAAACAGCATCAATGCAGCTTTTTTTTAACAGAGCGTATTTTCGAGCAGCAGATGAAATTTACGAACACTATATTAATTGGATGCGTTTGTAAATTTAATCTGCTCTGAAAATGCGCTCTTGTGCAATTAGAAAAAAAAGCAGCATTCTAATTTTCTAACTGCAGAGCGCATTCTCAGAGCGGCAGATTAAATAAACGCCCCCAATTGATATCGCGTTTGTAAATTTAATCTGCCGCTCTGAAAATGCGCTCTGCAGTTACAAAAAACCCAGCAATGAATGCTGTATTTTTTTTTACTGCAGAGCGAATTTATTCACAGAAAAATAGAATGCTGCCGTTTTCATGAGAATAAACGAATGGCTTCTGACATCAAAGTGGACATAAAATGGCATATTAGAATAGGGACACATGTTTCAATCAGCAGTTTGAGAATTCATTTATATAGGCGCATTTATAAACCACACAGACCTTAACTGAGCTAACGGTGCGTGAGAAGCAGGCAGGTGCTTCTGCGTTCAAGTGTTTCAGTTTTTTTTATGAATTTGATTAAAAATAAAGGCGCCCGGCCCGTGTCCGAGGTAATTACAGTCGTTGGCCCGACAGTCGTTGGCCCGAAGTGAGGGTTTAGGGCTCCAGTGCAGGGCTCTAACCTGCGCTGCTTTGACGCTGAGCCAAAGCTTTATGCAAACTGGTGAAATCTGGAATGCACACTCGACTGACGGGTAAGTCAAGAGCTTCAGTCTCAGTTTCACAACAACAATAAGCCACAAAACCAGCTGCAATAAAAACGCCCACAAGTCGGATCATTTTGTTCCCAAGTTCTGCGGAGGTCAAATCTCAGGTGAATTAAACTTGAAAAATCCCTCTACTGTCAGCACAATCCTCCAATGGACCAAAACAGAGAGGAGCTAGGGTTATTAGTCAGCAGGAGATTGTATCAAACTAAAAGGAAGCCTGAAAAATGAGTTTCAGTTTAAATCGTTGTCCTTTTGTAACAAACAAACAGCACATTTTAGTACATTTACAACAACATGCATATTTCCTGTTTGGATGGAATGGTTTTACACATTACTGTGTGGGAGAGAAAGACATAAATCATCCATGTAGATTAGAGCCTAAACAGCAAGCCCACGAGTGGCAGAAGACCCAAGGAGTGATGCGTCTGATTAAATAAACAAGAAAAAACTTCTGTTCTCATAAGTATATTAAAACAACAACAACACTGTTTTGTTATTGGCTTCATTCATCTACATCAAACACATTCCTCCGATAGTCTGAATGCCTCTGATGCTACAGACAAGTCATGTAACTGGTGCATATTTTCTGCTCAACTACTTGATATAAAAAACAAAAATGTCACTGTTACATTTGTCGTTTTGGAATGTAGGAAGGCATGTGCTCCAGGCTACTGGGTTAAACAACCAAAAAAAAAAAAACTAATCAAAGCTAAAGGGAACAAGATTCTGCAGGATGAATGACAGCATTTTAAGTTACTTACTCTGAGCCGTCCCCTTCACCCAGCAGGGTGACGTACGTTTTAGGGAACCAGCCCTGTTCCCCGTTCAGCTCTCCCAGCCACCAGTTCTCCTGCTGCTCCAACACACAGATCACATCGTCCTTGTTGAAGTTCAGATGGTTGTCCGTCTTTGCCGTCCAGGAACACAGGGCCTGAGCAGACAGGTTTCCCACCACCGGCTGGAAAAGACAACTTGAGCATTAAAACTGTTCAGGCAGAGATCACAGCTCCTTTATGAGGCTCTCACCTGCCCGTGTGACTCCGGGGGAGCTGAGTTTGGAGAGTGCGTTGGTGTGAAAGCAGACTTGGTTCCTGCTGCCTTGGCAGCTTCCAGAGCGTTGGACAGCTGTTTCTGGATCGGTACTTTAGAGGGAGCGGGAGCTGCAGCGGCAGCAGGAGCCGTGTTTGCTGCGTTTGATGGAGCCACCCGCTCCACGTAGCTCTCTGGGAACCAGCCCATCTTCCCCTGCCCGCTGCCGTACAGCCAGCCCTCCTCTCGCTCAGTCGTCTCATCAACCTGAGGAGGAGGCAGCGGCACTTCAGTCAGAGGAACAACTAAAGGAACAAAGAATGCAGAATGAAGATGTGAGAATGAGTTCATTTTCTTACCTCTATGATATCATCTGCGCTGAAGCTGAGCTCTTCGTTGTTTCGAGCACTGAATGGGTAGATAGCTTTGAAGGAGGTGAGGGCTGCAGACTTCCTGTGTTGTGTAGCTTTAGGTTTTCCTCCTGAAGAGAATCAGCAAAGAGATTTTTCATTTTTATTTAAACCCTGAAAAATTTTCAGATTAAAGGAAAGTTTGAAAGTGTGCATCTCACCCTTCCTCTCCTCCAACCCTCTCAGCAGAGCCGTCAGTTTCTCCTGAATGTCCACCTTCCCTCCGTTGGGCTGCTGTTGACGCAATGACTCCTCCTTCCTCTTTTTTTCTATCTCAACTATCCTCCTCTCCTCCTCTTCCTCCCTTCTCCTCCTCTCCTCATCTGCCTTTTTCCTCTCCTCCTCATGCTGCTGAAGCCGTCTCCTTCTATCATCCTCTTCCTTCTTCCTTCGCTCCTCCTCCTCTAGCTTTCTACTTTCCTCAGCATCTCGGAGCGCGGCTTCGGCAGCTCTTTGTCGTCTTCTCTCCTCTTCATCCCTCTCTCTTCTGCGTTCCTCCTCCCTCCTCTCTTCTTCTAACCTCTTCCTCTCTTCCTCCCTCCTGCGCCGCTCTTCCTCTTCCTTCCTTCTCTTCTCTTCTAGCCTCCTCTCCTCCTCCAGTTTCTTTCGCTCTTCCTCGAGTTTCCTCCTCTCCTCCTCCAGCTTCCTCCTTTCCTCTTCCTGCCTGCGTCTCTCCGCTTGCCGCTGACGCTCCTCCTCTTCTCTCCTCCTCCTCTCCTCCTCCTCTCTTCTTTTTCGCTCAGCCTCCTCCTTCGCTCTGAGCTCGCGCTCGGCCTGTTCCTTAGCAGCCTGGATGAGAGCCTGTCTTGCTTTCTCCTCCTCCTCCCTCTTTTTGGCCTCCCTTTCCTCTTGGAGCCTCCTCTGACGCTCTTCCTCTTCCCTCCTCAGCTTCTCCTGTCGCTGGCGTTCCATTTCCATTTTGATACGCCTGCGAATGGAAAACAGTACCTTTAAACTTTTCTGTAAATTAAATTGGATCAAATCTGAAAATAGAGCAGAGTTTTACCTTTGAGCTTCCTCCTCCTCCTTTCGCCGCCTTTCCTCCTCTTGTCGTTTCCTCTCCTCCTCCTCCTTTCGCCGCCTTTCCTCCTCTTGTCGTTTCCTCTCCTCTTCCTTCCTTCTCTTCTCCTCTTCCTGTTCCTTCCTGCGTACAAGCTCATGCTGCTTTTCCTCTTTGATGCTGCACAGCTTCTCCAGGGCAGCCTGCTGGTTCCTCTGGTTCTCCTTCAGCTCCTGATGAAGAAAGATTTCACACATTTAATTTTTTATAAAATTAAAGAAAAAAGGCCATAGCCCAAAGGCCATTTGCTTCAGTCACGTGTATTTATATATATATATATATATATGTGTGTGTGTGTGTGTGTGTAGAGTCTAAAAGCTGATAGTTAATCCTCTCTAGGTTGGTTGAGCATCATAAGGACAGACTAGAGATTCTGGACCTGCTGTATATATTTATAAAGGCTTCAGATATTTTCATCACTTGCATAAAATCAATCTTGAGTTGGCAAGTAATTAAAATTGCGCCCACATTTTCTAAGTTAACACACATCTCTTTTTACAATGGTAGTTTTTGCATCTTTACTGTTTCCCTACTTCAGCCCTCTCCCCCTCCCCCTGCGCGCGGCTGCAAACTCACTGATGCGCCTGCAGCCTCTCAGAATTCCTGCTGATCTAAACATTGAAAGAATAATTTCATTTTCTGTTTCTCACTTCTGATTACCTTCAATGGTGTCTGTTTGTTGCAACCACCAGGTACAAAAACGAACTTGTTTTTATGTGACTATTTTTCTGTCCTGTCTCTGTTTATTATTTTCCTGAATCTCCTCTCAATCCTAAAGAAAAACTTCTACCTAGCTTCATATCTTTTCCCCTCATGAATTACCTTTGAACAGCAGTTCAAAAAGATCTACCAACCGCAAATATAGTGGAGTGCACGCTGCACACCGATCGCACCGGTGCGGTGAAGTTACCAGAGGAAGAAACAGGTGATGCGCTCCGCAGCAGCAAAATGCATCAGACACAAATAAAAGACAGAAATCATAAAACGAAATGAGCCGACATGAACGATCGCGTGTTAAATTTGTTTTTGAGGTGGTGAAACTTTGATGTTACTGTGGCCGTGGTCAGGACGCATCAGTCTGGAGCGCATCAACAATTAGAGCTCTGCGCCTCTCAGATAAAAATAATCCCTGGAGAGTCCACATGAATAATGTAATAGAAGTAGAACCAGGATCGTTTTTGCCCCCCCCCCCCCCTGGGTGTGCAAGTTGAGGGCTTCCAGGAGCTCCCTTTAGCTCACCTGTAATTTGAATCCTGCGTATAGCACAAGTTTGTCGCGTGAGTTGCCAGATCCTAGCAGACAGTTGCCGGAACGGTTCTTTCAAAATAAAATAGTTGTTCCGGCAAGATCCGGCTCAAATTAAGCACTGTTAAAGGTCCACTTTACATATATTTTGAATATATTTGCAGTGGCCTCTAGAGGGAATGAATGCCTTGTAAGTCGTACTCTTAGAGAAAATAAAGAACTGGCACGTCTGTCTGAGGGTGGAGAATTCAGCTGGAGGAGAAAGTAGCTTCAGATGGCAGGATTTGGAGTATTATTTCCTGATGTTTAGACATCTCAGCTTTGATTGGCTAAGAGCAAAGCAACACTACCTACCTCTGACTTCATTTGCGTTGCATTGTTGATGTTATATCTCCACAAATAATACACGCCAGAAGGAGTTCTGCCATGTTGTAGAGCTGCTAATGCTTAGCTTCTACCAGCCAAGACGTTCTCTGCTGATTTCTGGATGCTAAAGCAAGAAAAAGGGCCTTCCCCATCGGGAGTCAAGATGGGTGAACAGCTTTTTCCAGGAACTCCTACTCTACTTTTCAGGGGACTTCCATAAACACAAGCCTCTGGCGCTGTTTAAGCTCCTACCTGCATGTCTCTGTTGTATCGATCCATCTCAGCCATTTTGACAGCAGTCTCCCTCTCCAAAGCTTCTAGCTGCTCTCGCATTTTCACACACGTTCCCTTCTTCTCAGTGACGCTCACCTTCAGGGTGGAAATGGTCGACACTAGAAACAGGTGATAAACATGTTACTTCAGTGTTGGAGAGCCATTAACAAGCAAAATCCTTTAAAACATATCTTCACATAAACACACATGCTTCGGTTTTAAGATTTTACTAAATACATTAATAACTCTTCTCACATATAAAGCGCTTAAGAATCAAGCTCCATCATATACCAGTGATCTCATTGTTCCATATGTTCCTAACAGAGCACTTTGCTTTCAGACTGAAGGTTAACTAGTGGTTCCTAGAATATGTAAAATAAATAAATAAAGGATGGGAGGCAGATCTTTTAGCTATCAGGCTCCTCTCTTGTGGAACCGGCTCCCAGCTTTAGTCTGTGAGGCAGACACCTAGTCTACTTTTAAGACCAGGCTTAAAACATTTTTATTCGATAGGGTCTATGACTAAATTCTGATGTTAGCCCAGATCTGGATGAGTGGGGGAGTAGAGAGAGGTGGAGTGTATGGTAGAGAATACAGTAGGTAAAGACAGCTCTCCCTTGCCCTGCTTCCAACATGCCTCCATCTAAAAGGCTACGTTATCCAGAGGTATCTCTGTAATTATGCTGCTATAGGCTTAGACTGCTGGAGGACATACTGACCACTTTCCAAACTTGCATTATTTCCTGCTATTTCAGCTGTTAACTTCATTTTCTCTCTAAGTGTTTTTCTCCCCAGAAGAAGCTACAATGATGTTCTGCTGAGCTGTGGTAGCCTCATGGAGGGGGCATCAGCTAGCACACTGCTGCTAACCACTTAAACATTCTCCCTCTCCTGATGATAAAATTTTACTTTCTTTGACATTGAATGTGCTACTACTAGTTCACCTGTTGAACTAATTAAAGACTCACTAGGATAAAGACAATAAAGTTGATCTCTTACTAAATAGATCATAAAGTAAAAGTCCCATTAATTCATCACATACTGGTGAAATTCATCTCCACATTTGACCCATCCCCGTGGGGAGCAGTGAGCTGCAGCTGTGGCTACACTGGAGAACTATGTGGTGGTTTAACCCCCCAGTCCAACCCCTTAAAGCTGAGTGTCAAGCAGGAAGGCATTGAGTCCCATTGTAAAAGTCTTTGGTATGACCCGATCAGGATTTGAACACAAGAGCCTTTCCAGTCCCAGAGCAGACACTTTCCCACTAGGCCACTGAGAATTTACTAAGAAATCACAATGTAGCCATAGAAATACTACTTGGTGTGTGTGTGTGGGTGGATGGATGTGGGTGTGTGTCTGCTCTGTCTTCTAGATCCCCAGTGAGTCGTGGCGGATGGCTGCTTATACTGAGCCAGGATCCTCTGGAGGTTCCTTCCTGTTAAAAGGGAGTTTTCCTCTCCACTGTCGCTGCATGCTTGCTTAGTATGAGGATTGCTGTAAAGACACTGACACCAGTCAGTGACTCAATACAATTTGCTGGGTTCCTTATATAGGAAACTTTTTACTGACCGGCTTAATGAACTGAACTGACCTGTATTGGAATGTTTACTTTGTGAAGTGCCTTGAGAGGACTCTAGTCGTGATTTGGCGTTGTATAAATAAACTGAATCAAATTGAATTGAATGTGTTGAACCATCTGCTGGTCAGAACTTGTCATCTTCAGCCTGTTTCCATCTGCCTCTGATTGTAATGTGGTTCCTCCGGACTAACCTGGCAAGTTATTTAGAGCCACATTCTGGAGTTTCTCGGTAAGTCTCTTCTTCTCTGGAGTCAGCTGTGACAACTTCCTCTGGAACTCCTGTCAACAGGAAATGTAAACAAGAAAATTCCTCATTAGAAGAAAAAACAAACATGGCACCTAATTCTAAGCATAAATGAGAAACAGATTCTCAGTAATGAAGCAGCATTAGAAAAATTATTAAAGATGGGCAACACAGACCTCTATCTGCTTATGCAGGGAGTCAATATCCTGTTGGCATGTCTCTTTCCTTTGATTGCTCAGATCCATCTCAGTCTTCTGAAATTTCCTTTTGTTCTGAATGTCGCGCAGCCGATCCGAAATCTGACGCTGTTTGTTACCCTGAGGAGGGACAGAAAAAGATGAGAAGCTAGGTTTACATGCAGCTGGTCAAATGTTTTTTTTCTGTTGAGCGTTGGATCAGAGGCACAAGGGTCTTTTTAGGACTCACCACTGCTTCCAACTCCATTTCCAGACTCCTCTTCTTTGCTTTTAGCTTGATAATATCATCCTGCTCTTGCCTCTTCTTCATTTGCAGCTCTCCTCGTTTCCTCCTCTCAAACTCTTCCTTCTTCTGGCGCTCAAGCTCCTGCCGTTCAGCCTGGAATCAGGGGATGAAGACATGTCCATCAGTGGGAACAATTTAACAGGGAAAACAGATTATGTTTGAGAAGTACCTCTCTTCTTTCTTCTTCTAGCTGTCTCTCCAGTTCTCGCTGTCTCTCTAACTCTTTCTGTCTCTCCAGCTCCCTCTGTCTCTCCAGTTCCCTCTGTCTCTCCAGCTCTTTCTGTCTCTCCAACTCTTTCTGTCTCTCCAGCTCCCTCTGTCTCTCTAGTTCTCTCTGTTGCTCCAGCCTCCTCTTCTCCTCAGCCTCTCGAGCCTCTCTCTCCCTCTTCACTCGCTCTTCTTTCTCTTTCTGAGCACGTTTCTCCAGCTCCCTTCTCTCTGCCTCCAGAAGAGTCAGTCGTCTCCTCTCCAGCTCAGCATTGCCTCGCTCCAGGTTGGCTTTGAACTTATCCTCAAACGTTACTGGTAGCAAAAACAAGGAACACAAATTTAAATGGTCCATGAAACTGCTGATTACTTACATTAGTTTTTGAAAAACATTTTTACAAATGCAAAACAGCATCCTGTATGAGTTAGTAAAACTGACCAATTATACAACAAAAACCAGTATATTTAAAGGTGTGGAACACTCATTTAATCTCTAGTAGGAATGAATGCCTTATAAGGGACACCGGTTTAAAGAACTAGAAGTGAGCCAAATCAGGGTTGAGCTTCAAACAGCAGAATTTAGAGCCTTACTTCCTGATATTTGGACATCTCACCTCTGACTGGCTAAGAGTAACGCAACTCCACCACTGAGTCAGTTTGCTTTCCATTGTTGATGTTTCATCTCCACAAATAACACAAGCCTGAAGGAGTTCTGCTGTGTGGTGAAGTTGCTATTGCTAACAGTTAGCTTCTACCAGTGGCATAGCACATCTTAATTCTGTATCATAACATGTTTCAATTGTGCCTGTGAACCACAACTGCACTCCGAGCTTCAGGACTCTGGACTGCGAACGCAAGATATTTTCCATATTTGACCATTTTCAATGGTGACGGAGAAATCTGATGGTGGTCTGTCATTTTGACAGACTGTAATTAAGACACCAGTCTCATGCATTGTAAACATCACAAAGAGAGAACATCATGGAAGTAACAAATCAATCAAGAAAAGATTCCTATCAGAGCATCAGAGCATTATTATATTATTATATTAGCACACTGGGACAGCATTCTCAACATATCATGCTAATAACAGCGTGCTTCAGATCTGGAGTTCAGAGTGCATCTGTCAAAGGTTTCAAACACGTTCCAGCGGAACCACGACCCATGGTCATAGTGACTGGAGCGACCTTCGCTCTCATGTCGCTGTACCACACACACACACACACACACTGATCCAATAAGAGCACACGCTGTGCCAACTCTGGTGCTGTGCTATCAGACTGAAGGCAGAGATCAGCACTGCCTCCTCTGCGATTTAAGCATAAAAGAGGTTTTATAACATTTTTCATTCAAGGTTCAATTAAAATGTTTACTTCAATTTTGGGATCATGTCCACTCCACAGCAGTCAGTGCCTCGTCAGGAACCTCATCGCAACTCATGTTACTGCAGGAGATTTGTTATTCCAGTCTGTGTGGCAGCGGATCGCGGAGTCAGCCAGAGCATAAAACAGCAATACTTCTGTCTGAGGTGATCAGTTCAGATTAACACAGAGCAGAAGGAAGGTGAGAGGGTGTGTTCTGGCCGCAAGTGGAATCGTTAAATTGTTTTGTTTACCGAGTAACTCTAAATATTATTGATAATAAGATTAAATAAAAATGTAATGGTGCTGAATATTTATTAATTATTTCAAATAGGAAAGTGATGGAAAAAAAGCTGCTCATGACCAGTTTTTTTAACCCTGCGTTTAGAATGATGGGGAAACAAAGTCTAGCACAACCTCTGAGATATCTATTATACCCATCTATACTTTTAAATTTGGTTCTGTTTCATTTCATTGTATGATGGCCTTAAAGGACACCCCTCCAAAAGAAAATAAATGTACATATAATTTTCTTAAGGAAGCCATTTGAGTGACAGCCTTTCCCGTAGTGATGGATTAGTCCATTATTAAGTGACAGTGTGTTGTAGATCTGTCAGGTTTTCCAAATCCTTGAGTTTCACCATCTGTTTACTATCAGAAGCCAACGCAAGGAGATAGGTGTAGGAGACTATTTTCATATTCACCCTTCATGACAAACTCAGAGTGACCGATTATAGTCAGATTTACAATTTAAAAGATGGTTTTTCAGTGATCCACACCTTTAACATCTGCACAGCTTTGATTTAAAGCAGCGAGTAAACAAGGTGCAGCATTGAAACTACTGACTGTTGGATTTCGCTTTCTGTGGAGGATCCAAGTCGAAGTCATCAATCATAGCTCCATAGAAGGAGGAGCTGGAGCCGTTCACTAAACTCCTGCAAAAACAGAGATATAAAGAATTATTATTCCACCAATGCATCAGTGTAGTCCATAATTAAGGGATGTGATTAATAAATAATGGGTGCTTAATAAAGTTTCTACCTGTGTGAGGGTGGTACCAACTCAGCTGGCAGCAACAGTGGCAGCGTTTGTCCGCTCTTTGCCAAATCCACAAGATGCATTGCCAGAATAAACTCCTCTGCTTTCAGCTTGCCATCCTTATCGATGTCAGATAAAGTCCTGCAGGAAATATTTTTTTACTTTTTTAACGTGATGAAGGAGCCATTTCTACCCTAACAGCTGTTTCCTTTTGACACAGTGCCAGTGTGCATGAAACAGCCTCAAGGTCATGCATTCGCTTCCAAACTGTTTACATTGCAGCATGAAGACAGAAGAAAGAAGAATGAACTCTTTTCTTTTAATTAATCAAAGAGCTCTATTTTAATAAAGCTAAACCATCAGTCAATATAATGAGGTGTGACTGACCTGTGAAATTAAAATATTAATTATTTTATTATGATCTTAGAAATGAAGTAATGTAACTTTAAGTGTTCCAACAGGACTCATTTCATGTAGTGTTAAAAAGACATAACGCATTCTTTCACTGATCCAATCAGAATTTTACAGATCTGATGGAGGCGTACTTCTGACGGTGTTTGGTAACTTTCATTCGACAATAAACCATAACATCCGAGGTATAAAACAGATGCCACTTCAGCTCTAACGCAGTTCAAAGTGTTCCAGAGCAAGCGTCGGAGTGGCCAATCCAACCTTTAACTCTTCAACCGAAAGAACCTCGACAAGCTGAGAAAATCCAGTCGCTATAACAACAAGCAACAACAACAGCTCCTTTCAGAATAAAAGCTCCACCGACCCAGGCTGGGTCTGAACAGACGCCAAGAAAAGAGTCGTGTGCCGGAGGTAACTCGAGACGGGTCTGGTCGGAACCGCGGCCCTTCTACCAGCTCGGTGTCCAGAGAGGATCCGCTTGGGCCTCGACATTCCTGATCTCACCAGAGGACTTCCACAAGGCAAGCAGACTAGCTTGATGGTGTCTCGTGCGGTTCTGAAACTACCCCAAGCTTTTTCCAAACCAACATCTTCAGTTCCCATCAGAACTAATCGCTTCTTCAGATTTGCTGGTTCTGATTACATCACACGTCATCCATTCACCGTCTCATCCATTTTTAGTCACACTATACACTTAGTTCTGAAATAAGCCTAGTTTAATCGTTAGTAATAAAATTCTTAACTTTTAAACTTGACTCTCTTTATTCTGTTGTCTCTGAGTGAATACATAACGGTTACATAATCTCTACATTAAAAAGATCCGATCTTCTGGTTTAAATAACCCCCGATCCGTGAGGCAGATTTCATATTTCCTATGGAATCCTACGCCTTATGGTTCATTAAATAAAATGTAAGAACCTCTCATTTTTCCCTTACACTTTACTGGAATTATCACCTTTAAACGCTGTGACATTTTCTACAGAAATGAAAACTGCTTGTGCCAATTTCATTTAGTTAATGCTAGAATAAAAGTTCTCACCAGATGGATGCCAGCTGCGTCTGTGTTAGCATTGTTGTTGCCATGGCGTTTCTCACCTGCTGACCTACAACAACGGATGATGCATGTCAGATGTAGGAATGACAGAGATTCAATGAGTGGGAGATGACCCCAGTCATTTTGAGCCTCATATCTTTTAAAAAAGTCACAAACTGGAAAAAATAAAATCATATTTTTTATATAGTTCTTTTCCACATAGTCAAAAAAAACATTTACAAGTTTGACTACAGGACTGAGTGAGAGAGCATGTGTTAACGTGCTAAAGTTAATTCCCTAAATTTTAGATTAACTGAACAGGTCAGATCAGGCTGTTAGAACAAGAACATGAATGCACATATGACAGTGAGTGTGTGTGGTGAGAAATCTCTCCAGTGTTTGAACACAGCCTGTAACACACGGCCACCGAGAGCAGCTGCTGCTCAGTTCTGCAGATTTCTATGTTTTGTCTAACACTGTGCATGAATGCAAACAGAGGGAAGCGCCGCGTACCTGTGAGGAATCCAGTCATCTGTTTGTCAAGGATGTTGAACTGCTGCCTGTATTTCAGTCTTGATGCATGAGGAACTGCCCAGTCGCTGGGAACAGCAGCCGCCATCACAGACGGAGACGAAGAGGAGCTGTAAGTCGCAACAAGTTATAGGATTTAGCACAATAGGAGGCCAACAAAACAAGCAAGGTGGTTGCTGGGCATTGCGTGTGTGTGTGTGTGCGTGTGTGTGTGTGTACCTGAGAGATGCGAGCTCCAGTAGTGGTGAGGGAGTGTTTATAGCTGCAGATGAGGAGAGCCCAGCTGGAGATGCGTAGGAGGTTGCAGACTGAGGGATACCTAGGAGAGCCATACAGACGTATAAAGACAGATCTCCACTTTAGTAACAACCATGAAAGCTGAGTTTTATTATTATGGTTTCCACAATTTTCATTGAGATGAAAGAAAACCTGAAAGGTTTTCAATGCCACAAACAGACAATCTCATGTTTTATGAATCTAAAGTTTTCATGTGAAAACTGCTTTTAACTTGAAATTTGAAATAAAAAATACAAAAAAAGGGTTTGCTTCTGCTTGGCTCAAATAGCAGAGCAAAGAAAATGCAGTGTGCACGCTGCAGAAAGAAAAACAAATGCTAATTTTTTTTAAAGCACATTAAAAGCCTGTAGTGACTGAGTCAGGTGTGGTCTGAGTTTAGCTGAACTCGTCATCCACCCTACATTGTTCTTATTCTGCAAACAGGTTTTTTCACATTTTAGTGAAATAAAATTTCCTATTATTGCTGCAATTTCCTCCAAAATCCAGAGGTGTTAAATTACTGAAAGAATGACGTGCAGCTTCAGTGTTTTTGTTTTCTCTCAGATCAACGATAAAAAGGAAATAAGGTAAAAATGAGAATAGCATACCAGTAGTCATTGGTTGGAGAAGTCCCATGGTGCCATTTGACAGTGAACTGTTATCCATAGTGGGCATGAGGGGCATGACGGGGGCTGAGGCTATGAGGGGGGCAAGCCCTCCTGTAACACCCATTGGGGTGAGACCTGTCATCGATGTCAAAGGTGAGAGACCGGGAGATGTTACAGACATGGGAGTCAGCATGGCTAGGTTTGATCCAGGCATCATGTGAACTGAGCCGATGCCTAAAACAGAAACATATAAGTTTAAATTAAAACATTAAAGAAAGATCACAACTATAAAAAAGTGCCCAGCTGAATGACAGCAGTGAAACTGTACCGTAAACAGAGCCGACCATGGCTGAGGTGGGAGCAGGCACTGGAGGCTGTTTCATGATGATTGGCAGTGCTGAGGGAAGTGGTGTACCCTGAAGTTTTAACTTTATGAGCTTCATAGCGATAGAAAACTCCAACCTGTCCATCTTCCCATCCTTGTTCATGTCAGCCAGAGCCCTGAGGAAAAGCCAAGAGAGCAGCGCAAAGAACCTGAGCTTCAAGATGGCTGTGGAATCATCCCATCAGTTATAAATGTGCCAGTTCATGAGTAATTGTGTGACTTGTACCATATCTCAGCCAAAACAGAGGCAGGCAGGCCAGACTGGAGGAAAAACTTCCTCGCCTGCTCTCCTGCAGACGAAGAAAGAAGGAAGCTTTAACTATAAAACCTTTAGATCCAAGAGTTTCCCTCTTTAGTGTGGGAATGAAATCTGCATTGTGAAACTAACTGGCAGGACACACAGGTACCATTAAGCTCCACCTGCCAGTGTGTGCATGTGTGTGTGTGTGTGTACCTGAGACGTTGCCCATCGAAGGCGACAGGGTGTCAAACTTCTGATCATGCTTTACCCTCTCCTCAGGAGAGATGGCCCATATACTTGTGCCTGAGGGTTGTCAATAAAATGAAAACAATGGTTAGATATTGTTTGTTACCATGGAAACCCTTTTGGCTAAACCCTTACTGGGTTTTTAGGTCTAGAGTAAATTAGAACATCAAAACGTGATCAGACTAACAGATAAATAATTTCAATCATTTGAAAATAGGACTTTAAAAAAGTTAAAATGTCCACAGAGACGCACAGTAGATGAGGTGGGAGTTTGAGGAAAGCCTGTTAGGAGTAGCGAATGAACCGGAATAATGGCAAAGTGGTAATGAAGCTTGATTTTGCAAGAAGGCAGAACAGGCTCAAATGCTCCATGGAAAACTAATCAAATTAAATAAAGTCAGGATAAAAAAAATAGAGCTCCTGCATCCTTTAAACTGGCATAAAGAAGTGACTTCAGCAAAGCAACCAAAACAAAACCTCTCTTTATCCCTGCCAGTCAACACATGCTCTTGTTTATACTCGCACGCATGCACGCACACAGCAATGGTCTTACCATTCATGTTTGCACGTGGAGAAGTCCCAGTGACGTCCCTAGCTTCTGCTCACAGCCATCTGCAAAACACAAAGTCACAATTGATGTTGCAGCTGATGGTGGCGTCACTGAGGGAGGGCGAGTGAAGGGAGAGACAGGCACATACACACAGAGGCAGATCAGAGAGAAAGAGACAGATTGTGATCAGTCAGCAGTCAGAGAGCTTCTCCACATCTCTTTACTCAGGAGTTGATGGGCCTCTGAAACCTTACAGTTTGATCTAAACTCTCTCTGAACAGACCGGAGTAACAAACACAACAAACACAAGGGCTCAGTGTACATTTTAATAATACATTATTACAAAAACTACCACCTCCAGTATTTGGCAGACACCCTCTTATTTATTGATTCTTCCAATTATGATAACACGATCTACCTTGTTAGTTTCAGGAAATACAGTTTCTGCTAACAAGAGCGACTCATTTTAGACTTTTCACGCCAGAGAGAGCGGAAACACTTTATTTTTAATCCTAGTTTGGCAAAACATCATCAATGCACCAGGCTTCATCAGCTGATGATTTTAATTCATAAAAGCAAAACAGGCTGTGATGTGACAGGTGACAGTAAGAAGAGCCTAATCTTGGTTTCATGTGTTTAAATACATCTTCGCATTCATCAATAAACCTAAACCTTCATGTTTTGGGGCTTAGGGAGAAAACCCAAGCATGCGCAAGGAGAAAATGCTAACTCCAATGGCTGGGATTCAAACCTGCGACCTTGTTGGTAAAAATAAATGAGCATGCTAGCATTAATGATGCTGTGTTGGTACTGGCAGAGCTGTACAATTATTGACTAATGATTGAGATGGCTATGAGGAGCTTGTAGCTGGTCATAACATGTTCTTGGCTGTGTACACAGAGTTAATGAACCTTTCATGGGATCCTTGTTGACAAAAGATCCTCTCATTGTATTCGACTGCTAGCATGTTCGTTCACAGGTCTCATTTCTAACTGAAGCATCGTATTGTTCGACTAAAACAAACCAGAAAAGCTTCTGATTCAGATTTCAAACACTTTAAGCTGTAAAATTACCAAAACCGTTGGTTTAAACGTGAAAAGTTAAACAGAGGGAATGCAACATGAAACTGAAAACAAGATCTTTAGGTATTCTGTGACTCCACACTGGAGACGCCACATAGGACCCTCACATTGTTTCAGCCACTTTAGAGTTCCTTTCACTGAACGCAGGCCAAACACCTGCTTCCTCTGAGATCATCTGTCAGCCGTCAGCCACCGGGACTCATGGGAAAAGGTGGATGAGGAAAAGTTGGAAATAAATTCCAATCTATCTGCTCAATACTTCCTGCTTGGTGCCACACAAATGGAACCACTTCCTTATTACACATTAGTCAACTTAAGGAGACTGTGGATTTTAGAAGGGGAAAAGTTCAGATTTTCCAGGAAATTTATTCATTTTGGAGTTACAGTTGATTTGTGGGAGAGCAAAAGTGATCTTCAGCCCTGATCTTTGATTTAGCCGCTGCTGATTATTCTGTAGAGGAACAAAAATAGTGTGGCCTGATCAGAGAATTTCAAGGGAGAGTTATGGTCTTCCATCTGTCACTCTTCATCCCCCCCCCCCCCCCCCCGTTCACCCTTCTCCAAATCAAATCTATCATTCCCTTCTTTTGTTTCTGGTCTTTTATTCTGCACTTTTTCCACTTTTACTAATTATTTGAGCAACAAAATTTACCAATATGATGCTTGAAAGACAACACAGGATTTATTATGCCATTTATTTTAGCTTCCTATTGTTTGAAAAGTTTTGCAATGCAAATGTCCTCTTGTTGTGAGGAGGCAAAACCCTACAGAGACCGGAATCAGCTGGAAAAACAAAAGAACCTAAAAACAAATATTATCATTGATTATTTTGTGGATTTAATATCTCAATTATAGTTAATGAAACACGAGCGCCAGAGCTTTTTTTCTACAGAGATTGACTCAGAAGGTATTCATTTAGACTAGAGACCGCGGCAAGTGCATTGAAACAAACCAAGTGATGCTGTTATTTAAACAATAAAAAAGCAGTCATCATCAAATGTGAGTTTGCTCTGCAGCCTCATCTGTCTCTGATAACGTGCTGGGAAAACAGGGTTACATTCTCAGGAATTACTAGAGGTTTTTTTTCCCCCATGCTGAGAACAAGGTAGCTGTCTGCTACACGAGTAAACAAGCAACTGCTCGTCCACAGTTCATGCATGAAAATGGCTTTAGGATGATCAGTCTGAAGCTTGGACGTCAAACATCCCTTCAGAGCTGCTATTATAGGATCCGTGTTTGGAAATGTAACCTCTGGTAATGTTACACTGCAGGCATTTTAATGAATTAATCAAAGATAGCAGCAGACTGTCTGCTTTAAGGTTTAGCGTTTCAAGAGCTAGACGGCTTCCTGACCCACCGAACAAATGACTTCAGTGGAATACTCAACCTCATACAAATGCTTTATGAATTCACCCAGCACGCACAAACGCATGCATGCATGTGCACGCAAACACATGCACAAGCAGGCCTTGAGTTGCTGAAATGATACCGCAGACACTCTATTTGCAGAAGACTCCAGTGTGACGAACCCACTGCTGTTAAATGTGGCATCCCTTGCTGGAGCTACACATATCAAAACTAACTTTGGTCTTCACCAGTAAGATTCTAAAAAGTACGAACAATAAACAAGATAAATTTACATTTTCTTCCTTTACATAAATCTTTGAATAACATCTTGAGCAACTTTAATGAATCACTGCATCATCTACAACCCTTGTGTTCTTGTGACTTAAATCCCTGGATCGATAGAGAAAGTCCAGCACTAATACTTTATTAGCTTACATCACATGGACCTCACCAGGTTCTCACTGACCAACATGCTGGCTACACAACACCACATTAGATATGTTTTCCTACTTTCTAAGGTTTCTATCCATGTCGATTAAACATAAAATCTTGCACCTGCAGACACACACCTCACCCTCCCATTACTGCTGTCACAGTTCAGCACATGAATAGGAATATGAATCATACTGGCTCTCATGTCAGTGGTGAAACTATTCTTGCACAAACGTGCAGAGGTGGTGGTGTGGGGGGACATTTAAGCATTACTTAAAATTAATCTCAACAGAAAATGGATTATGTCAAAACGGATTGTCTTTTTTATGAATAATGGAAAAACAATATTTTTTATATAAAATGCATTGTTCTGTGGATTTTACTTAGGGGTGAAATTTTAAATAAGCCCTTGATGTAAAAGTGCAAAAAGAAAAATAACTGCTAGTCACACAGGAGAATCACAGACAGACGATCTATTAACATGTGCCAGTACTTTGCTGAGCTACCACAAACCGGTGTGTTGATGTAACACTCTTTCTCAGGATATGGTCTCAGACTTCAGGTTTGATGTGATTTTGAAAGTCAAACCACACCTGTTTCAGTTTTGCTTCTGCTGTGAGGATGTACTGGGAGTGGGACACAGCCAGCTTACACGCACACACACACACACACACACACCACTGGGAAAGTTGGACTAATAGCTTTTCTGGCTGTGCTGATAGCTGCTTTGGTAAAAACCTGGGGAATCTTACCATCTAGGAGTGCATCCATTAGTCTGTTTTTTTGTTTTCACAAAAAGCCTCTTTCACATTGCACACTTAGATGTAAAGAAAAAGACTAAAAACGCACAGATGTGGGGAAAAAAAATACAAGTTTTTTTTTGTCTCTCTTGATGTAATTTCTTCATTACGAAACTTGTTTTTAAAACTTTATCTTTTCTGTTTATTTTATCTACAGTAAAAATCGTCCAAAGCCAGCTGTCCCCTCTAGCCTGCCGACATCCTCACTGTGCTCACAAACAAACCCTGTCTGCCAAGCTAGCTAGCTTGATATTCAGCCACCTCTCACACTGGTGTCACAACAATGACATCAACTCCAACCACAATCCTGCCTCCGCTGGACGACTTTTCTTCCTCTCTGTGTTGGTTTCATCTAATCAATGAGACTTTCTGCCACAACACGCCTGCTTTAACCATCCGGTCCTCCTATAGTTCTTCAAAAACCAGATTAGAGTGTTTAGACTAGATTTGAATCATTATGGGTTTTGTTTCTTTAAGAGGCATGGCATGCCTCTCCCTCTTTTTGCTAGCTTTGACCCACCCTGATTTATGCACACATTAACATTGGAGAAAATACTTGACCTTTTAAACCATCTCAATCCAGTTGTTCGTTAGCAAAATCAAAGCAGAAGATCTTTTTATTTTAATGACAAGAGTAATTGGAGAAAAGGATTAGAATTGACTAAACCGTCATTGATACAGTTAGTACAAAAAGAGCAGTGAAGAAGAAACAGCATGTACAACATTTCTGAGCAGCATTTGTGCCTTTTAACCAGCATTTGTGGCTAGGCAAACGCTGAATGTCAGAAACAAGACAAGCATAAACCAAGGAGCATTTATATCAGCTGATCAGTGATCACTGCATCATCAACTGCCTGAATTTGTCATGGATTTTCCCAAAAGTACAAAAAAAAGAGCAATTGAACTTCCCTGCAGACACATTAACATAAACAGGTTTCTACAATATCAAAAGAACATATTTACTAAAATGCTCTTACTGGTTATTGTCTAGCCAAAACTGCACCACTTAGAGGATAAGTAGCAGCGATGATTACTTCTTTGTTTTGATCCATAAACAAGTGTTGTACATGGAGTTGCTTTCATATTGTGCCTTAGTATTAAATTATTCTTTTTTTATTTTTTCTGTAGCTAGGTCACACGACTTATGCAACTAGCATTTAGCTATAATCCATCATGTTTACAAATATGTACGTCATGTTTGGTTCATTAACCTGTACTGCCCCAATCAAATCAACATTTAAATAAATAAATTACTGCTTTATTAAAAAAAGTTCATTATAACTTGTAAAATTTAATTATACAGAAAACTCATGAGCTGCATGGTGGTGCATTTGGAATCACTGAGGCTTCACAGTGAGAAGGACACAGGTTCAAACCCCAACTGTGGCCATTTTGCATGTTGTTAGCGTGTTCTCGCCACGGATGTGTGGATTTTTTTCGGGTTTTCCAGTTACCTCCCACAGACTTAAACATGCATATTACGTAAATTGGTTACTCTAAACCAGGGCTATTCAAGTTCAGGCCTCAAGGGCTGGTATCCAGCAAGTTTTAGTGGTTTCTCTGGTCCAACACAGTAGATTGAGTGGTTGAGTCACCCGTGCAGCAGCTCATCAGGCTCTGCAAAAGCCTGTTAATCACCTGCTGAATGAAATCAGATGTGCTGAAGCAGGGTTAAAACTAAAACATGCTGGATACCGGCCCTGGAGGCCCGGAATTGAATAGCCCTAGGTCTAAACTGTGTCTAGGTCAAAGTGTGTGACCTTTGTGGACTAGAGACCTGTCCTCAACTCAACCTTAATCTGTATAGCGCCTTACAGACATGAAACATGGCACCAAGGCGCTCCACAGACAAAATAAAATCCAATAAAAACAGAAGCATATAATTTATATAATAAAACTAACAATTAGAGTCATAAAAGCAGGTTTTCAATCTTTTTTTAAAAACTGCCACAGAAGTAGAAGTCCTTATGGACAGAGGAAGTTCCTTCCAAAACTTCGGGCCTACCACTGAAAAGTCTTTATCCCCTCTCATCTTCAGACGTGATCTAAGGACAGAAAGCAGCAACAAGTGTCCGAGCCAGGCAATGTGGCCATAATAGGGATACCAAGTAAGGCAGCGCCAATCAATTTATAGCTTTGAAGACCAATAAATGAAGTTTAAAACGAATTCTAAAAACAACAAGTAACCAATGTAACTTAGCCAAAATTGGGGTAACATGGTGAAACTCCCACCTTCCCTCTAAAAACTTGGCAGCTGCATTTTACACAAGCTGCATTCTGTCTACAGTACCCTGACTTGCACCAAATAGGACTGAAATACATTAGTCCAGGTATGCAGTGATGAAAGCAACTACCACCTTGAGATCACATGTGACAGGAGCAGTTTCACCTGGGACAATCTTAGCAAATGATGAAAGGAGGAAGAAACCACACTATTAATGTGGCCATCAAAACAAAAGGTATTATCCATCTTCACCCCAAGTCCTGCGTGTCCTCTGCCTCTCACCTGATGGCCACAGAAGATAAAACACCAGCTCCATGCAGCTCTACTGAGGATTAGGAGGTTAAAATGATAAATGACTGAGTGAAAACTCTATAAATGAGAGCTGCACCGTTTCTGGTATGGAGGGTTGAGCTTGAGTCTACCGATATCACTTTCATTTGTCAGGATCTGATTTATCGCAGAGAATAAAAAATACCATACATAAAGAAAAATCAAATCAACTTGAAGCTCAAAGTAAAACTTTTAGCAATGGCAAAAAGCTTAGCAATGGTGAGTTTACAAACAATACAATTATTACCAATGAAATCAATCATGCTGAAGTTTTGGATGCACCTCTACTATATATATATATATATATATATATATATATATATATATATATATATATATATATATATATATATATATATATATATATATATACAATATATACAGTGGAAAAACAACAGAAGACAGCTGTTTTGGTTGATGTAACAATATGATGGCAACATCAGAAAACTCAGAAAAAAGGAACACGAGAAACTAAAGAAATACTCGGGCCTCAAAGAAGAACTTGAGAAAGCCTGAAGCGTGAAGACATCAGAGGGCACTCGGGACAGTAACCCCCAAACTTGAGCAGTGGCTAAAGCAGATCCCAGGAAAAAGTCCAGAAAAATGCAGTTCTATGATTCCCGGGTCCCTAAACATGAAAGTGCTAAGTGGTACACAAAATTAAAATTCAAGAGATGGTCAAGAGATCCTTCCTGCCAACAGCCATTGTAATATACAATAACTCTTTGATGACTTGATTATTATAATTATTATTCTGAGCTACTACAGCAATTTCCCTCTGGGATTAATAAAGTAGTTTTGAATTGAATTGAAGTCAATGTTCAAAACTGATTCGGCCTAGGCAAGTTGTGGCTCCATTGTTTAACAGTGTGATATTTTAGCATGCAAACAAGCACAAAAACATATAGATTTCTGCCATCAGCTGATCACAAACTCTACAAATCAGCATCGGTAACAGAAAAACCCATATTGATGGATCTCTAATAATTAGTTGTAGTAATGGTGACTGTGATTTCACTGCAGAAAAAACAAGATGTTTTTGCCTAAATCTTGCGCAAGTTTTAATGATGCTGCTCATCTATTTCTGGCATGATGGTCTCTCTTTAGACAATTGAGACCAACAATGAGACCAGCCCACACACCAAGAAATCAGACCAGAAAGTGAACAGTCACTGCACAATGAGCAGTCTGAGACAGCCCAGCAGCTTGTGTGTTTCTGCAGATGAACTGATAGTTACATTCTGTGATCACTTGTCACCTCTCACCGAGACCTGCCCGCAACCTGTTCAACTAGTTTGGAGCTGAGAGGAATTCGTGAGACTTTCCGGTGTTACAGCAAAATCTGTAATACCGCGAAATCTGCCTTTGCGAACACCCCAGCAACAGACTGACCTTAATGAAGAACCTACTGACACCGAACCGGTCCATAAACAACCAACCAACCACCTAGCTAGCTAACCTAACGACGGTGCTTGTTTTTGGGATCCGCGGAGGAGCATCACCACCCCTTCCTCTGCTGCTTCACTTTGCCTCTCAGCTCTGGAGCCAAAATCAAAACAACAACAAAACAAACCACAAAGAAAGCTAAAATAGTACAATTCAACATTTAGAATGTGTAAAAAAAGTCACCATTAAACTTACAATTAGCTTAGATAAGCAGTTTTGCCTGAGTGCTCTCTGTCCTCCAGCGGTCACAAAACTCCAACTTCCGAACTTCCCAACAGAAATGACCTTCCGCGGCTTCTGGACAGTTCCTCCGGCACACCGTCGAGTTTGTTATCCGCAAAGAGCCGCAGTTTATCGGACAAATGCTGATTTTGAGCCACGGGAGTTAATGGTAGGACCTGTTGCTGACAGCTCGGAGTGTCACACCAACAACATGGCTGACGACGAGTGATCAACTGGAGGCTCAGTTACGTCCGTCCGGCACTGGAGTAAAGCCAGCCTCCACTCGCCGATTCACGGTAAAGTGAGCCCTCACTTGATTTTGCTAGGCGCACGCGTTCACAGCTTTACGGTAAAAGCTCTGGCCACAGTTTTTCAAAATAAAAGCACACATCAGAAACTTAATTTCTGACTGATTGTTTAAAAAAACTTACAAAATGGAATTCAAAAGTGATAAAATTATATTTAGCCATTTTAGCCAGTTTTTCAAAATAAAAGACCATTTCAGAAACTTCTTTTCTGACTGATTTTTTTTATTTTAAAAATGGAATTCAAATGGTACCAAATTATAGTTATATAATATGATTTATTCCATTTTTCAAAATAGAAGCCCATATCAGAAACCTATTTTCTGATTGATTATTTGAAAAAAGAATTAAAAAATTGAATTCAAAGTTACCACATTATAGTTGTATCGCCCTTTTAACCACTGTTTTTCCCAAATAAAAGCCCATCTCAGAAACGTATTTTCTGATTATTTTTAAAACTTTAAAAATGGAATTCAAAAGTTACCAAGTTATGGTTATATCACCATTTTAACAGATGTTTCAAAAATATATTACAAATGGTGGAAATGCCTGAAAAACGACTTGTGACAATCCTTTTTAAACATGTCTCTCTATAAGTCCATAGTGATTTGATACTATACTACAATTCGATGACCTCTCGTTTTTCCTGTGAAACTTCATAGAACAGCTTATTTTTATTTAGATATTATGCTTCCAAAAACCTATACATGTTACATAGAAAAAAACTGTTTCCAGAATCTTCTGGTGTGAAACAGTGAAGAATCAAACACCATAAGTTCCACCAGGGGAAGTGTCATCAATATCTGATGTGGAATTTAAAAAAATACTTCTTTGAAAAATGGCATAAATCATTCCTCTACTTTGAATAAATATATTTTTTTAATCCCACTGTTACGCCAGCATCTGGTGTGGACAGATGAGCACTAGAACACCTCAAGTTCTTATAAAAAAAAGTTAAATCTAAATCTAATATGGAATTTCAAAATAATACCTCTTTGAAAATGGTTATAAATCAATCATTCCTCTATGTTGAAAAAATGTTTAAAAATGATCTCCCTTTTATGCAAGCATCTGGTGTGGATGGGTGAGTAGTAGACCACCTCTAGTTTATAAAACCAAAGTTTCATCCAAATCTGATATGGAATTTCAAAATGAAAGCTCATTGAAAATGGTTATAAATCGTTCATACCTGTACTTTGAAATTTTTTTTTAAAATATTGTCACTGTTATGCCAACATCTGGTGTGGATGGATGAGTACTAGACCACCTCTAGTTTATAAAACCAAATTTTCATCCAAATTTGCACCATGCACCCTTTGCACCACAAAATTTTCCACCATGTGGGCAGTTAAACACTTTTCCAGCTACGTTGGTGGACAGAAAATCATTATTGAAACTCAACATCAGCCAGTGAACTTCCTTAACAGTCAACGCATCAGAGATGGTGTGGTGACCAAAGCACGCATTGCGTCGTGGCTGCTTGCTCTTCAGAGCGTTGACATTGAAGTACGCTACACGCGTCTCAGTTTCACTTGTCATCTACCTTCTTGGAAAAGTAACGGGTTCTTAACCTCTAACCAGAAGCCCGTTAAACATCAAGACCTCTTCATGGCTTGCGGTGCCCTAGCGACATCACATGACATGCAGATCTATTGGCGTAAAGTCAAAGGTCTTTCTCGTGCACCCGGAACTGATAAGGATCTGAACGACTTTGCAGACTCTCTTGCCAAACAAAGTGCAGCTGTTGGTACCCCATGGTCCTTTAACCCCTTGTGGCTCCCTGACGATGTGCCTTCTCAGTCAGACCCACCCTGTGTGTGTCATGACTAGAGCTCAGGCCGCTAATGCATCCACCCCTCGGCCATCCGATGTCATGATGGGCTGAAGTCTTCTAACCCACATGAAAGAATCACACGAGGAGAGAGGTGAGTAAAATATAATGTAGTTTTAATTATAAAGTAAATTAATGAAAACGAAAAGCGCTGATCCAAACGGGGCCAGGAGGGTGTTCTGATTCTAAAAGAGACGATAGCAAAAAATGAAAACTGACAACCAAGAAAACACTGTGGAGTAATGGTGGTGAAGTCTTACTGTACAAAGTGTGGGTCTGAGCTGGAGAGGGAGGCAAGTCAGGTCTGAGCTGGAGATGGTCTGGTGGAGAGGAGTAGCAGGCAAAGGAGTAATCCAGGACAGTTGAGAGGTGGAGAGTGGGAGACCAGAGGAGTTGAGCGGCGTTGGGAAATAAATCTACTTCAGTGAGCAGGAAGCTGAGGATAAGAATCCAGGGCTGGTACTGGAGCAGACAAGGAGAGCAAAAATGAGCACACGGGAGAAAAACACGAGACTAGAGTCAAAGAGGAACGAGGAGAGCTAGGGTACCCAACAATAGAGTATCAACCGGCACTGAAGTGTGGCAACACCTCTCCTTATATCCTCTGGCCTGGCTGGATGATAATCAGCTGCAGCTGTGGCTCTCCAACCTGCTCACCTGCAAACACTTAGGAGCACAGCCACAGAGAAAAAGCAGAACCATGACATCCGATGGTTTTGTCTGTTCATCCTGTCTTTTCTGAAAACAGCCTTGTCAGTCTTCAGTCTCAGGACCCTGATATCAGCAGGATAATCCTCTACCTTTCTGATCTGACAGCTCATCTGCCTTCTCCTGTCGAGCTTGACTCCGTTCCTGAGCTCCGGGCTCTCTTTCATGTTCATAGGTGTTGTTAACTACAACGGCGCCGTCAGAGTGACCAGTCGATCCACAGCCTCCAAGGTCAGTGACACCCACAGAGTCTGTGTTGTCTCTGCAGCAGTACTGCTTCACCCGGGGGTGGGAAAACCACCCGCCCTAGATGAGGTTGACGGTTGCAGTGGCACTCCACCTGAGACTCCGCACCCTGCAGTCGGAACACCACCTGCCGAAGGGGGGCCTGACGACATCACTGACCCTGCTCCACTACAGCTGGCGCTGGTGACCTCTAGCCCTGAGGTTTGGTGACTCACCTACCACGGGGAGGTTGACTGTCGCCCTGTACCACTACTGGCTGACCCTGATCTCTCTGACTGCCCCTGCGCGTCGACCAAGGGCCCTCCAGAGAGCTCACCTGCGCCGGACCCTCGCAAGGCTGCGCCTGCGCCAGTCTACAGTCTAAAACGTTCTTGGTTTTAGTTTTCAGGACTGACAAAGTATCTTTTGCTAGTTGTGTGTGTCTGTCTGATGTCAAACGCGGCTAAGCTTCCTCCACAGCCTTCTCTAACGCGACCATACGAACCTGGGCCCTCGTCGGGTATCACACTCCGAGTGCGCCCAGATCTATTGATGACTAACTACCGCCTGTTCACACAAAACATTTGTGTTGAAATTGACCCCGCAGCTCAGAAGAGGACCTGAGTGAGGACGAGGATGAAAGATCTTCAGGCTCAGGGGAATGTTATCAAAATGTGTTTGTGAAACCTGATGATGCAAACATAGATCAGTCAGACACTGAAGAATTAGCTGGTGGGTTAAAATTGGACAAAAATACAGTTCAAACGTTGTGGGATTTAGCTAAGAGAAGTAAAACACCTAAGAGAAGAGAAGAAAGTAACATTGAATTATCTCTGGTTTCAAAGGTAAGTTCAGGTGAGGACGAAAATGGAAAATCTTCGTATGAGAAGTCAAGTGTGGATGAAGCTCATCCAAGCACGTCCTCTAGGTTCTCGTACGACCCACCCTTGCATCATCAGAAGAAAAATAAGGGATTAAAGATTAAAGATAAAATTATCAGTGACTGCAGAAAATAATTCAGGAGTAAATAAAAGTGGAAGCTCGGTCACAGGAGCCAAAACTCGGAGTTCTCTGGTTTCTGGCAGAGATACAGAATCCTCACAAGCAACTAACTCTAAAGAGTCAGTCACATCTTGAAAATACCTGAAGGGAATGAACAGGGGGGGGGGGGGGGGGAATGGGGGTTTTAGAAGAAAATTAACTTTTTTCACTTAGGAAGTGAAAACAATAAAATCTCTAGTAGAAGGTAGATGTACACATACTCTATATGTCTATAAGTTTAGGCCCACTTGGTGACTTAGAACCGAGAAGCTGTTTAGATTTCACAAGCAAGTAGAAAAAATAGAAGCAAGAACAACAACAAAAAAATATTTTTTTAACTCCAAAACACATTTGCTCTGACACACAAGTTTGCTTTGGGAAGAGAAGTGGTTTTTGGTAAGTTAGTCAGTACGAGATTGACAACGAAAGAGAGAGGATGTGCTGAACAAACGCCAACGGGGAAAGGAGCCCTTACGGCTCTTTTCTCCCCCCACGCTATTTCTGTCAAGCCAGACAGGATAGCTGAAATGCAACCAGCTAACGCAGACTCGTCCAGAGTCTTTGATTTCTGAGTTAATTTAAACTTGAGAAAGCGCATCTGCTAAACGCTTCATCAACGTGTACCGAGGTCAACTCTGGACTGGACCGTCAGCACACCTTCGTCTTCTCTGCCAGCCAAGGTGTCACCTGGATGAAACTTCCTCCTGTGACGTCCAGATCTAAAAGAGGGTCCTAAGGTCGGTGAGGCAGAACTCAATAGATAGCGTTCTGATACAGTTTTTCTAATAAGAACTAAGTTTAATTCAAACCATCATTTTTCACTCAGATTCACCTTTTCTCTCCCTGAAGCAATCTCAGACACATACATGCACGCATTCATAATTCCATCATTCTCAAATCTTAGCACATCCAACACAAGGTCTATTTGTGCAAGCTTAAAATATCAACTGTTAAAGATTGTCCAACAAGGTTGCCAATGTTGATTATTTTTCCTATGATTGTCATTTCAAACCGTTAGTTTAAATTGAAGAATTAAAAGTCTTCAATTTCAAACTTGTCTTTTCATTGAACTGAAACACAGACAAACGGATATGATCGTCAGTTTATCGATGAAAACAACCTTTGAGTCTTCTTATCTCTATAACATTTGGTTATTAATTTATTAAAATTAATATTCCAGATTATGCT